CCCATCGTCAGTGTGCTGTACCGACGGCGGAAGCCGCTGCTCGTGCTGATAGGAGTGATGGGTCGTGGTGATTTAGCGCCGGCCAAGACGTATGCGGCCATGTATGCCGGGCCCGTACTTGTTGAACGCGGAGGGAGGCATCAATGATGCAAGACTCACCCGCGTACCAACCATGCATATGCTTTGGTACTACACGCGAAGCGCCTCCACTTGGTTTCCATACGTTCCCTGCGCGCACGACGTTCGCGTTCTTATGCGCGACACCGTTTCAACTCCTTCACAGCACCAAGGAACGAACGTCAACGAACAAACGTCGTAGGGTCAAGAGCATACGTACGGTACGCTCTGCATCTCATCGCATCTACCGCAAGAACTGATGACAACGGCACATAGGGATCGTCAGTACGAAGCGTCGTCATCTCGATAATCATCATGTCGCCGACCGTTCACGCCTCGTAAAGGAGCTTCTATGGATACCTCGCGTGATGCTCTACGTATCTTGTTTACATGACAGAGAGTACGTGGCATCTTTCACCTTCAAGACTACCATCTGACTGACCCTTTGCAGCTTTGCGCGTACATCTTACCCTATGCTCGATCATCGCGTATCCTCCCTATAGTATTGGTGTCTTTGCGCACGGAAGTTCAAGGTACGCACGCTATTCCCGATGTCGGTCCTATACTGAGGTCGAATAAGCAGGTGACGGAGATCGCCTGTCGTCGACTGCTCCTGTAGCACCTAGGAGTCTTCGTCCGGTCATCATCGGAATCTATCAGCCATCCCTTCATCTGGGTAAACTCGGCTGTCGTTAGCTTCACAGACGGGCGTACACGCTTATTCGTGCGATGAAACGACATTCACATGTAATGCGCGTGCAGACGACAGACGTACTCGATGCTATCATATCAAGCCAGCAACGACACGCTTGTCTGCCGTCTACGTATTGTCCGCTAGATCACAGTGCCTTATCGATTCGTTTATTTCGTCGCTGAAACAGCGTATATAGGATATAAGCTTGACTCACAGAGAGCATCAATACTTTGCCCGGCCTACCATGGTCGCCGTCGATCCAACATACCCCTTCCGCCCCATCGCTTGCTTCCTGGCTGCAGCGATGCTGCTCCTTGTACTTTTGACAAGCTTCATCCGCCAAAGCTGGAACCTTGGTGTCGCATTCTTGTGCTTCTGGCTCTTTTTCGAGAATCTGGCCAATGGTATCAACGCTATCATATGGTCGGATAACGCCGACATTAAGCTATACGCTTATTGTGATATCGGTGAGTGGGCTCAGATATAGTGGAGGCCTAGGCGAGATTGCTGCACTCAATATACAAATACATTACTAGTTTCGCACCTCTTCATGATCACTTCGATTGTCAAACCCATGGCGACCTTAATCATATCACGCCGGTTATATCTAATCACCCGCCTGCAATCCGTAAACCCCCCCAACCAAGCTATGGTGCGATATAGTACCTGGAAGGCCACGCTTCTCCGAGCTGAGCGCCATCCCAGAAACGCAAAGAAGTTGCGACAGAGTGGACTCTTGGTTCAGTGATTCCTCTCGTTGTTGCAGGGCCCCTCTGTGAGTTGCAACTATCTGTTGATGTTAATCAGGCGTACTGAGCTCGCTGCAAGACTACATAGTTCAGGACTGCCGATTTCAGGTCGATGAGGGCTTTGGATGCATTAACTCCACCGAGGGTTCAATACTCGAATTAGTGCTTATCAATTCATGGAATGTGATCCCTCCCCTGGTATCCATCACCATCTACTATCGTGCGTCGATTCGTCTGATATTGATGTTCTTACACCTCCTAACGCTCTTGCCTACCGCCCCAGCTCACGTCGCACGACTCTTTTATCGTCAAAGTCGGGACATCAACCACTTCCTGCAGAGTAACGATTCTGTGTCCCGTACAAACTACTTTCGCCTACTGACTCTCGCCAGCATCGATATTCTACTCACTTTGCCCGTAGGCATCGCAACCCTCGTCTTGGATGTGGAAGATGTTTTGTCTTACGGTCTCATCCCATTCTACCTTGGATGGGCACACGACCACACGGACTGGCAGCCAGTGAGCTTCTCCTACGCAGATCTAGTGTCGCAAGGAACTTCTGCCGTAGCAGCGGATTACCTCAGCCAATGGACATCCCCCGTCCTCGCATTCGTCATCTTCGGCCTCTTCGGCGTCACGTCAGAAGCCCGTGCCTCGTACTGGCGCGTCATCTGCGCCATCGGCGGCTGGTTTGGCTGGAAACCAACCCTTTGCACACGCAGAGCGCGTTCTCCGCTAGGAGACATCGAGTTCGGCGAGCGGCCGGCTCAGAACTCGATCTCGCTGGGTCTCGAGTGCGCTGCCTCGCCTTCTTTCACAAGATATCAACTGATCAGACGATGCACTTCGAATCCGAGCTTCATCAATCGCAACGCACGGGCACAGGAGCGTACGCCGGGAGAGGTGGAGAGTGGCGCGGACAAGGAGATCGAAGAAGTCCGTCGGAGCACCGACGGCGCAGTGTGAGTTCCTCTTTCTGACGCGAGTGCTGTAGCTTATATCAGGCTCTTCATCTAGTAGAGATACTGAGCATCAGTCTGGATATCAGGAGTCTCACCGTGCCGAAGTGGTAGATGCCTCGAGCGCCGTGTGAGCGGCGGCCTAGTTCCGCGCGCATCCCGGCCTCCGACCAGGCGCCAATCCGACTTGACTCGCCCTCTATTCACGTATACCCGCTCTCTTCCTGTCTGTAGTGTTTCCGAATGTCTCGACCCGTCTGGTATTGATATGATAGTGCATAACATGAATAATGTATTCGCCTCGATTGGCCAGTTTCCACGTTGCTGTCAAGATAGATCGTACTGGTGTATCGTTTGCAGTTGGCGGTTGGCGCGGATGGGTGGCGACGCCTCGCACGCGTAGCGTCTGTCCACTGCAATGGGAGATATCGGCTTTGGTCCGCGGCCGCCTCAAAGCTGCAGGTCGATTGATCTCGATTGCGCCGCGAGACGATGCGGTGCAAGTTGGCTGACGAGAGGACAAAGATCGTATGTCAGCTTCATCAAGGCGGATGCGCGGATCCAAGGTCTGGGCAAAGAGAGGGTAGATGCCGTGAACGAGAGAGCAAGCCGCTCAGAGACGGGCGCATCGATAGAGCTCGATAGAGGAAGCACACTAGTACTGTCCAGCGACGGGACCTCTGCAGTTCTCCGCGCTAAGTATGAGCTGGACTACCAGGGATGCAGAGCAGCTCCCGACCTGACATCGGACATCTTACCCGATGTCCTTTGACGATGCTTCAGCACTCAGTCGCGGAGTAGATGCCGGTCGTTGCTTCTTCAGTAGTTTTAGGTCAAAGTTCACACGCTTGGCAGTGCTCAATGTTGCTTCGAAATATGCATATATTGGGTTGCTAGTGCGTCCTACATGCAATCGTATCGTGCTAGGCAGCAGGTCCGCGCCATGCTTCTATACTTGAGCGGAAACGGCTCTGGGTACCAGGGTGACATCTCGCCCATAGACGAGGTTGCGCAAACCTGGGAGGGTGATCTTCAGCACGCATGCACGCAGAAAAGTTCTCGGGCACGTACCCTGCTGCTCGCTAGGCGGGTTCTTGCACGCATATTCGACCGTGCTCTAGCACGAACAACGGGACTACAACGCCGTCCAGCTCCTCTGCATCCTATCCATCGTATACGCCACACAGCAACGCGCGCCAACTAAGGCACCCGTATGCTGCTCCTGGAACGAGTATGGCACTCTTCGCTGAGTCGTTGTTCACGGGTTTAGATGAAGCGCGCCCATGCCCTGAGTAGGTTTCTCTTCGTTCGCAGTGAAGGAGCTCCTGACTGTGATGGGGAGTCGCAGAAGGAGAGTGCCCGTGTGGGTATGTTGAGGCCCGATGATGTATGGCGCAGATACAGGCATTGACGCTCGCGGGCGGAGAAGGCGGTGGGGGCGCTATCCCCTCCGTATCCTCCGCGTCCGCGATGGCCACCTCAGGATCTTGGAGATCCTCTCCTACCGCAGCATCGTGGTTGTGAGATCCCTCCGATTATCCCTTGGGGGCGGCCCGTCTTGCCAACTCGAACAAGCTTGGGGGCGCCGGCTACAGGGTTCATGTCGTCGTCCAGAGGCGTAGGCGTCGTCTTCGTCTTTGTATCGGTGAATGCTGAAGAGTGCGCTGAAGGTCGAGAGAGAAGAGACGGCGCCAGACTGATCATCGTCGTCGGGGTCGTGATCATGAGTGTAGAGAAGAGGGACTGAACGCGCGCGTAGAGGTGATGGGGCGGCCAGCGCCGGCCTGCTCTCCTCTCTCGACCACCACCACCACCACCAGATGAAATAATAAAAATACTCTTTCACTCTCAGCAGTAGTGCGCAATGCGCGTCTCGGACAACTCGCAACACGGAACACACCATGAATATTTTGTTCTTCTCGCTGACGCCGCGACGACTGCCCGTTCGATTCGACCAATCGCTTACTGTGCTGGCTGCCGGCGCCATCTGTTCTCGGAAAACGCGGGGGATACCATCGTAACCCGCTCAGCCGACGGCATCGTTGCTACTCGTGCTCATAGGAGTGATGGATGCCGTGGACCTGCGCTAGCCAAGACTCATGCGCCATCTATGCCCATGCGTTCGTACTGATTGCACGCGGCGGAAAGCATCAATACGCAAGACATACGGGCGTCTCGACTGCGTTGTGGCGCTACGTCGTACATCTTGTACGGTATTGCGGGAGAGACATCGTCCCGGCCTCTCCTGAACACTGCATGCGCGCCCAAGCGACTAGACTGTGGGGATGGTGGACCGTCCAGATCTTGTACTGTTCAGGCTCCCCGCGCCGCCATTTACTGTCTCCCCTAATCAATGCAGTACTTGCGATGCTCTCGGAGCTTTCTACCTGTCAGTGGAATTGAAGGAGACACGATGGCCCTTTTTACCGCGGCGCTCGAACGCGAACAGATAATCGTGTGACGGTCTACCACTTCATCGTCTCGATGGGAGCAAGCGAGGATCATCGTTGTCGGCGAGTGCTCATTATAGGGTCTAGGAGCATACGCACAGTACGTTCTGCGTCTCATAGCCTCTTTCCCGTGAGCTGATGATGTGGTGCGCAGGTATCACCAGTACGTGGACCAGAGGCGACGAAGCCGGTCACCTAATGCGTTCTCATGCTAAGTATATCGCGAGAAAGACTGTTCCGTTCTCTCTGAGTATTCTCCGTGTGACATATAGATATGGTACGTTCTGTGCAACACGGTATCTTCTGCACAAACTGATGATGGCGGTATGTACAGGTGGTACACAAGGAGGCTAGCGGCGAAGCTCCTCATTTCGATAATCAATATGTAACGCCAAACATTCCCGCGTCAAGTTAAGGACTACTCGCATAGCATTCATGCCGCCTTGTCTATACATATTCGCAATCCAACGGCCGGGTATCCTGGCTTTCAAACACCATTCAGCGTGTCGCACCATCCTTTCATACGCGCACACATGACTGTCGCTAGCCTCACAGGTGGGCGTTCACGCCCATTCGTGCAAGAGGAAGTTAACTCTATGCAATGGCTGCATAAATGGGAGACGTACTCAGTATCATCATATCAGACCAGCAACGACACCCTTGTCTGTTATCTACGTCTTGTTCGCTGGGCCGGAAATACTCCCGTGAGTACGCTGCCTCCGTCTCTCAAACGGCATATATAGGGTATGACTGGGGGTTCAACTGGCAAAAAGTATCAACACCTTGCGTAGCTTGCCATGGCCGCCGTCGATCCAACATACCCCCTCTACCCCATCGCTTGCTTCCTAGCGGCGGCAATGCTGCTTCTTGTACTTTTGACAAGCTTTATCCGCCAAAGCTGGAATCTTGGTGTCGCGTTTCTGTGTTTCTGGCTTTTGGGGGAGACCCTCGGTCAAGGTGCCAATGCTATCATATGGTCTGATGACGCCGTCATCAAGTTATACATTTATTGTGATATCGGTCAGTAGATTCAGAGTCATTAGAGGCCTAAGCGATAAAGATGTACTCAATATTCAAGCATATCAGTTTCGCATCTCAATATGATCGCTTCGGTTGTCAGACCTATGGCGACCTTGATCATATCACGCCGGCTGTATCTAATTACCCGTCTGCAGTCTGTCGAACTTTCCAATCGGGCTGCGGTGCGATAACGTACATCAAGGCCACGCCAGCTCCAAGCTGAGCACCACCTACAGAGACGCAAAGAACTCGCAATAGAGTGGACTCTTGGTTTAGTAGTTCCCCTCGTTGTTGCAGGACCGCTCTGTGAGTCACAACCATGTGCTGTTATTCACAAGAGTACTGAGGTTACTGCAAGACTACGTGGTTCAGTGGCCTCGATTTCAGGTCGAGGAAGGTTTTGGATGTGATAACTCTGTCGACAGCTCAACACTCGAGATATTACTTCTCGATTTATGGAATGTGATCCCTCCCCTGGTATCTGTCACCGTTTACTACCGTGCGTCATTTTTCTGATTGATTGCTCTCAGACCACCTAACGCTCTTTCTTAACACGCTAGCTCATGTTGCTCGGATCTTCTATCGACAGAGTCGGGACATCAATGACTTCCTACAGAGTAATGATTCGGTGTCCCGCACGAACTACTTTCGCATAGTAGCTCTCGCCAGCATCGATATTCTACTCATTCTGCCCATAGGTATCGTGAATATTGTTCTGGATGTGGAAGAAGCTTTGCCTTACGGACCCATGACATTCTATTTTGGCTGGACTCACGATCACACGGATTGGCAACCGGAGAGCGTTTCCTATGCAGCTATAGTGTCTCTAGGAACCCCTTCTGTAGCGTCATTCTACTTCCAACAATGGATATCACCCTTCCTCGCATTTATCATCTTCGCCCTGTTCGGCGTCACTTCGGAAGCCCGCGCATCGTACTGGCGTACTATCTGCACCGTGTGTGGCTGGTTCGGCTGGAGACCGACACCTCGCGCGCGCAGGGCGCGTTCACCGCTTGGAGACATCGAGTTCGGCGAGCGGCCAGCTCAGAACTCCATGTCTCTCGGTCTCGAGTGCGTTGCCTTGCCTTCTGTCACATGATATCGGCTGATCAGAGACTACAGTTCGAATCCGAGCTTCATCAATCGCAACGTACGGGCACAGGAGCGTACACCGGGCGAGGTAGAGAGTGGCTCGGACAAGGAGATTGAAGAGGTCCGTCGGAGCACCGACGGCGCAGTGTGAGCGTCTTCACGGTCTACTTGGGCGCTGTAGCTCATCCCGGGTTCGTCATCTAGTAGAGATGCCGAGCATCAGTCTGGGTATCGGGAGCCGCACCGTGCCGAAGCGATAGACGCCTCGAGCGCCGTGTGAGCGGTGGCCTATTTCCGCGCGCATTCCGACCTCAGGCCAGGCGCCGATCCGACTTGGCTCGCCCTCGGTTCACGTATACCCGTTTTCTGTTATCTTTGACAGCACTTCCGAATGTCTCATTATGTGTAGTATTGATATGATAGAGCATAGCATATATGATAATATTCGCCTCGCGCAATCACTAGTCTCAATGGCGTTGTCAGAATAAATCATACTGGCGCATCGTCTGCATAGTCAGCGGTCAGTTCGGCTAGGGGTTGAACGTTGAACACTAACGTCTCGCGCGCGCAGCCTCTGTCCAAGTCCACATCGAATGATCTACAGTGCGGCACAAGGCGGTGCGAGGCAGGTCGGCGGACGAGAAGACAAAGTATCAGAAGATCGCACCCGAGCTTCATCAACACCAATGCCCGAATCTAAGGTCTGGGCGAGGAGACGGGAGGTGTCATAAACGAGAGGAAGAGCCGCTCAGAGCTGGGCGCATCGATAGAGGAAATACACCGGGGATCCCGTGGATAAAGCTGCACGAACCTGAGAGGGTAATTGTCAGTATGTACGCGCACGCAGGAAAGTACTCGGACACATACCCTGCTGATCAATGAGCGGGTCCTTGGACGCTCACTCGGCCGCGCTCCACACGAGCAGCGCAGCAAGAATGCCATCTGTCTCCTCCACATCCTATCCATCGTACATGCCACATAGCAAATCGAGTGCGCGCCCATGCGCTAAGCACGGTCCTCTCCGTTCGTAGTGAAGGAGCTCCTGACTGTGAGCGGAGATTGCAGGGAGAGGTTGCCCGTGCAAATGTGTTGAGGCGCGATGTTGCATGGCGCAGGTATAGGCATCGGCTCATGTCCCTCGCTCGCGGGCGGAAACGGCGACTACGACCCTAGCTTCTCCCTAACCTTCGTACCCTCCGCGTCTACAACGGCCACTGTATGATATTAAAGAGCTTCTCCTAGCCGAACAACGTGGTTGTCGGATGTCTGCGGATATCCTCGGGAAGCGGCTCGTCCTGCCGTACTCAAATAAGCTTGAGGCCGCCAGCTGCGGGGCGCCATGTCCTCGTCCGGGGGCGTAGTCGGCGTATTAGCCTTTGCATCGGTAGATCCAGTGCGCTGAAGGTCGAGAGAAAAGGGACTGCGCCAGGCTGGTCATCGTCGTCAGGGTCGTGATCATGAGTGTTGAGAAGAAAGACTGCACGCGCGCGTAGAAGTGATGGGCCTGCTCTCCTCTCTCGACCACCACCACCACCTGAAATCATGAAAATGCTTTTCAGCCCTCTGGAGTAGTGCACCGCGCGTGTCTAAAGCGACTCGTTATACGGGCGCACACTATGAGTGTTCTGCTATTCTCGCTGATGCCGCGACGACTGCCCGTTCTATACGACCAATCGCTTACGGTGCTGGTTGCCGACGCCATCTGTTCTCGGAAAACGCGGGGTCTACCCATCCTAGGCCCGCTCAGCCGACGATCAATATTGCTGTTCGGGCTGATAGGAGTGATGGGTTGTCGTGATTCAGCGCGGGCCAAGACCCATGCGGCCATCTATACTGTTCGTACTCGCTGAACGCGGCGGGAAACATCAATACGCGAGACGTACCGGCATTTCAAGCATGCTCTGGTACAACGTGATGCCCCTCCGCTTGGTCAAGCGAGTCGTCCTCCCCAGCACGCGCGTGCCCAGATATGTATGGGTGTTTCCTAGTCAATGGTGCTTCCCAATGCTTTCAGAGAGCTCTCCGCCATCCGTGAAACTGAACAGGCTATAGATAGTCCTTGTGCCCACGACGAGCTCAAACCCAAATTCAGCATCGTGCGAAGATCCACCGCTTCATCTTCTCGACAGGATCAAGAGACGATTGTCGTTGTCAGCGAAACCTCGCCATACGATCCAAGAGCATACGCGTGGTACGTTATGTGTTCTACGGCATACTCTTCATGGACTGATGACAGTGGTAGGCAGGGACCGTCACTGGCAACGAAGCGGGGACATCTCGACAACCATCATGTATACCCGACCGTCACTCACGCATCGAAGAAAGAGCTTTGCAGAGCGCTACCTTCCACGTATGTAGATCACCTAAGTATTTACGTATCATCTCACATCTTCCAGGCTACCATCTGATGCATCGCAGCTTCGCGCGCCTGTCCCCATGCTTTTTTCTAGATCGTCGAGAAAACTTCATCCGGTAGACGCGTAGTTCTATGCACGGGAGTCTAAGGTATGCCCACTACACTCAATGTTGTTGGTCCTGTATCTATGTTGAGCAAGCTGGCGACGGAGGTTCTTTATCGTCGAGTCCCACCTGACACTGCCCGCGGCACCTACGAGTCTTCGTCCGCACATCATCGGACTCCGAAACCGGAGCGTCTAGCTTTGATACACTATCCACACTCTCTCGCACTATACCTTCGTTCGTGCTTGCTTCTCATGATTGCCGCTAGCTTCGCACGGGAATGAATACGCTCATTCGTGGAGAGGAGATCATTGGCAAGGAGGCTCGCCGGGATGAGCGAGGTACTCAATGTAGACGTGCAAAACCATCTACGACACGCATGTTAACTGCCTACGCCCTGTTTATTACAGTACAAATGACTTGTGCGTACGTTTTTGTTCGCCGAACAAGCCTATATAGGGTCTGAGTCCAACATGTAGGAAGCATCAACACCTTGCGTGGCTTGCCATGGCTCCAGTCGACCCGACATATCCTCTCTACCCCATCGTTAGCATTCTGTCTTCAGTAATGCTGCTCCTCGTACTTTTGACAAGTTTCATCCGCCAAAGCTGGAACCTTGGTGTCGCATTCTTGTGCTTCGGGATCTTTTTCGAGAACCTGGCTACTGGTCTCAACGCTATCATCTGGTCTGATAACGCTGATATCAAACTCTACGCTTATTGTGATATTGGTGAGTGAATTTGACGATATCAGAGGCCTGTGGGACAAGGAAGCTCTCAATATTCAAGCATGTTAGTCTCGCATCTCACCATATTCACTTATGTCGTCAAACCCATGGCGACCCTACTTATCACCCGTCGATTGTACTTGATCGCCCGCATGCAGACCATAGACCCCCCGGATAGAGCGGCGGTAGGACGCTCCATCAGCTCAGCATACCAAAGTTGAGCGCCATCTCTCAGAAACGCAAAGAACTCGCAATAGAGTGGACTCTTGGTTTGGTAATTCCTCTCGTCGTTGCAGGACCGCTCTGTGAGTCACAGCTCTGTGTTGATATCCATCTGTTGTGCTAAGCTCGCTACAAGACTACATAGTTCAGTGGCCGCGATTTTCTGTCGAAGAGGGTTTCGGGTGTGATAACTCTACCGACGGTTCAATCCTTGGAATATTGCTCCTCAATTCATGGAATGTGATCTCTCCGCTGGTTTCCATCACCGTCTACTATCGTGTGTCAATCTTTTTCCGCTGGCTGATCTTGTGTGTCCTTACGCTCATGTCTATTGCTCCAGCTCATGTTGCTCGGATCTTTTATCGCCAAAGTCGGGACATCAACCATTTTCTACGGAGTAACGGTTCTGTGTCCCGCACTAGCTACTTGCGCATACTCGCTCTCTCTAGCATCGACATCCTGATCACTTTGCCCGTAGGCATCGGGGATATCGTCTTGGGTGTGTTACAGTCTTTGCCCTTTGGTCCTATGTCATTCTATTATGGCTGGACCTACGACCACACAGATTGGCAGCCGATAAGCTTTTCCTACGCAGAGTCAGGGACTGCTGACCTAGCAGGGAAATACTTCAACCAATGGACATCACCTATCCTTGCATTCGTCATCTTCGCCCTCTTCGGCGTCACATCAGAAGCTCGCGCGTCGTACTGGCGTGTCATTTGCACCATTGGCGGCTGGTTCGGCTGGAAACCGACCTCTCGTGCGAGCAGGGCGCGTTCACTGCTGGAGGATATCGAGTTCAGCGAACGGCCGGCTCAGAACTCCATGTCGCTCGGTCTTGAGTGCGCTACTTCCTCTCTCATGCATGGCGAGAGATTTGCTGACTGCAAGTTACAGATCGAGTCCGAGCCTCATCCATCCCGACGCACACGCACGAGAGCGTACCCCGGGCGAGGTCGAGAGTGGCTTGGACATTGAGATCGAGGAAGACGTTCTTCGGGTCACTGATAACTCAGTGTGAGCACCTCGGTGGTTTCTGCGAGTGTTGTAGCTCACCCAAGCTCTTCATGTAGGAGAGATGCTGAGCATCAGCCTGAAGATCAGGAGTCGCTTCGTGCCGAAGCGGTAGACGCCTCGAGTGCCGTGTGAGCAGCGGATCATTTCCGCGCGCATCCAAACCTCCGGCCAGGCGCCATTCCGACTTGATTCGCCCTCTATGTACGTATTTACCTGTTCTCTGTTGTCGTCTGCAGTACTTCTGAATGCCTCGTCTTGTGTGGTGTCGATATGATAGTGCGTAGCATAGATAATGTATTCGCCTCGGGCAATCGCCGGTATAAACAGTGTTGTGGAGAAAGATCGTACTGGCGTATCGTATGCAGTCGGCGAAAGGGGCTGGTCCGGCTGAAGATCGACGCCTTGCACGCGCAGCCTCTGTCTACCGATGAGAGATGTCGAATTGGGCTGCCGTCGCCTCGAAGCTCCAGGTCGATTGATCTCGAATGCGCCGCAAGACGATGCGGTGCAAGTTGGCTGACGAGAGGACAAAGGTCGTATGTGAGCTTGATCAGACCGGATGCGCGGATCCAAGGTCTGGCGCGAAGAGAGAGGCGTGGCGAGCGAGAGGGACAGCCGCCCAGTGACGGAGACATCGATAATGGAAGTACATCGGGTAACCAGTGCCAATGCAATGCAGATAGTTCTCACCCCGTTATGCGAGCCGAGCATGAACTGAGTCGTCTAGCAGGAGTGCAGAGCAGCCCTCGACCCAACATCAGGACATCCTGCCCGACGACATTCAATCACAACGCCTGTGGATGCTGCTCGACGTTGGCTGCTTGCTGTGCGTGATGATCTGCGGTTCGGTACACTCACAGGAGATCACTACCAGGCTAGTGCTGAGTTCACGCGCATTGTACTGTTGCTTCAAAATATGCATATATTGGGCTGCTCGCGTGGACCTATACATGCAATCGTATCGTACTGAGCAGTAGCCCCGCGGCATGCGTTGAGCGTGGACACCTTTGGGAATCTGGGTGATATGTACGGTTACACATGTCCTTGGACATTCCGTGGACGAAGCTGCGCGAACCCGAAAGGGCAATCGTCAGCACGTACGCGCGCGCAGAAGAGTTCTCGGACACGTACCCTGCTGATCACCAGGCGATTTCTTGGACACTCATTCGGCCGCACTCCAGCACGAGCAACGGGACGAGAACCCCGTTCAACTCCTCCGCGTCCTATCCGTCGTATGCGCCACATAGCAACGCGCGCCAACCAAGGCACCCGTATGCTGCTCCTGGAACGGGTATGGCACTCTTCGCTGAGCCGTTGTTCACGGGTTCAGATGAAGCGCGACCATGCTTGAGCAGGGTTCTCTTCGTTCGTAGTGAAAGAGGTCCGGACTATGATGGGAGATCACAGGAAGAGGGTGCCCGTGTGGATGTGTTGAGGCCTGATGCTGGCACAGGTACAGGTATTGACGCTCGCGGGCGGAGAAGGCGGTGGGCGCTGTCCTCTCTGTATCTTCCGCGTCCGCGAGGACCACCTCGGCATCTTGAAAATCCTCTCCTACCCCAGCACCGTGGCTTTTAAACATCTCCGGAAATCCCCGGGAAGCGGCTCGTCCTGCCGAACCCGAACAAGCTTGACGCCGCCAGTTACGGTGTTCATGTCCTCGTCCAGGGGCGTAGTTGGCGTATTGGCTTCTGGATCGGTAGGCGCTGAAGAGTGCCCTGAAGGTCGAGAGAGAAGAAACGGCGCCGGGCTGGTCATCGTCATCGGGATTGTGATCATGAGTGTGGAGAAGAGAGAGTGCACGCGCGCGTAGAAGTGATGGGCGCGGCCGGGCCTGCTCTCCTCTCTCTCGACCACCACCACCACCACCATCAGATGAAATAACATAATACCCTTTCACTGTCAGCAGTAGTGCGCAGCGTGTGTCTCGGACGACTCGCAACACGGACACGCGCTATACCTATCCCGTTCTTCTCGTCGACGTCGCGGCGACTGCGCCCGTTCTGTACGAGGATTCGCTTACTGTGCTCGCTGCCGGCGCCTTCTCTCCCCGAAATACGCGAGGAGAACCCATCGTTAATCTGCTGTACCGACGGTGGGAGCCGCCACCCATGTTTACAGGGAAGATATGGATCACCGTGAACCAGTGCCGACCAAGACTCATGCGGCCATCTATACCGTCTGTACTGGTTGCACGCGGCGGGAAGTATCGATACCCAAGACATACGGGCGCACGACTACGTTATGACGCCGAGTCGTACGTCTTCGCACGGTATTGCGAGCCAGAGGTCGTCCGGGCCTCTCCCTGGACAATGCATGCGCGCCCAGGCGACTAGGGGATGGTCGACCGTTCAGACCTCGAGATTCTTCTACCTCCCCTCACCGCCTCTTGCTGTCCCCCCCAGTCAATGCAGCTCTTGTAATGCTCCCGGAGCTTTCTACCTGCCAGCATAACTTGGAGAGGACATTATAGGCCTACTTACCGCGGCGCTCAAATGCAAACCGAGAATTGCGCGAAGGTCTACCGCATCATCGTCCCTATAGGACCAAGGGAGGATCATCGTTGTTGGCGAGTCCCCATTATAGTGTCTAAGAACATACGTGCGGTACGTTCTGCGTTTCATAGCCTCTTTCCCGTAAACTGATGATGTGGTGCACAGGTATCATCAGTACGTAGACGAGCGACGAAGCCGATTCATCAATGCATTCCCATACTGAATAGGGAGAAAGACTGTTCCGTTCTCTCTGAGGACTCTCCATATGACCTACAGACATGCGCACGGTACGTTCTGTGTATAACGGCGTCTTCCTCACGAACTGATGATGGCGGTACAGGTGGTAAACAAGGAGGCTAGCGACGAAGCGTCGTCATCGAGACCATCATTATGTATGCCCAATCGTTCACTCATCAGATCAAGGACTACTCCTGTAGCACCCATGAGTCTTTGTCACTACACCATCACAATTTATCACCGGGGTATCCTGGCTTTGAAACACCATTCAGTATGTAGTAGCGCCATCCTCTCATCCGCACTGCACATTTGACCGTCGATGGCTCCGCAGGTGGGCGTACATACTTATTGGTGCAAGAGAAAGGCGTTCGCGTGTAATGGTCACGTAGATGACAGACGTTGTCATATGAAACCACCAACGATACACTTGTCTGCCGTTTACATACATCTTGTGCGCCAGACCAGAAGTACTAGGTGGATGCGCTTTCTTAGTCTCTCGGACAGCATATATAAGGTATGACTGGGAGTCGAACCAGAAGAAAACATCGATACCTCGCTCGGCTTGCCATGGCCGCCGCCGATCCAACATACCCTCTCTACCCCATTGCTTGCTTCCTGTCTTCAGCGATGCTGCTTCTTGTACTTTTGACAAGTTTCATCCGCAGAAGCTGGAACCTGGGCGTTGCATTGCTGTGCTTCTGGCTCTTTCTGGGGAATTTGACCGCTGGTATCAATGCTATCATATGGTCTGATAACGCCGACATCAAGTTATACGTTTATTGTGACATCGGTGAGTGGATTCAGAGATATTCGAGGCCCAAGCGATGAATGTGTACTCAATATTCAAGCATGTTAGTTTCGCACCTCTTCATGATTGCGTCGATAGTCAAGCCTATGGCGACCTTGATCATATCGCGCCGGCTGTATTTGATTGCCCGTCTGCAGTCTGTAGAATCTCCACAGAAAGCTGCGGTGCGATACAGTACCTGTAGGACCACATTCTCTCCAAGCTGAGCACCACCTACAGAAATGCAGAGAACTCGCAGTAGAGTGGATTTTTGGTCTAGTGATCCCTCTCGTTGTTGCAGGACCTCTCTGTGAGTCGCAACTATGTGTCGGTGTTCATGGGCCCGCGTGCCGAGCTCGCTGAAAGACTACGTAGTTCAGCAGCTTCGATTTGAGGTCGACGAGGGCTTTGGATGCAACGACTCTGTTGACGGTTCAATCCTTGAAATCTTGCTCCTCGATTTATGGAGCGTAATTCCTCCTCTGGTATCCATTGCCACCTACTATCGTGCGCCAATTTGTCTGATATAATTGCTTTCACGCCTCCTAACGCTCTTGCCTACCACTCTAGCTTATGTTGTTAGATTCTTCTACCGCCAAAGTCGGGACATCGACCACTTCCTACGAAATAATGACTCCGTGTCTCGCACCAACTACTTCCGCATACTGGCTCTCGCCAGCATCGATATCCTACTGACTTTGCCCATAGGCATAGCGAATATCATCTTGGATGTGGAACAGTCTTTGTTCTTCGGTCCCATCCAGTTTTACTGGGGTTGGACCTATGACCACACTGATTGGCAGCCGAAGAGCTTTTCCTATGAAGATACAGTGTCTCTAGGGACCCCTACTGTAGCGACAGTATACTTCCAACAATGGACATCACCCGTTCTTGCATTCACCATCTTCGCCTTCTTTGGCGTCACCTCGGAAGCCCGTGCGTCGTACTGGCGCATCATTTGTATCATAGGCGACTGGTTCGGCTGGAAACGAACTCTTCGCACGCGCAGGCCTTGTTCGTTACCGGGAGGCATCGAGTTCGGCGACCCGCCGGCTCAGAGCTCCATGTCGCTCGGTCTCGAGTGCGTTGCCTTGCCTTCTATGACAGGATCCCGACTGATCAGAAATTACAGTTCGAAGCCGAGCTTCATCAATCGCAACGCACGGGCGCAGGAGCGTACACCGGGAGAAGTGGAGAGTGGCACGGACAAGGAGATTGAAGAGGTCCGTCGGAGCACCGACGACACAGTGTGCGTGTCCTTCTGGCCTACGCGAGTGATGTAGCTCATCCCCAGCTCTTCATCTAGTAGAGATGCCGAGCATCAGTTTGGTTATCAGGAGTCTCACGGTGCTGAAGCGGTAGACGCCTCGAGCGCCGTGTGAGCGGCGGCCCATGCAGGTTTCCAGCGAAAAGCCATCCTCCAATCAGGCGCAGCGCCAAGTTCACAGGTTCAGATATTTCTTGATTTGCTGTGCGTTCACGTATACCCCTTCTCCATGTCGGTCTGCAGTGCTTCCAAATGTATTGTCTTGGGTAGTGTGGTTGTGATAGTTTATAGCATAGTTGATGCCCTCGTGCGATGGGATGCTGGATGGGAATCAATGCCTTCGGGCGCACATGGGCTGCGCGTTGTCCACTGCGAGGTTCGTGCAAGCCATCAAGCATCGAAGTAGAGGGAGAGATCCCACATTCAGTAGAAGAAAATGCCATCTCAAGTGAAAGGCGACACAAAGTATGCTCCTGGCCCTCGTCGTAGGAGACAGAACTGGGACCGAGGCGCCGCGCGGCGGCGGCGGCGTCCTCGCGTGACGACACCGGACGCGCGGGCCGACGTCGTCCGTGTCCGCTGTCCTCGCGCGGCTCGTGCCAGGGTGCGAGGCGACGTTCTTCCAACCATCACCATCACCATCGCGACTCGCGGCAATAGTACCCAGTTTACTAGCGCTTGCATAGCGTACTGCACAAACCTCGAATTGTCGGAATAAATCCGCGATCCCGCTCTCATCTCGGCTGCTGGTTCTGTACGACCCCGCGCTGGTGATGCGTGATGCATGATGAGCGCTGAGCGCTGGGCGCTCGTCACTTGAGCTCACCCGTCTCAGTCCTCCTCGGTCATCGTCCATCGCATACTGCCCTACCGTCAGACTCTAACGAGACCTGTCTTATCACGACGGTCGGGGATTCTTTGCGGCGCCTCTGGCCATCCAGGCCGTTTTGATTGACGAAACTTGGCCACATTCTCACTTTCGACAACGATCACAAGGACAGCTTTGCGCGGATATGGGCCGAAGATCAAAGTGCTTGATAGACACTGAATAGCCCGCTTGTCCTGCCAAGATAGTCACCCCACTGGTTTTCGGCTTCATTGTGCGTACGTATCAGGTATCATGTACTGATATCGCGACAACCTGTAGTACTTTTGGGTGGACGTGCGAGAAGAACACGAGGCGATGCGTCCTGGATCTTCTCGTGCTTATGGGCATATCGCGGCTCCTGTCGTGCATACATGTCATATTTCTGCGTAGGTCTGCCTCTCTTCTTCTCGGTACGTTTTATCAGGAGCTGACTCGGCGTGCAGCATGAACCCACACCCGCAACGGGTCGCCCTCTACAATGGGCCGGCCAATGCCGTTTGACACACTCTCTCCATCAGTTGTGTGCACGTTCCAACACCATCACTATCTGAAGAAACCAAGTACGTTCGTACAGGAAGGAGATGCTATCGAAAGAACCCACACGGTCCACGCGTGCATATGACATGGGTCCGATATAGGTTTTTATGGTGTGCGAGTAGGGAACACCGACACGATGACTGGCATCTTATATAACGGCAGCAAGAGTCGCCAAGCACGTCAACAGGTATCGTTCTGCGCCATGGCCGCCGCCGACCCGACGTACCCTTTCTACCCCATCACCTGCATCATAGCTTCAGCGATGCTACTCTTTGTGTTTCTGAACAGTTTTATCAGGCAAAGCTGGAATCTCGGCGTCGCGTTTCTGTGTTTCTGGCTCTTCTGGGAGAACCTCACCCTGGGTATCAACGCCATAATATGGTCCGATAATGCTACAATCAAGCTATACGCGTATTGCGACGTTGGTGAGTTACTTGAATCATATGACAGACTTGCGAGACGAAGGTGTACTGACTGTCGGAGTATGTCAGCCTCGCATCTTCTCTTGATCGCGTCGGTTGTCAAACCTGTGGCGACCCTTATCATAAGTCGCCGGCTATACCTGATCACTCGTATGCAGTCTGTAGGACCATGGGACGCGATAGTGGTGCGATGCTCTTGGTAGACTCGCTCGATCAAGGCTGAGCCCTGTTCCACAGAAACGCAAAGAACGCGCCATAGAGTGGGCCCTTGGCCTAGGAGTCCCCGTCCTAGTTGCTGGACCCATCTGTGAGTCCCACTTAGAGCGTCAGTGTCACGAGACGTGTTGAGCGCTGAGCTCGCTACAAGACTACGTGGTGCAGGTTCACCGATTCCAGGTCATCGAGAGTTTTGGATGCGACAACTCACCCGACGGTTCGATACTCCTATTATTGCTCGTCAATTCATGGAGTGTGATAGCTCCTCTGCTGTCCATTATCGCCTACTACCGTGAGCAAGATTTATCATTTATCCTGTAATGGTTGCTCTTGGACCTCCTAACACGCTTGCCTCACACTTCAGCTCATGTTGCCAGGGTCTTCTATCGCCAAAGTCGGGATATCAACAACTTTCTACAGAGTAATGGTTCAGTGTCCCGCACAAACTACTTCCGGATACTGGCTCTCGCCAGCATTGATATCCTGCTCACTTTGCCCATAGGCATTGCGACGATCGTCTTAGATGTGCGGATCAATATGTCTTTCGGTCCCATTGTTTTCTATCCGGGTTGGACCAATGACCACGCGCATTGGGAGCCGAGGAGCTTCTCCTACGCCGAGATACTGTCAGGAGGTACTTCGGTTGTGGTACAAAACTACTTCGTACGATGGACGTCGCCCATCCTCGCTTTTGCCATCTTCGCACTTTTCGGCGTCACATCGGAAGCCCGTGCATCGTACTGGCGCATCATCTGCACCATGGCCGGTTGGTTCGGCTGGAAACCAACATCATGCACACGCAGAGTGCCTTCATCGCCGGGAGAGATCGAGTTCGGCGACCGTCCTGCTCAGAACTCTTTGTCACTGGGTCTTGAGTACACCGCTTTCTGCTTTGTGATTAGGGCCTCACTGATCAGAAGACACAGTTCGAATCCGAGCTTCATCAATGCCAATGCACGCGGGCAGGAACGTACACCGGATGAGGTGGAGAGTGGCTCGTACAAGGAGTTCGAAGAGGAAATCCGTCGGTGATCTCACCTGCCCAGCCTCGACGGCGCGTCTGTCGCGGTATAGATGCGCTTGACTGCTTGTTCGGTAGTAGTGTTCTGGCATCGCGCTGTGCGTGATGATTGGCGGTTCGGCGTATACAAGGAGAGAACCCAGGCTAGTGCCAAGTTCATGCGCTTGGTAGCGCTCGCTCTGGCTTCAAGATGTACAATATATTGGGTCACTAGTGCACACCAACTTCATGCCGACGCGTGTCGTGTCGAGCACAGGTACTCTAGTATACAAGGTAATATACGCAAGCGCAGATACCCCCGCATGTCCCATAAACAAAGTCGCACGGATCGGGAGAGGGTCATTGTCAACGCGTCTGCACGTGTATAGAAGTTCAGGGACGTACCATGTTGAGCACTAGACATGCTTTCTGTACGCCCCTCCTAGTTCGTGAAGATAGAACATGACACTCGCGACGGTGTTGTTATTCATGGGCCTGCCGCAAGTGCGCGCCCACGCGCTGAACACAGTCCTCTTCGTTCGTCATGAACAAAGTCCTGACTGATCCTGAGGGGTGGGAATGGAGACACCAGTAGAGGAGTTCAGGCCTGCTTTGAGCATGCCCGTCTTGTCGTACAGATCCGGTTTCGCCAAGGTTGCGCGACGCGGAGATTCCAGTCAAAATACCCACTCATACCGGGCGCGCGAGCATTGAGATCGATATTGATGATCATTGCCGGCGTATGAGCGTCCGCCTTGGGATCTCGTTAAGCAGTGCGGTAGGCGGGCTGAAGGTCTGTGGAGGAGAGACGGGCTTTGAACTGCCGTAGTCATGGGTGTTGACGTGAAAGTGGCCGAGGCCGCTTGCCGCGCGCCGCGCGCTGCGGCAGGATGCGGCTTGTCACACTTCCACCATCACCACAATTCTCAGAGCTCAGCGCTTGGAAATACTACAGCCGTGTGTGATGTATGTGCTGGACACATTATGGGCTTGCAAACTGTCTGCTGCTCATGTCGTGGCAATCGATATAATCCAGTTCCCGTCGACGCGTCGTCCTGAGCGAAGTTTGAGCGCCAGATCTCACAGGTTCGATGGCGTCTGCTTCTCTTGATGTCATGTCCCCGTCAAGATGGATGGAGATGAGTTCCCAAGCTTGAGATACGCTCATGACCCGCGTATAAGATGGTGGTGGCCCTCAGCCTATACCTAGGCGGCGCCATCACATCGCGTTCTGCGGGATGGGTGCGGTCGATCCGACGTATCCTCTCTACCCCGCTGCCTGCATCCTGGCATCTTGCATGCTACTACTAGTGCTCTTTACCAACTTCGTCCGGCAGAGTTGGAATCTCGGCGTCGCCTTCCTATGTTTCTGGCTCTTCCTCGAAACTCTCACCGATGGCGTCGACGCTATCGTTTGGTCTGACAACGCCAACATCAAGCACTATGTGTACTGCGATATTGGTCGGTGAATCAGCAGCACGAGTACTCAGGGCATAGTACTCACATTGTACTGTAGTCTCGCACCTTCAGCTAATCGCATTCACCGTCAAACCGTTGGCGACCCTGATCATCACGCGACGGCTCTACCTGATAGCTTATCTACAGCCTGTGGAGTCCCTTAACAAAGAGGCAGTGCGTCACAATGCTTGTGCAGCCGATCTCTTCAAAGCCGAGCATTATACCCCAGAGACGTAAGGATCTTGCCATCGAGTGGACTCTCGGCTTGGTAATTCCGTTGCTTGTTGCAGGACCACTCTGTGAGTCTTGAGGAGGGACTTCTCTTGCGACCAGCACTGAACCTATCGCAAGACTATGTCGTTCAAGATTGTCGTTTCGCGGTGATAGAGGGCTTCGGGTGCAGAAACAATATAGACGGCTCGATTCTCAGCATCATACTCGTCTATTCTTGGTCGGTGATCCCTCCCACGATATCCGTCGCCGTGTATTATTGTGCGTTCAGTATCTCAGACGATATCGCCTTCATGCCCAGTACTGATCCGCGTGTATATCTAGCTCATATCGCTTTGACCTTCTACCGCCACAATCGCGATCTCAACCGTCTTCTACAGAACGACGAATTCACCGTATCTCGCACGACCTACCTTCGCATCCTGGCTCTCGCAAGCATCGATCTTCTGCTCACCTTGCCTATAGGCATCGCAACCATTGTCTTGACCATCAAGGAATCGCTGTACCACGGCTCTCTTCCATTCTACTCCGGTTGGGAACACGATCACGCTCAGTGGGAGCCTCAGGGAACCAGCTATACGGATATCGCATCGGAACAGACCTCCATTAGAGCAGCAAATTACTTCACGATGTGGACATCGCCCGTTCTCGCTTTCGTCATCTTCAGTCTGTTTGGCGTCACATCGGAGGCTCGGGCGTCGTACTGGCGCATCATTTGTGCCGTCGGTGAACGGTTAGGCTGGAAGCCAACCCCCCGCGCGCCCGGGACCCGTGAACAGCTGGGAGATATCGAGTTCGGCCCGCGATCAACTCAGGAGCTTACGTCGTCCAGCTTCGAGTATGTTGGTTCGAATCCTCCAAATCGAGCTCGGCTGACGTGAAAGGGTAGATTGCCGCCAAGCAGTGTCGAGTCGAAGGCTTGTTTACCAGAACGGGTCATTGATATCCAAGAGTTGTGTGATGATGAGAAGGCAGAGAGCGTGAAACTAGAGAAGGGCGTCGACTCGCCACCTTGATCACTGGAAAGCAGTGCAGCGTGCGTGCTTCGTCTTCTACCGCGCGATATGAGACTCATCGACATCGGGCTCGTGTAAGCACCAGACAGCTACATCCGAGAACACAAAGGCCCCAGGCTCGAGAAAGTGGCCAGCTAGTCTCCTATTGCATACACTAGGGGCAAGCGCCGTCCCGGCTTGAAGAATCGGGTATCTGTCCAGGTTTGAGTCTGGTTGAAAGGCCGTTCGTGCAGCCTCACGTACTTTTGAATGACACACGTGGCCCCGATGCTTTCCTTTGTGAGGGCTCCCTTGAGCAAGACTGACGAGACACACACCCGCACAATGCACACATCGAGCTTGTACGGTGCCCGGGTTATCACTGCCGCGATGGTGTATGAGGCTTACGTAAGCCTACATATGCGCTGGTATGTAAGGCGATCCCTCCATATCGCGTCGTCCAGGAAGCTGGCAGTGAGCCCGAACTCGTCGCTTTTGCGGTCGCAGTTTCCGCCGCGTGCTGTCCCACGTGTCGAAAAGGTGCATGCGTGCGGCAAAGGCATCGCGCTCCCTTTCAAACCGTGCTTGAACTGGGACTGCAACCGGGAGCGAAACACGGTTGGGCGAACCGGGATGGCGCGTGCCCCTAGTGATAGGTATATTCGTATTTGTTATCATAGGCTTACAGAAATGTAACGGTTGGATCATGTACTCAAATGTGCGCGAATGCTCATGACGTGCAGAATCGACCTAACGGACGCGGGCTCAGTGTTTATAAGGACATCAATATGAACGAGGGAGCTATTGTCGTAGTAGACAGAGCTGGGATCGGGGCGTGTGCTCGCGTGGTCAGATCGGATGTACGGAGTTCAGGCGCCGCCTTCCCCATCTACGTGTGATGGATGGAGAACCATATCATCTAGCGCCCTCCCACTCCCTACCATTGGCAACACATGCTCATCCTTCTCAACGATGCACTCCATCAAGACCGGCTTCGAGTTATCGTACTCAAAAAATTCCTTCATCTTGGCCGGAAGTTCGTTGGCGTTATTCACACGTATGGCGTGCACGCCCATAGCCTCTGCGAGAGCGATGAAGTCCGGGTTCGTCATACTTGTATGGCAGTGCCGTTTTTCGTAGAATATATCTATAATATAACGATGCCATATTGTCAGCGCATCGGTCGGGGTCAGAGTGAGAGGTAGACGCGAACCTTGCAGTTGCAGGACCATACCCTGATACTCATTGTTCAAGACCATGACCTTGACGCCGATCCCGTATTGCGAGGCGGTCTGGAGCTCCATAGCCGTCATGGAGAACGACGCGTCGCCGTCGATGTCGATTACTGTTTTGTGTGGCGCGGCGAGCTTGGCGCCGATGGACGCTGGGAGACCGAAACCCATCGTCTATACGTATCCAATGCATTCAGTACTGCGTGCGCGGACGATAGGATAGGGATGGGACTTACGCCCAGACCGCCAGAAGTGATCAGTGAGCGAGGCTGTGTCCAGCGGTAGAACTGCGCGGCCCACATCTGATGCTGTCCCACGCCCGTCGAGATGATGATATCCTCCTTCCGCCCTCGCGTCTGAGCGTCTAGCTCCTCGATAACCTCCTGCGGCTTCATCTGCTCCCCTTTTTGCGGATCGCTCTTGATAAAAGTGAATGGGTAGCGCTTTTTCCACCCCCTGATAGCCTTGAACCACGCTTCTCGGGGCGAGTGCTTGATCATGGGCAGCATAGCGGAGAGGTTTTGTGTGACGTCGCCGACAACGGGTACAGTCGCCTCGACGATCTTGTTGATGTTCTTCGGCTGAATCTCAAAGTGGATGATACCACCTCGTCCAGATAAAGCAGCAGCGCGAGCAGCAGGGGCGAACAGCTCGATCTTGCCCGTGACCCGATCGTCAAAGCGGCCGCCTAGAGCGATGATTACGTCCGCTCTCTGCATCGCGATGTTCGCGTATGCGGAGCCGTGCAGGCCGAGCATATGCAGCGACTTATCATCCGTCTCGTCGAATGCGCCCAAACCTTGCAGAGTTGTGGTGACAGGGATGTTACCGTTCTGCGCGAGCTGCCTCAGGATCTTGGGGCCGTCGGGATGGTTGAGGATGCCATTACCAGCGTAGATAATGGGCTTTGCAGCGGCGTTTATCAGGTTCGCGGCATGGCGCAGCGAGGGAAGGTCAAGCGGTGCATGGGCAGACCCCGTCGAGGGCAGCAGGGGATTCGTGGGCAAGTTGAGGTTAATGCCCGGAGTGGTCGCCTTGTAAGGTAGAGGTGTCCGGAGGATTCCCGCAGTGACGTCCTTGAGCAGATCGACGAGAACGGGTCCAGGCCGTCCGGACGTGGCAATTTTGAAGGCTTCGTTAATACGTCTCGGGAGCTCTGAGATATCCTTGACCATGACGTTCCATTTTGTACACGCGCGGGAGATGCCAACAATGTCAGCTTCTTGGAAGGCGTCCGACCCGATTGCAGAAGTTGCGACCTGGCCAGTGAAGACGACGAGAGGGATGCCATCGCTCAGCGCATCTTGCATAGGCGTGATCACGTTCGTAGCGCCCGGACCTGATGTGACGATCACGACGCCAGGTTTACCGGATACACGAGCATAACCTTCGGCCATGTGTCCTGCGCCTTGTTCGTGGCGGGGCAGTACAAAGTCGAAGTGAGGAGAGTCATAGATGGCGTCGAAGACGGGGAGGATGGTTCCACCTGGGTAACCGAAGATCTGCTTGACATCGTGTCGGAGCATCATCTCGTGGAAGATTTGACCGCCGGAGAGCCCGATGAAAGAGTGGTCCAGATGAGCGTCCGTATGGGAGCTGATGTGTGAGGGCGCAGGAGGAATGTTGTCCAGCGTCGGGAGCTGCTGGAAGCTAGGCGCTGGGAGAGGTCGCCTACTCCGCGTCAGCGAGAATTGAATTGATATACAGTACGTCCATGAACGTACAAAGACTGTGAGACGACAGCGCTCTGTGCGGAAGAGCGACTTATAGACCGTGTACGATCGTGGGGGCGCGCTCTTGACTCGAGGGATGGGGAAGCTATGGCATGTTTCGAGCGCACGAGAGCGGCCGCAGGCTTGCCTGCGCGCGGTTTGATGGCGGGTAGCAACATCTTGAGCGTAGAGAGGCGGTGAAAGTGAATGAGAAGTACAAGGATCTGCAGGACAAGTTAAATACCTAGGCGCGTTTGACTCGGAGAGTCACGTTGGCGATCATCGGCTTTTCGGACAGTCCACTGTGGCCCTCGCCCTTAGCTGCGGCCTGATACGGCTAATACCGATGTCACAATGCTAATTTGTACCTTGAGTATAAGTGCCTGCTGATGCGAGGTGAAAGGAGATGAAAGACGCACTTTTGATGGTCACGGGCGTGCGAGCATGTCCATGCCCGCCGCTATTACCGCGGGCAGCTACAGTAGCTGCATACAGCCCTCCTCGTATTATGACGGCAACGTATGTCCATTTCCTGATCACTCAGCGAGTGGCCGCCAGGTTCCCGGTGACAAGGAAGATGTCAATGGGAAGCCAGTGATACTCGGTGGCTAGTCGTGTACACGCATGGGCCGGAATCGGAGCGTATTGCCAGCGCGTAAGTGAATCCATGACTGCGTTGAAACTCAGAGAGCCGAGGTGCGAGGTGCTGGTAGGCTCATGATCAGTTTGCGGTGGTCACCATGATCGTGGTCAGAAGTCGTGGTCGTGGAGCACAGTGCAAGTGTTGTCCTATGCAGGAAGCTTGGCACTGCTTGCCGCGGAAACATATGTATATATCCAGTGCCTTCATTCGGCAATACCGAGGAGTTTAAATGCTAAGGCAGAATAGCACGCGAAGAGTCCACCGAGATGCGACAGTATGAGGATGATAGAAGAAGCCAGGAACAGACAGGAACGCGACTGGGCGGGATCGCAGATTTTGCGCAGATTTTGTCCAGACGCGGTCTTGTGATTGCGCGTATTCGACCCAAACCGGAAGTCTGACCACGACGTCCATGAGCGCACGCCCTACGTTCAGCACCAAACATGTATTTCAATCCCAGCATCGCTCGCGATGTGCCTTTGCGTCAGCCGTCAATCAAGATGCGCGCACGCAGACGCCCAGTCGTGTTCACTCGCCTATGACCCGTCTCCTGTCATCTTGAGACTCGCCGATGCGTTGCACCTACCCACGACCCACATCGCCCGGCCTGCCTCTGACAACCACCATGTCAGTCATTTGGCTTGTTACTGGGTGGGTCGTCATCTCCTCGTGGACAGGTTCTCCCTGTGCTGACGCCCTCGGTCCCTAGTGCTAACCGAGGTATCGGTTTTGCTCTCGTGAAGCAGCTAGTCAAGGAGCCTTCGAATACCATCATCGCCGCATGTCGTACTCCCGAGAAAGCTGATGCTCTCAAAGCTCTCGGAGACTCCGTGCATGTTTTGCAGATGGATGTCGGGGATGCGGACTCCATCACCTCGTCCGTCGAGTCTGCTCGAGCAGTTCTAGGGAGGAAGGGCCTTGATTACCTCGTGAACAACGCCGGAATGGTACGCCAATAGTCCACATCGCCGCCTAGTACTTGCTCATGCTCTTACCCTCAGGCCCAATCCGGCGAGAATGCGTTCAACTTCGACCCTGCAGGTGCATTACGCGTGGTTCAAGTTAACGCACTTGGTCCGGCCCTTGTTTCACAGGCATATCTGCCGTTTCTCGAGGTTGCCGGTCGGCGCGGGGTCATTATGCACATCTCCAGCTCCCTTGGAGCGTTCTCCGTAGGCAAGATCAGCACCATGGCGCCTTCATATAGTATGAGCAAGTCCGCTCTGAACATGCTGGTACGTTTTGCCGGTCCCTCTGCACTGTCACGTATGGCTGAACGCGACTGCAGGCGGCGAAGCAAGCCGCCGAGAAACCGAATCTGATACCGTTTACTGTCTGTCCCGGATGGGTATCTACCGGTGCGTCCCCATTATACGTTACATGTGTGCGTAACTGACTGTGGTGTCAGATATGGGTGGCCCGACCGCCACGACTAAGCCTGAGGACAGCGCGGCGGCCCTAGTGAAGTTGGCTACGAGTGTAACCAAGGACCACGCTGGGAAATTCCTCCAGAGAGATGGAACATCTACGGGATATTGAGTGGCCTCTTGTACACATTGTTCCACTGGCTGTCGTATCCATCGTCGCGTGAGATCATACGTGAAGCTCGACGTGTGTGTGAGAAGTGATAGTGGACGACAGTGGCGCGTCCAGACTCGGTGATTAACGTAGTAACTGTTGTCCGTGTCACAGTCACGTTCCACGAGAAGAATCGCACTGGAGGGCCGGATGGTGTAATCGAGGCTTTGTAGCAAGCGTGGATTCGGTGGAGTGCCGTGGTGCCCGAAGTCTGTCGGCAAATGCCGTTCAGTAGTATAAGAATGCTGACAGCGCTTACAGTGAGCTGTGCCCCGGCTAGGATATAACACCGACCGTTCTTCAAGATGTCCGCCGCCAACACTCGCAAGATTGGTAATGCAGACGTTTCTGCAGTGGGATACGGTGCCATGAGCATCGCGGGTACGATGTATAGCCCCGGCAAGATCCTGCCCGATGAGGAGCGTTTCGAGGTCAGTTGGTAGTTCTACCGTTCGTCATACGGCTAATCTTCTCACATGTACTATAGGTCCTGGACACTGCGGTCAAGCTGGGGTGCACGAACATCGACACAGCAGATGTCTACCGCGATGCTGAGGACCTCATTGGCAAGTGGTACGTGGCCTGCCACCCTTTCCAGGTTGCCGCACACGCTCATACCAAGCCGATGCTAGGTTCGCCCGTTCGCCCGAGATCCGTTCGTCTATCTTTCTTGCGACGAAGTTCGGTATAAGGCACTACCCAGACGCGATAAAGGTCGACGGTCGGCCGGAGTATGTGCGCGAGGCAATCGAGAAGTCGCTCGCTCGACTGCAAACGAGCTATGTGGACTTGTACTACTTACATCGGTGCGTCACGATCGGACCACGCTCGAAGGACTCGTTGAGCTGAGCCCATCATTACTTTAGCGCTGACAAGAGGACTCCGATCGAGGTATGACGCGGTTCGCTTCTGCGTAGAGAACCGTCGCTGATTCCACTCTTAGCATACAATCAGCGCCATGGCTGAGCTCGTGAAGGAAGGCAAGGTCAAGCAACTCGGCATTTCCGGAGTCACTGTCAACACCCTTCGTCGGGCGCATGCAGTACACCCCATCGCGGCACTTCAGATTGAATACTCGCCCTTCTATCTCGACCCCGAGCACAACGGGCTGTTTGACGCGTGCCGCGAGCTCGGAATCACTGTCGTCGCGTACTCGCCTCTTGGGCGCGGGCTGCTTACTGGACGATACGTGAGTGTTTAACTGTTGTGCATAGATGGTATTATCTGACAAGGCTCTGTAGAGGTCGCCAGATGACTTTGACGCCGATGATGGTCGCCGCCGTTTTCCTCAGTTCTCACACGAGAACTTCCCGAAGATCCTGGCGCTTGTCGACGTGATCAAGGCCATCGGAGACAAGCACGGGGCAAGCGCAGGTACGGTGACATTGGCCTGGGTGCTCGCGCAAGGAGCGGTCCCGATCCCGGGGACGCGCAATCTGAAGGTCCGCCTCTGCGTTTTGTATCGTAGCTGGAGCAATAGCTTATGCCCTGTCCAGTACCTCGAGGAGAACATTGCTGCAGGCCAACTTCAGCTGACCAAAGAGGAAGTGCAGGAGATACGCGATGCCGCAGAGAAGTGCGTGGTAGTCGGACAGAGGCTCCCAGCCGGCTTGGAGGATCTGCTTCCCGGCGAAACGCCGCTGCCTTGATCTCATCTTTGATCCGTCCTGTCCCGATGTCCAGATGTGTAATTGTATTATGATTCGCAATCTATCAAGTTGAAAGTACCAGCCTACGACGCGCGACATACGTCTACTGAACCGTCAAGAGGCACGGCCAGGCGGAGGCTGGTCTACATATAGTACATACAGTCACAGAAACCAGTCGCAGCGAGAATACAAGCAGACACAGCACAGAGAATGTCCATATCACAACACCTACGCATTAATGGTAAGGTTTGAGCGGAGAAGCAGTCGTCCTCCTTGAGCGACGCAGAGCCAGCGGTTGCACGAACTCGTCGCCATCCAGGTGCTCTCCTACAGTTGGCTCCTCCAAGCGGGCCTTCTTGCGCGTCGCACGCTTCTTCTTCGGTGAGTCCACGTACTCATCCTCGTCCTCATCCTCGCCATCACTGCGTTTCCGCTTCGCCGCCTTCCCGCGTTTCGGAGTCGCCTTCGCCTTCGACTCCGTCGCAGATGGCGAATCCGACGCAGTGGCCTTCTTCTCCTGCACGCGCTTCGATTGGCGCGTGGGCGTCAAGACCGGCGGGACGAAGACTTCGCCATTTGCCTTCGCGCGATCCTTCATCGCCATGAGACGTGCGTGTCGCATGAACGGCTCGCAAGGGCTTGGAGAGCGGTCACGACGCAAGCCGGTGCGCAGGGCGCTCGTGTCCCTGATGGGCTTTGCCTTCCATATGTCGGGGATCTTCTTCTTGACTTTCTTCGGCTCGGGCGCGTCGTCGAGGGCTGAGGCGGGTTCGTCCTCCCGTTGACGTTTGCCGTTGCTCGGTCCTGGGGAAGAGTCGGACTGAGGCTGAGGAGAGACAGGCCTAGGCGACGAGGGACGGCTCGCACTCGGTTGCGCGGGCGGTGTGTCTACCACCTTGGCTGGAGAAGGCGGTGGCGATGGTAGAGAGGACGGGGAAGGAGATCCGGGAGCGTTGGACGCAGATATCTCAGGGGCTGGTGTAACCTCGCGAGATACGGCAGCGGGAGAGAATACAACTTCTGGGAGACGTATAGGCGCGATCTGGGTCGGCAAGGTGCCCGGAGCGCTCGGCGAGTCAGTTCCTGCGGTGAGCACGGGCGAAGTGACGGTGGTGTCATTGGCGGTGGCGGTGGCGGCGACGGCGCTAGTGCCAGCCACGGATGATGGCATCTTGGATGTGCTAGTATCGACTTCGGTGGACGGATTGACGACCGGCGCGGTTGGGGCAGCTACGACCACCGGAGAGGAGGCGGGGACCGCATTCGAGGACGCAGCCGATGCCCGCTTTGACGCTTGTAGAGCCAAAAATGCAGGGCTCGTAAAGACCCAGTGTCGTTTCTTGCGATAGCCAGGCGGCGGGGTAGACCTGCTAGGGCCCGCAGAGGGATGATAGTCCGACTTGGGATGAGCACGCGGGCCATCTTCTTCGCGTAGTGGCTCATAGTAGTCGTCCTCGTGCTCTTCTCCGTCCTGTAGTTGCGAGCGCGTGCTTGGGGCGAGGAAGCGATGCGCCACCGATTGCACGACGGACCGACAGAGTTGTGACATCGAAGCGAGTTTGGGTGGGGTTGATGTGCTGGTAGATAGAGTAGAGCGAGCACTTCTGTGCGAGATACGCAGGAGAGGGGAGCGGTTAGGCGTTGAAGGTGGAGTGTCGATGGTGGTGGTGCCAAAGGTGGTTGAGAGGAAGAAGGCGCCCGAGCTTTATGCAGTCCCACCGGAAAACCACAGGGCCCAAGCTTGGTCATAGTCTTCGATCAGAACAACAGACCTGGGTGTGGTTCGCAGAGGTGGTCCTTGTATAGAACAATAGCGTCGTTTGTTGTACTGCTTGGCCCAAGTTCTACTGCATTGTCCCTGGCGGGCCATGCAGTATGCCAGCAGCAGGCGCAAGCAGCGATACTCGATGCGCAATTGGTAGGCCAGGGCAATACCCCATTGTCCAGTAATTCAACCGCTATTGTAACTTGAAGCGTCAGCGGCCCGCAGATTGAGTCGGAGCTGGAATTTCAAATGCCCGGGTACAGAGTAGATCCTGCAAATCATCCATAACTTCCGCTTGGCATACGGCATAGCATAGCGCAGTTGTGTCAAGTTGAGTGTACAAGGAGGTGTGGATGGATGGCTAAGGCAGAGCAGGTACGCGGCTCGCAGACGGCCGACGCGTTCAATCGCGTACGGTCACAGCGCCGTCACAATTCAACATGTCTACTGATCGCGTCGCCAGCACACTCCGAGCAGACCTCTGTTGCTCCGTTCATCTACTCTGCTGAAGCGTTGGAGACCATAGAGCATCTCCCAATCCAAAGGCTACGGCCCATCACTCACTACCAAGGATAGACTGGATTGATACTGTCTTCTATGGACGCTGCAATCGCGGAGGTCGAAGCCTGCCGTCTACCAGATTCAGCTAGCAACCCTCAGGGCCGTCTGAATCGCTTCGTCATCGGCGTCGAGGATTCGCCTATCAACGCGCTACCACTGGATGTGCTACAAGAGATTCTCTGCTACCTCCCCTTTATCAGGAGCTCATACACGACGCACCATCATTGCAACATAGACTCGCACGACGATGTAGGCGCCAGGGATCCACGACAAGACCTTGACGCTCGGCGATACCTCACTGGATCCGCCACTCACGAACTAGATGATGGCGCCCTAAGCGATCACCAGTCCCTGTCGCCTCGCTTGCCTCGAGCATGCACTTTATCATGCGTACAGATTCCATGGAACTGGCTCGAAGTCATGCGCGTGAACCGGCGCTGGTACCGCGCCGCACACCAATCCCCATCATTTCACTCGCGCATCGCAACGCAGAACATTTTCGCTGCTCGGCGCTCGGTTGTTCTCTCGCAGAACGAGCCCGTCTACATTGTGGACAACTTCGATACTTACCTTCCTACGGAGGAAAGGAGAGCTGGTGTGCGTTTTGCAATCGAGATGGCGCTTTCTCGTGCCGTTGATATTACGCTTATCATCGAGCGGAAGGGATTTGAATCCTTCATGTCCAAACTTCGACCCTTGTTCGCCCGACCCGCCCCGCAACTGCGACGATTTCAGATTCACCTGCTGCAGTCCGTCACAGGACAGCCCACGCGTACAGTCGTGATTCCCAACGACATGTTCGCCTGCCATGCACCTTTCATACGCTCTATCGACATTGACGAGGCCTCGTTCGACAAAGCTTGCCCGCTCCTACACCCGGCCTTGACGTCGCTCATATTGAACGGCCCCGCGCTACCGTGGCAGACGCCTGCGGAACTGTGCGAGGCTTTGGCGCGCTTACCGCTTCTCGAGGTCTTGAACGTGCGCTACCCGCGAAGCGCAGTCGAAGAGCCTCAGCCTCCACCCAAGCCAAAGCAAAAGGGCAAACCTAAGGGGAAGAAGTCTAAGAAGAAGTCCGCTGCAGCTGCTCCGCCCCCTCCTCCCATTCCACCGCCACCGCCACCCGCGCCCGTCGTTCCTGTCACCCTCGAACATCTTCGGCAGTTGACTCTGGAAGCGGGACCGAACACTATCGAGTCGTTCGTGGAGAACGTCCATGTTCCAACCTCCGCGTCTTTGCAGATCGGACTTCTCATCGATCGTCTTAGCCCTATCATAAACTGGGAAGACGGCCCTCTCGGGTGTGTACCGACACTTTACACGAATCAATTAGCTGCAGCCACAGCATCGGGCTCAGCGTATACGCAGGCGACTATCACAGTCGAGCCGGTAGCCGCGAAGCATCGTACGGATCAACGCTCGATCGTCATGGCATTCTCCCATCCTTCTCAGAAGGAGATCTCGCTTCCTGGTTCGATGTGTTTCAAGGTGCACTGGACGGACCTAGGGAACGGCTCTGAGCACGAGATGACCATGATAGGCATCGCCGTCTCTGTTTGCGAGCATATCCCGTCGCATCTTACGCGTCTTAACGTCATCCAGGACGACACTCAGGCTAGCACCTACCTTGGTCGAGACGTAGACTGGAAGATATACGGGAATTGGTGGTACGACTTTCTGGACGAAGACGCGATGAAGCATGTTGAGGAGCTCGTACTGGAGAACCGCGCCGCCTACGATTACGCAATTTACCGATGGTCCGGGAGAGTGGAGAGCCGTCCACGCTTCGAGAAGTTGGAACAAATGATCGTACGCGACTTTGTCTGTGTCGACCGGACGTGGGTTCCGGACGACTGGACTGGGGTAGACATCCATGATTACCTCTCCGCGCTGGTAGAGTATCTGCCTGAGGATTGCCACATCACGTTCGAGCGGTGCGCGTTGGACAGTAAGGCACTCAAAATTATACGGAAGAGTGTTCCCGAGGGGAAGGTTCACTTCACTGGGTGTCGTACGCTGATATCGGCGGACTTTGAGGTGGATCGGGAGGACGAGGAGTGTGAGGAGGGCTACTACGGAGACGGCTTTGCTTCGCTCTTGCCTTCATACTTAGACTAGTACTGCTCATAGCTTGCGTATCATACGTCAAATTGCCATGCACGCCTTTCAAACAGAGTGATCGTTCAAACCGCGAGATATATTCGTGAGCCGTCGCGCCATCAACGCACGTGATCGCGTTCAGTTGAACCAACGCGCGTGGCGCGTCAGACGCGTCTTGTTCCAAGGCCACGATGAGTTCGTTCGAACTTCGGGATGAGCTCGAGGAGATCAAGAGTATCGAGAATTACAAGATCAACAACGAACACGATGTCTCGTCTATGGACCAACATGAGGTCGACGACATCCTCAGCCGTATGTGATATACCGACCACTGTTGTTGCTTGTCTCTAACGAAGTTGAACCACAGGTGCCGTCGACGCTATCTCTCAAGACTTCGCGAACGTCACGGACGACGAAACTCTGGATATATACCGCAGCGTACTTAAGGGAATTATGACCAGCCCGCAAAATATCCCTCCGGTCCTCATGACCAAGATCCTGGATTCGCTCGCGTCCGCCTTTACCGCCGCCGTTGAGGATACCACGCGATACGTCGACAACTTCGGACCGGAAGAGTTGCGAGAACGGCGTCAAGTCCTTGAAACATATGCTTTTTTGCTGCACTGGTTCGTGATGGGAGCGGACAAGTACAAGGGTGGCGCGGGTGCTGCCGACGGCGTGTCCGTTGCACCAAAGCCGAGGAGAGGGAGGGGTGGGAAAGCTGCAGCGGCCGCACGCGCGAAGAAGGGTGCGGAGTGGTCGTGGGTGGAGCAGATCGAGCCGACGCTCGAGCTCATCGTGAAGGCGCTCAAGATCCGCTCGCAGAGGATATGGACGACGACCGCAGACCGCGAGACGTTCCTCGAGTAAGTCTTTGTTCATATTCTTGCTATGATATCATGCTGAATGATTTCTACAGCCCGCTTATGAGCCCCGTCTACCGCGTGATGGAAAACGAGGCCTACATGAAGTTCGAAACCATTCGCGCCAACATCTTCCAAGCCATCTGCCTCGCCGTCAAACACCACAACCACAGCAAGGCCGCGCAGGCCAAGTTCAAGCAGCTACTCGGATACTCGGAAGGTCCCGCCGACTACATCGCCGACCTGCTCGCTGTGCTTGTCAACGAATATGAGCAGATCGCGATCGGCGAGGAGTTCCTGCGTATGGTGGCTAAGGTAACGTGGACGTCGGCCGATACAACTGGACCCAAGTCATTTGCGCGTTTCCTCGTGCATCTCGCGGAGGTCGCGCCGCGCTTGGTGTTGAAGGAGCTCAATGCGCTGCAGAACCACTTGGATAACGACGTGCGTTGCCATTGTCCATACCCCGACTTGTACTAACTCACATCTCGTCTAGTCCTACCAGATGCGCAACGCCATCGTAGAAATCTTCGGTCTTCTCATCCGCGACCAGCTCCAGACCGCCGTCGACTTTAAAGAAGTCACGCCCACAGTCGATCCCCTCTACACCGCCCTCCTCCAACGCACGCGCGACATATCCTCCTACGTCCGCTCCCGCGCCTTCCAAGTCATCGCCAAAGTCATCGACGTGCCCCAGAACGGCGCCTTCCGCAACCAGCGCATGAAGATGGCGCTCAAGGCCAACGCCGCGCTCATGGACAAGACCGCCACGGTTCGGAAATACGCTCTGATATGCCTGCAGAAGCTTATCCAGACGCATACGTTTGCGACGGTCAAGGACGGGAAGGAGTTCACGGATCTGCCGAAGGAGGCGTTTGCGGAGCAGTATGAGCAGTTCTGCGCCGATGAGAAGCAGCATAAGGCTCAGCTTAAGGCTCTCGCTGCGCCCAACGAGCCCCTTCAAGGCGCACCGCCCAAGGAGAATGAGGCGGAGGCAAGTCAGACGCCCAAGAAGAAGAAGAAGTGCGTAACTCCATGTTTTGTTCGCTTGTAATTCCTGCTCAATAGACTACAGGTCGAGGAAATCACGCGCCGAAGACGACGAGAGCATGGAGGTAGACGGCGAAGGCGCTGAAGGCGAGGAAGCAGAGGAGGAGGAAGACGACGACGACGACGCCGATAGTATCGTGTCTGCCGACGGCGAACCCAAGCCCAAGGCCGAGGAGGAGCCCGAAGTGGACATCAGCACGCTCGACCTTTCTGGCTTAAACGACGCGCAACAAGTCCGGGCAAACCACGAGATCGAGAAGATCGAGATCGCGCAGAAGTACAAGAAGTACTACGGCGAGGTGAGCTTCCATCTCTTGCACAATGCATTGCGCATACTGACGAGCCTTTCGTGTAGGCGTTGCAGTTTATCGGTGTCGTCGAGTATGCGATGGAGACGGCCTGCGATCTACTTGGTAGCAAGAACAAGGCCGAGGTTCTTGAAGCCATCGAACTGTTCCGCGTGGCGTACATGTATAAGATGTCCACGGCCGAGGTACGTTCTTCGCCTATTTGCACCGTTGTCACGTCTGAACCTAGTCAACAGATCGGAATGCGCAGGATGATCCATCTCATTTGGCAGAAAGACAACAACGCTCCGCCTACGACTACGGGCGAAGAGGTCGTCTCGACTAAGGGCGTGCGCGCGCGACTGATCGATACATACGACGCAATATACTTGACGCCGCAGCAACAAGTGGAGCCACATAGACGGGCGAAGGAGGTTGCGAAGCAGTTGATCGTGTACGCGTACACGTATCATATTCTCACTGTACAACGCACTGATCATCATCTGGGATAGGTTGACGTACAGCATGTCGCTCGCCGAGCTGACTTCGCTCGAGGAACTTCTGCGCCAGATGACTGACGAGGGCAAGGTGGAGAGCGAAGTCGTCGAGACTCTTTGGCTGGTGCGTGCCTCTTCATCTCTGGACAACACGCTCGTTACTTATTGAACACCTATAGGTCTACGAGGACAAACGCGCCCTTCCACCTGTACAGCGCCGCGGCGCTATCATCCTCCTCGGCATGTTCGCGCTCTCCAAGCCGTCTATCGTGCGCGACAAGCAGTCTATTCTGCTCGAGATCGGTCTCGGCAAGCATGGCAAGGTGAATACTGGTGTATTCCTAGATACCCGAACGGCCACTGATCACGCACCCCGCTCAGGCTGACCTTCAACTCGCGAAGTACACCTGCATCGCCCTGCAGCGCATGACCGGCTTCAAGAAGAAAGTCAAAGGCTCACTCGAAGACAATCGCCAGCGCTACGCCATGTCCAACCCCGTTTTCCGCCGCCTTATCGACGTGATTGAGACGCCAACGCACGACCGGGCGTGGTTCGCGTTCGCAGAGCAAGCTATCAACGCTGTGTATGCGCTCGCGGAGAAGCCGGAGGTCGTGGTTGAGAGGATCATCAGGGATCTGACGAGGAGAGCGTTCACTAGTGCGCCAGCGGCCGACCTCGGCGGGTCTGCGCCGCCGCCGCCTCAGCCGGAGCAGGAGAAGCCACAGGAAGAAAAGGATCCGGACGCGATGGAGACTGATGACGAGGGCACACCCACGCCGACGGGAGAGGACAGGGCCGCGACGCCCCAACCGCAAGCCGCACCCGGCCCCTCACAGCCCAGCGCAATCCCAGGCGGGGACGCCGGCGACGCCTTCGGCCTCAGCCAGATGTTCTTCGTCGTCGGCCACGTCGCGATGAAACACATCGTCCACCTCGAGCTCATCGAGCGCGAGATGAAGCGCAAGAAGCAGGAGCAGGAGATTGCGGCGAAGCAGGGTGCCAGTCAGGCTGAGAAGGAGGACGAGATCGAGCAGGTTGCGGGGAACGCGGAGGATGATATTGGGGAGCATATCAAGGTGGTTAGGGAGGACGAGCTGTTGTTTGGGGACAGGAGCTTGTTGAGGGTGTATGGGCCGTTGTTGGTGTATGTTTGTGGGTCGCCGCAGATCTACAAGGTGCGTTCTACTGTCGAATGCCTCTATCCTGACCAGTGCTGATGCCATAAGCAGGACGCGACGTTACGTGCCGCCGCCACTCTCTCCTTCGCCAAGTTCCTCTGCATCTCCGGCAAGTTCTGCGAACAGCACCACATGCTCCTCTTCAAAATTCTCGAAACATCCCGCGACCCCAACATCCGCGCCAACATCGTCATCGGCATCGGTGACCTGGCGGTATCCTTCGCCACCATCATCGACGAGCGTCTAAACGACCTCTACATGGGGTTGAGCGCCGACGACCTGATCGTAAAGAAGAACACGCTGATGGTGCTCACCCATCTGATATTGAATGGGATGATCAAGGTTAAGGGTCAGCTGGCTGAGATGGCGAAGTGCATTGAGGATGGGGAGCAGAGGGTTAGCGATTTGGCGAAGTTGTTCTTCAACGAGCTGTCGACGAAGGATAATGCGATATACAACAACTTGCCAGACAGTGCGTGTTTCTCTCTTCCTGATCTTGTGCTCTCTGCTGACATCGTCACGCAGTGATCTCTCATTTATCGTTTGGCCGGTTCGCAGTATCCGAAGAAGCCTTCCAGAACACCATGCGCTACATCTTCACCTTCGTCGAGAAAGAGCGGCAAGCGGAGAACATCATCGAGAAGCTCTGCCAGCGCTTCAAGCTCGCGCCCGACGCCCGTCAATGGCGCGACATCGCATTCTGCCTCTCGCTTCTACCCTTCCGATCTGAGAAGAGTCTGAAGAAGCTCATTGAGGGGTTGCCGCATTATAAGGATAAGCTCCACGACGAGGGCGTTTATTCGAGGTTTGTGGAGATTTTGGCAAAGGCGAAGTTGGCGAAGAAGAATGAGCAGGAGATTACGGATTTCGAGAAGGTGAGTCTTTAGTGTTTAGTTGTGCGCGCAATGGGCTTGAGGACTGACGGTGTTGTAGATCCTGGATGATAGTCGGCAGAAGGGAGAAGAGGACCAGGAGTTCGAGAAGCAGGTTGAGAAGAACAAGGCGAAGGCGAAGAAGCGGGCGACGAAGAAAGAGAAGGCTGCTGCTGCTCCTGCTGCGAAGCGTACGTCACCCTGTCTATTCAGCTTGGGCGTAGGATACTCATCGGTTCCATGTAGGCGCTACTCGTACGCGGAAGAAGGCGGCTGCAGCTGATGATGATGATATGTACGAGGACGACTAGCCTACATTCTTGGCATCATTTCCGGATCCATCGTCTGCTTGTCCAGCATCTATTCGTGCATTTTATTCTCTCTCACCGCATAGACACCGCCTGCATCTCACTTTGTATCTCACCATCTACAGCGCCCTACCCGTGTAACCTTACTACTGTGCCCGTTACGTGTACTGCTACTGTTCTCTCATCGCGCGCTACGCCCTTTCTCCCCGTTTGTCGAATCTGTACTTTTAGAGACATGTATTGGCATATACCAATGTCGATAGACCTTGACAGTGCAGCCACAATCATACATCTACAAGGAGCGGCGCATCACGTACTCGCGACACTGCCGGGCGACGCCGCATGATGTTCCCAGGGCTATCCTGATTCGGACAGCCGCGCGTCCTCTCAGACCGCCCTCACCACATTCACCCACGACGACCTTCAGCAGGGAGGCTGCTCGGCTTGACGACGTATCTATTGCCACTATGCTGTGGCTTTTCCGTCACATTATAGCTTCCGACCAGCGAGACCAACGATACAGCAGCCCAGTGCGCTGCTTTAGCAATACAGTGGTTCAAACCCAGCTAGCTTGTATCTTCATCGTGACATGTGTCTGACATGATTGACTGCTGTTCTACGCCCTGCGCATCAGCTTCCGGAGATGGCCACGAACTGGCGCGTATATATATCTGCTTTGGTCTCGTTCTTGTCCTGCCTTCCGTAGACCTCTCACTTGCGCTTGTCGCGCGCGTGCTTGACGCGAAGACTCGGCTGCTGGCAGGATGATACACAAACTCGCGGCTTGCTTTTGGACATGTCTGGCGCTTACTACGTTGACATCTGCCCAGTTTATACCAGACGCCATTCCGGTCGCTGCTCGTTCTCCTTACCTCCTCACCTATGTTCCGACCATCACAGGCTCGCAGAATTACTCCGAGTGGCAGATTGGGTACAGCACGCAGGTACGAGCTCATGCTTCAACATGTCAACTACGTGCTAATGCGCTCTTGGTGCACAAGACGCAAGCTTTAGTCGGTTTCATCATGGTTAACGGGACAACGTATGCCTGGGCTGGTGACGTCAACAGCATCGTGGCGGAGGATACAAGCCTGAGACAGAAACTACTAATCCCTGATCTGAAGGGAGTCGCTCTTACCCCCACACGCTCGATCTTCACATACCAAGCTGGACCAGTGGAGGTGAACGTGACGTTCCTCAGTCCTATCGAAGTGAGTGGATGTTAGAGATCATCAACAGCCTCGTCACTCAATCGCGTATAGCCAGGTAACATGACAAAGCAGTCAATCCCCGCGGTCTATGTTTCGTTGGACGTGCAGGCGACAGACGGGGCATCGCACGACGTTCAAGTCTACACGGACATAACTGCTGGCGCGTAGATCATCATACCATGCCCCACGTATGCTGAGATAAGTCACAGAATGGGTCTCGGGAAACCATTCCCAGGAAGTCATTTGGTCTACAAATACAACCGATACCGCTATCGTGTATCACTCGGTCTATGCCGCGAACCAATTGCTATATCAGGAAGTCGGCGCTCAATCGGCTTGGGGGGCTATACATTATGCGGCATCGAGAACATCGAACGTGGCGTACCGAACGGGCAGCGACGTGTCTACGCGAGGGCAATTCATCAACACCACCACACTCAACAACACGCAGGATATACTGTATCGTAATATAACCGAGTATGCCTTTGTTTCAATAACCCCAGAATCACCCTGTGCTAACTGCAGAAGCTCCTATCCAGTCTTTGGCTTCGCCCACGATCTCGGGGTTATCGGCGAAACAGCGGGAAGTCTCGTCTGGGCTGTTGCGAACATCCGCGACTCACCGAGTACGGGAAGTCACATATATACGGACCTCTCGGGACAAGAGCAGACACGTAGTCTGTTTTATCGAAGCCAATATACCGATGACACCACCCTGGTGATACTCTATCGCACTAGTTTCCATCATGCGCTAATATAGTCATAGCTCAGAGACTTCATTGCGGACTTCCCTAAGGCCTTGAACCGCTCTCTGGTGTTAGACGAGAGAATCATGCAGGCTGCCATGAGCGTTGGGGGTGCAAACTACTCAGATATCCTCTGTCTAGCGACTCGTCAAGCCTATAGTGGCATCGAGATCACTGTCGGCCTCAATGCCACGGATGGTAGTGTTAATGCGAGTGACGTCTTGGCGTTCTATAAGGTCAGTTCAGTTAGGCCTAGGTGATACAAGGACTGATGTTCCGTCAAGGATACTGGGATACCGGACGAGCATGGAAAGTACGTTTTGCTTCCATGCTGTGTGCGTTCAATGGCTCAAGTAGACTGTAGCACACAAGTCAATCCGGTCGACGGACTACTCAGCGTCTTCCCTACTTTCTTGCATCTAGACGCGGCACTGTGTGGTGTACTACTAGAACCTTTACTTCGATTTCAGAGCAGCACATTGTACAATCTCAGCTATGCTGCTCTCAATCTAGGTGAAGACACCCGTTGAATCGTCTTCTAAGTTACACTAACCAATCTCTAGGTACCCAATACCCATTTGCAAACGCTAGCTTAAGTGAACATACGCAAACCATCGAATGTGCGCTTACACATTCACCTGGTTCTCTGCGTTGAAAAGCTCACGGCGTTTATAGCCTCGTCTGGGATGATCATCATGGCATACGGGCATGCAAGGGCGGCCAATGATACCAGCATCGTCATGCGATATGTATGGGCTCCTGCTCGTCATATTCGTCGCTCATTGATAGGGCATATAGTACGATCTATTGATAACTTGGGCCGACTTCCTGACTTCGAATACACTCAAGCTGTCGGACCAAACATCCACCGACAGCGAAGTCAACGTCGCTTTGAAGGGTATTATTGCTATCCAGGCCATGTCCAAGATCAGCTCCATGTTGAAGGACACTGCGAATAGCATCATGTACTCAGTGAGTTAAAGGACCTCTCGGCGATAACATGACTTGCTGACGATCACTTGATTTTTGAGTCTCAAGTTGGGCAGCTATATTCACAATGGGCAACGGCTGCACTGGCTCCCGACAACCATCTACGCTTCTCCTTCAATGATACGGACGCGAGCTTCTCTCTCGGCTACAACATATTCTGGGACCTTGCACTGGGAACCGGGCTGCTGGATCAGACTATAATCGCCGACCACATGAGGTACATAGACGGGAAAATAGGAAGATATGGCGCTCCTACAGATAGCAGTGATGCTTCTATCATCTCTGCGGGTGAGTGCGGGTATACTCAGCGTTATCCAGCGTGAGCTCACCAGAGTGCACATGCGATATAGACTGGAACATGTTAGCGGCGGCCGTCGCAACCACCGATAACCGAACGCAACGGGCTCTCATTGACGCTACCCACGGTTGGGCTAACATGTCGGCCTCTAGTGCGGGCGCGAGCGGGCAGTTCCCTCTCCGACTTTATGCAGACAATGGTACTGTAATGACTGGCAAGTCGAGCCCTCGTCAAGGCGCAGCATATGCTCCTTTACTCGTCAGGTGAGTTAGCGGCACATCACATCTGGATTATACTCAACCTGCGCAGCGCCACATCGTTCACGAAAGGACTCGGTAATTCTCATCGTGGAGTGACTGGAAGGACTGGTGTGCCAAAGGGCATCATCATCGGCGCTACCCTTGGCGGAGCATTCGGCCTTCTTTTGTTGGTGGGATGGATCTATCTTGTGAGAAGACGTCGATCAACTTCCGCCCGGGAGGTGGCCTTTCAGCCAGAGACACCCTTAACGCAAGAGAGTACTCTGCGAGCGCTATCGATCGCTCTTCCGCCAGATATCTCGCCATTCATGGAGGCGGATCCCACCCGGCGTCCCTTGTCCCCAACCAGAGACTCGGATGCCTTTGCCGACCCATCAAGACCAGCGTCCGACGCAGGATCAAAGAGGGCTATCCGATTGCGGCGAATCCTGACCGATACTCAGGGGTCTTCACCAGCAGCCGTACTCGACTCGTATGCGGCCGTCGCTCACCAATCCACTCCTCCATCAACTCTTCCGGCCACGAACCAAGGGATGTGGCACGCGATCAACAGCCTACGCCGGGAGGTTTTCGCTTTGCGCATGCAAGATGCTGATACCGTGTCTGCGCCGCCCGAATACAGCCGCTGAATGGGTCACACTGCAGTAGAAGTAGTCCGGGCTTGTTGATGTCCGCTTTATTGTTATTCCAGCTGTTTGCCATACCTTGGGCCACCCAAGTTCTACACACACGGGCACACCCCGCTTTGCTCCGCCGATCAACAGAAAACCGGCAGCGAGCGCGGGGCGCTGAGTGCTCGCCGTTGATCGATCAAGCACGACTCGAGCGCAGCGAACGTCGAAGCTGTTGCTCTGCGACGACATTGTCTGTGACACGATACGGGTGACGATTATAAAGATATAGTCGGACAGTCCGAAAGTTCTCAGCCCCCTGAGTGGCTAGTACGGGGTTACGGGCATCGAATGAGCATCCTGCTACGATCGTGCCGAGCGTTGGGAAGTGGTGCGGTGACCTCTGTAGAAAGAAACATGAGTGTCCCATGGTTTTCCAAACGGCTGCCAAGGTCATGGTGGTCGCGCCGCGCATGACCCGCGTTAACCCTAACCCTAAGGTGGGCCTGAGAATTAAACGCCGCGCCGAATTCGGACCTAGTGCATTGAGTGGTTGTACGTACTCTGAGTCTCTGATCTGGCAGTGACAGCTGCTTAGTAGAAGGGTACTCGGCCGCTGCTGCTCACGTATAAGTGAGGTAACCCGGTCATTTGCGAGATTGGGAGACTCCCTCCAGGCATCACTGGCCGCTCTGTGAACCCGCTTTTCCAGGAGCACCACGGTAGCCGACTTCGAGTCCAAAGAATGTGCAGCTGTGCTTCAGTTGATAGAGCATAGCGTGTCATCAAGCTTGGCATGCTACCTGGCTACGCCACAACGTGCGCAGACGATGGACCGACATCTTAGACTCTCTCGACGAGAAGCGCGGAATGAACGGAACGGCCTCACGTTGTTCGGAGGGTATGATGCGAGCGGGAAGACAGGCGGAAGAGATTTGCATGAAGTCACTGAAGGGCACAGAGGCGCGTCTACCGTCTAAGGCCAAGACAGGTCATACAGGTACATGCAAGCATCGCTGTGAGCCCTGGTCCTCGGGGTGCAGCTCGGCGAGGATTACTGTCCGAATCTTCGCGTGAGCGAATGAACGGTCTTGCGCCGCTGGCAACGCTGGACGTGCCAGACCGGAAGTTCTTGCTCTTCGTAAGACCATGGATTCAACGAACCCCTTCAAGAGCTGCAGGACCCCGGCAACCAAAGCGGCAGATACGCACCGAGTCTGTCGGCACCCGGCAACTTCAAGCTACCTCCCCGCGTCCGCGTCGAGGAGACCTATCGCCACAAGTAGATTAGCGTCATCGTCATAGAGAGGCTGTCAGCGCGTCGGAATGGACGGAACGATCCAGCATATTTCGGATTGTGTGATGCGGCGCGTTCACAGCAACCGTTTTGGGAGTACAAGAGACGTTGTGGTAGGCGCGCGCCTGTGTCCCTGGCACCAGGATCGATACCGCTTGAATTGGGTGCCTACCAGCAATTTGATTAAGTGGTACTGTTTTGATTGCCGGACGATGCTGAGTCGAATAGAGGAACCGAGCCGAGGGTGAATCCAGGTGAGCTAAACGCGCACGAGCAGGCTTCCTTGATGCTCTGAACTCTTGTGCTAAGAGCTTTCACTGCGAGCTTTGTCCTGAATTGCTAATGATATGCGAAACTTGCTAGAGTCATTGTGAAGGTAGAGGCGAGTGATATTGTGCTTCGATACGCTGCCGCGCGCAAAGCTCGGGATACAACCATGATCAGGAGATAACAAGCCAATGCAAATTGTGGTCAGTGGGGTCCAATCTTCCAGCAGCGCAGATACAAAAGGTCATAGAGATCACGGGAGGTCTCTCATATTTCATTCGCGTATACACGGGCGTTGCATGGATGATGGAGGGCGGTGGCAAGGGCCGCCGCCGGGAATATCCGCCGTAAACGCGGCCACGTGGGATATCCTCGCTCATTTCATATTCGTCCGCTACAGCCAACGTTACGCGTCCCCTTCCGCGCCTTCCCTCTCGACTTCCACCACCTCCAGTCCATCTCGTTCTCAAAGACTCGAATTACTCCGCTCATTCCCTTCGAGCTCAGTCCAGCTGGAAGAGGCTCATCACACCGGCTTCCGAAGTAGCGCGCGCATTGGTTCGAAGATGGCCAGAGATGGCCGGGTGACGTCGGCATCTGTCCGGCTCGCACGCCCCGATAGAGAAGGAGCGTCTATCTCAGGCTCACCCGCCCGAACACCCGACCTCGTGTCCAAAAAATCAGCATCTGCCCTGTTCACGCACGCACGGCGGCACGGGCACACACCGCCCCGATAAATTCGAAACTCCAAGCGCGAGACTTGCAAGACAGGATTGCTTGTGCTCGCGATGGGATAGCGCGCCTTGAGGCTGGATGATTGCTCAAGCGCTCAGGAATGACGGCGAAGGGGCTGTGGGCTGAGTTGGCTTGGTGTGGAGGAGGCGCTGCGTTGCTGTAAAGATCAAACATGTCGAGGATGTCGAATTCGGAACCGGGCCCTGTTGCGGGTCCTGACGCGCGGGCGTGTGCCGTGTATATCAGCTGGGAGGCGCGTACCGCCGCCGACGCGTCCCTCCGCACTTCCACGTTTCCACCCTCCCCAGCTCGAACATACTCAACTACCTGCACTCTACCATGCGACCCGCAGGATACGATATCATGGTCGACGGCCTGCCCGTGGCAGTTGCACTCGTCCACCGGCCCAGTCCACACACCTACGCCGCACTCGGCGCGCATCGGGCGCGCTATGCCGAGAAGAGGCGCGTATTGAGGGAGATGGAGACGGAGGAGAGGCTGGACTCGACGATCGATGACATCGACGCGATGTACATCGATCACCGGCCCTCGAAACGTTCCCGCGTCTCTTCCATGTCAACTTACGATGACGACGACAAGGAGAACGCCGTCGCGAAGGGCCAGTGGGCCGCGACGACAGCCCAACACGACGCAATGTACGAGCGCTTGCTCGACTCTGCTCGCTGGACAGCGAAGGTTCGCGGCGGGTCCCAGTACACCTATACCCGTGCCTCGTCACCTGTCTCGGACCGGACGTCTTCCCCGCCACCCTTTGACTGCGGCCACCTCGTCGCCGCAAGATGGGACGCGCCTATGGAAGATGATTACGTCGATGACGCCTCCGCATCCGACGAAGACGAGGATTCGTCGGATGAAGACCATTCATATCCATATTCGTACGACCGCGAGCACGAGCACGATTACCAACGCGCGAACCCAACCTCCGTTCCGCCCTTCATTCCGCTGTCTCCTTCGCCGGGTGCACAAGCACAAGCTCAAAGTTCTCCGTCGAACCTCATCCAACCGAACCAGTTCTCCTGGGCGCCAATCGAAGACGAGGCGCAGCGCGTCGCGGACCGGCTCGAGATGACGCATCTCGCCGGACGCTTCGCTGCTGAGTTTGGGAGGGAGATTGACCAGGCCAACGCTTTCTGGCGCGGGTCATCGTGAACCTGCACTGAACCCTTGTCGCATTCATATTCGTTCTATCTTCGTTCGCGCGATCTGTGGCATGGATGTTGTATGCTATCGGAATACCTGTATGGCTGTGTACACTACTGTAATTCTCGCCCTCACCCTCACCTCCCCGCTCTGCTGCCTGTTCTTGCCTTGCTTACGCATCTGCACACACACAAACGCTCTTGCTCTCTACCGTGTCCCGTCGCTTCGACTTTCATCAATCACCATCATCCATCTGACTCTCGACTTGTTTACTGTACAGATCTCCTTATTGCTCTCGCGTCTTGTGTACTAGATCATCATCATCATGAAGCTCGCTTTTCGTTCGTCATGCCACCTCGTATCCTGTGTCCGACTCACGCAAAACACATGAGATACCCATCTGAGCGCTGATCTAACTCCATCGCCGCTCAAGAGCGTACAGTACACTGTACAGCTCTGAGCGTCGGCGTTCCCCGCGATAACACATCTAATCCCCAGCATCGCCTTCCCCGCCACTTCATCTCCTCGGTCTCCACCCGGCTATGTCCTTTGTGCACAGCAACAAGTAAGTCACCTGCGCCCTCTCGTGCCGATCTACCTGATAGCGTCGGCCACAGTACCTTTTCATCTACACGCCAGATGAACGCGCGGGTCTGAACCTTCGCGCGCACCACCATGATCCTCCCCGCGGCGGCTTCTTAGACGGAGGATTGACGTCGACGCATCTTACAACCCGAGAGATATGAAGTTGTTCCGCTCATTCCGAGTGGTATCTGTGGCTTTGTATGGTGTGGGCGTAGGCCTACTGAGTTGCGGGAAGCCCGCCGCGCTATAGAGTCCGGCAGCGGGTGTGGCCCCCGCAGTTTACGCTTGATGCAGGCCCCATTACGGTACAGACCGTATAGGCTTTGCATGCCCATAACGCCTTATCGACGATGTGCAATCGGCGCCATCGTGAACAGCGGAGCTGGTAGTAGTGTTTAGCTCCGTCTCATCCGAATAGTGAACTTGAAAGACATTCAAGTTCTTCTTGCCCATAGTTCTCGCTCGCCTACACGACAGACACATGCGGCGTGGTATAACATGCGGCGTGGTCTACAATCATGGTGACTGGTGACGATGTGCGTCTGTCGCATACACCGCCATGATAATCGCCTTGAGAGTTACTGCTGCTCGGCTTCTTCCTACAACTACCTTCGACGACGCATCACCCAGTCCGAGAGATAAGGACTTGTTCCGTTCATTCCGACTGTGCTTCGTATGCAGGCTCTTTCTTATCATGGTGTGGGCGTAGGCCAGTCGACGCCGAGGAGAGTTGCCGAGAACTGCCACGCCGCTAGACTCCGGCGGCGACGGGTTGTGTGGCCCCGCGCGCAATTCATGTTCAGCGAGTGACTTGACAGGACTCAAGCGGGTCGTACCAGTGGTAGCTCTTCGGATCGCACCGATGTAGGATGCATGTAGCTTTCCGGCTCTTGCTCACCCGATCTCAAACAAGAAGTCGTTCTTCATGCCATGGAGCCTTTCATCTACGGCACGACCCTCGCGCGTTCGGCGTGGCCATTGCATGATCGCTCACGAAGCCGCTGCTCGGTTTCTTCCAGTCAGCTTCTACCGGCGACGCATCACTCAGTCCGAGAGATATGAAGCCGTTCCGTTCGTTCCGGCGACTATGTATGTGGCCCAACATGGTAGGCAGGACTCTATCAGGCGTGGGTCCGTCAGCGTGCTGAATGCGAGTTGAGATGTTGTGGCGCAAAGTGTGGCCCGCGCGCAAGGGCATGTTCTATGCTATAAACACTGGCATATCGTGTGTAGTGTATAGATAACCGGTAGCTGCAAGATCCGGCGCAAGTCGAGCGCAGAACAGAAGTCCACCTGCGTAGACGTCTCACTGATAGCACCATGCCTTCATCGAAGAACCCATTCCTCGACTCCTGCCGCGAGAGTACCGGTGCGGAAGCCGTATGATACACGCTCGCGACACAGCAGCCCTCTTCGTCTCCTGTTTCAGCGAGGCTGTAAGCCAATCTATCTGATAGCAGGCGCGACAACTCCGCGCATCATACACGCCTCGATCTAAGGTGTCCTTCTCCAGCCGCGCGTCTACACCCCACACCCACAGTACCTTCATGCCGATCTTGCCTCTCGCCTGCCGCACCAGGCACAGTACGTAGTGCGTTCAGTCTTCTCGTCTCTCACATTACACATGCGCGACTCAGAACAAGCGCTCGGTCTTTCCGCTCCCATTCCGAACTGCTTGATATGGTATCGTCTTGCTGGTGGGTCCGCCGGACGCGGAGGTTGTGGCGATACGGGTGAGGGACCACAGTACGTTTGTATGCGAGTTCTTTGAGGTGGGCGCAGATCCCATGGTACTTAGCCCCGAACTTGCCGACCTGCCGCAGGGACACGGCGATCAAGCGAGGGCAGATTTGGCCGCCGGTTTCTCAATGGTGGCCGACATTCTCGAGCTACTCGTTCTTTGGAAAGGGTCCGGGCTCGACCTACGAACTCAGATTCATCGCATTGGACACGCCTCAGTAAACGTACATGCAGATGGATTGTATGCAAGAGCAGCCTGAGAAGGAGTACAATCCGGGCCACAGATGTCCATGAGTGAATAGTCTCACCGGTTCACGCGTTGTATTCTGGAGGTGCAGACATGGCGCCGCTCGAGCGCAGGGCACCAATCTCCCGCCAGATATTGTCAATTTCGTGTAGTACCCCGGCATCTCCCTGATCTTGAGGGGCCAAAGTAGCCGATGGTGGTGGATTGGCGTTGGTGGACGCCGATTGCTGCAGGTGCTCCTCATGCAGTAAGCGACGCAATCTGAAGGCCCGCTTGGTCCCCGCCTCAGGCTCTCGCTCCATCTGGTCCACAGACGGATTAGAGTCACTGACGGAAGACGATAGGGGGTGCCAGGTAGGATCGGTCTCCACGAAAGGCGCGATGTCCAGTGGGTGAGGGACGGACGACGCTTGTCGCATCACGGCTTCCCGCACCGGTTCATTGTCCCAACGCGCGACAGATCCGCTCGTTGAAGCCGATCTGCGTCGCCTGACGATGTGAAGAAGCCCGACAAGCAGACATACACCAGCTACCGCGCCAATCGTCGCGCCGACGATGACGCCCACTGATGTGCCAAACCTGCTCTTCCCCACTTCTGTTGGATGCGCAGCGCCCGAATCAGTACCACTGATAAAAGAAGATGCACTGCAACATCGCTTGAGTACCCTCGTCGATGTGAGAATGGATATTGATCGCTCACTTGACGAGCAGAAGCGCGTATGCGGCACCCTGACGAGGACTGGAGTTGCCTGTAATCACGCTACCGGTTTGCGCATCGTACGTGAGCGGGAACTGCCCGATTGTAGCTGTAGACGTGAACTGTATATTGGCCCAATTATGGACAGCGCCTATGAGGGCCAGTTTGGTATTGTTATCGCGAGTAGCAATAGCCGCTGCCAGCATATTCAAGTCTGCGAGCACTCGTCAGCTCGGGTGAGTCGAGGACTATTGGGCGATAGATCTCACTTGCAGAAGCTATGGAAGTGTTGGTGCTGTCCGTTGGCGCGCCATAAGTCTGCACCTTGCCTGCGATGTAACGTGTTTGAGCGTCAATGACGGTGGTGTTGAGCAATCTGGTCCCCAAAAGAAGGTCCCAAAACATGCTTTGCCCGAGGGAGAAACTTGAATCCGGCTCGTCATAACTGAAGCGGAGGTGACCATCCGAAGCTAGCGCCTTCGTTGCCCATTGTGAGTACAACGTCCTCGCCTTCGACTGTGATGGCACTTCATTAACCGCTCACATGAGAGTACCGGGCGCACTTACAGAGTATGCTTCTCCGCTAGCGGAGTCATTCAACGCGAGGCTCACGTCCGCCATTGCTTGAATGGCGACAATCCCTTTGAGAGCAAGATCAGTCTCGTCGCTGCGAGTAACGCCCTCATTCGATATCTGGGCTGAAGCATTCAGGGTATTGAGCCCCAAGTAATCAGCCCATTTGTTTAAGAGAGCGGACTAGACAGGTCATTAGTGTGACACCGAGAGAGGAGAGAAGCCCCATACATATCGCTCGATGATGCTGTGATCGCCTGTTGCCTTCGCATGTGCGCATGCCATGATGATCATCCCCGACGATGCTACCAACACCATAAGACATGTGACTGCGAAGGCTAGTCGAGCATGGAGGCGCACTCTCTATACTCTGCGAATGGGACTCTGTACTGGCGACTGCGGAAGGGTACTGAGGGCCTGGCGATTGAAGTTTGTACCACACAAAGATGATATCGGCAAGAGATCCTCACCCAAATTGAGTGCAGCGTAGCCATTGGTGTAAGATGAATTGGTTTGAAAGCGAAGCAGGGGTTCCAGAAGTGCGCCGCAGAGTACGGGATCAAGGTACAGAAACGCAGGAAAGATGTTGAGTAGTCCATCAATCGGACTAACTGGAGCACTATAGTTGACATGAGCGACAAAACATGCCGGGAACAAGACACTACGTACTTTCCATTGCCACTGTCATGGAATCCAGTATCCTAAATCGGAAGTTAGCGTGCGCATCGTGTGGCTTTATTCATCACTCGCCTTGTAGAAGGCCATGACATCGCTAACATTCACAGATCCGTTAGCATTGCGCCCGAGTGTGATGTCGATGCCACAGTAGGCTTGACGTGTCGCAAGAGAGAGAATGTCCGCGTAGTTCACACCGCCTGCGACTACGGCTGCTTGCGTGATCTTCTCGTCCAATGACTGAGATCTCTTGTACGCCGCAGGAAAGTCGGAAAGGAAGTCGACAAGCTGCGCAATCATCAGTCAGCGACAAGCCAGAGTTCAGATGGAGGCACACTACCAAAGCCCTATCATCAGTATAATGGTCGCGATAGTACAGACTCCTCGCCTGAACCTGTCCGGAGAGATCAGTATACGTGAGGGCCCCTGTGCTGTTAGAGTCGCAAATATTTGCGACGGTCCAGACGATAGGTGATGTCGCTTTCGAGACGTTTCCCAGGTCTCGGGCAAACGCGACCACTGGATACGAACTATAATCACGCGACGAATCAGCAATTGTCCCACCTCGGTATACACGTGAGACGTGGACCTACTCAATGATGCTACGGAAAGCGGTATCTTCTGTGTTGTCGAGTGTGCCGTTTTGTACAAATTGAATGCGAGTAGAGCTATAGTCGCCGGTCCTGTATGTCGTACCAGGAGTCTTCTGTGTTGCATAGTATACAGTGCCCCAGGCCGACTGTGCGAGTACTTCACGATACGGCATCTGGTTGATCGTAGAAATTGAGTGATACATGACGTCATCGGTGGTGGTCGTAGACCAAGTGACGTTCTGGGATCGATCTCCAGATGCCCACTCTGTAATCAGAAGCTCAGATGGGGCTGTAAATACACAACGCGATGACAGAGACTCGCCAGCGGTTATATCGGTGTATACTTGTATCGAGTGAGACCTTCCGTCTGTCGCCAGAGCGTCGAGCGAGAGGTATGATGCGGGGATGGATTGCTTCACCAGATCATCCGGCTGCACGCGGCCATTCAGTCGGAAGTGATGATGCTCGGCCTTCGCAAAACACTCACCTCGATAGGATTGAGAAAGGTGACAGTCACTTGCACGGGCCCTGCTTGATATGTGAATACGGTACTCGTCGGGGACAGCGTTTGCTGGGGTCCCGTCGGGACGGTGGCTTGTACATATGGAGAGATGGCGTCAATTTCTCCAGCCCAAGCATACGTCGTTCCATCCACCCTGATGAGACCAACCCAAGCCTGAACCTGGCATGTATATTAGTACGAGCACCAGACGTTAGATTTGTGAAGACGCACTTGGGCGCTATATCCTTCTTGAAATACGGTGAAGGACGGTCCTGAGCGATTTGTTGGGAGATAGTTGAGAAGGTAGGGAGAGTGGGCGGCGATGGGGATTGCTGCTGGCCGAAAGAGTTGCGATTGCGCGGCCGACGGCAAAGCGTATGCCAAGATCAAATTGCAGCAGACAATGAGGTTGCACATCTGTGCTCTCGTACCGAGGCCTCGAGCGCGCTTCCGTGAGTGGGTAGTAGGGTGACAGAAGCCGAGACCATGACAGACATATATATTTCCCGCTTCTAGCCCTTCTTGCCGCACTGACACCCGTGGCGTACAGCGACAGTTGGACCCAGTTCATTTCCAGCGTAGTCAAGAATGGAAGTGTGGGTCATTGGCTGGACGCGTCGAAAGTCTCGGTCCTTCTGGCTATGCTCACTTACTCGACAGTGTGGTCACTGCTGGAAGATGGTGTGACAAAATCCTGTATCGAGTACTGATGTTGAGTGTGAGAAGCAGCACAGGGCAAAGCTACTGATACTCAAAGCGCACCTTCGCATTCTTGGGCTAGCACGGCCAGTCGGGTCTTCTGCGAGGAATGGTACCCCTTCCAGTCTTCGATGACACTCGCACCAGAACTTCTCCGGATGCATCAACCTTGTTGAGCTCAGAGTGCTGATAAAGAGCTTGGGTGTGACAATGACAGGTTATGTATATATTCCATGGGCTGTGAACAAGTCCAGTCTTCTCCGTGATCGTTGCCGTAGATGGCCGTAGGTGGATACGTTCGACCGTCGGCTCCGCCCGCTTCGCTTCCGCCGCATATTCGTGGGAAGTTCCGGGCCGGCGTCGGCCGCTCAGTACTGATGCTCAAACAACCCGCTGGCGATGCTGACCCAAGAACTCATGCAGCCAGAACGATAATAGGTTCAGACGCAACATTGTGAACTCTCACCTAGGGGCTGCAGGCACCTGGGAGCACTCGCAGCACGGATCCAACACAAGACGCAATGTGTTTTGCCAGCGTATACTTAAACTGACTCTGCTTGCCGGTACTATTTTCTACCAGTGAATGCCTTGTATACAAGTCTATCCCAGCTCACCCTCTACCGGCGATGTCTCGCAGAGTCAAATGAAACTGCGTTCAAATTCATCTGATTGGAGTGTTTACCGATAGCGAGTACTGGACACCCACTGGTCCTGCCGCCGGCCGAACGAGCGTCTAAATCGCAGTCCCTGCATCTCCCTGCATGCAGATCTCCCAAACTCACCTCTCCTGCCGCCCTGCCGCATCATAACTCACGCATAGGCTTTTCTTCTTTTCTCTCGCATCATGTAATGCGGCCGATGCTAAGGGATTCCGTCTTATTCCGAGCCGCTCTATATGGTATCTTTTGGCGTCGTCGATGGTGGGTCCGCCAGACGCGGGATTTGTGGCGTATCAGTGAGGATCCACAGTACGCTTGTATTCATTCTACATGGAGCGACGCAGATCTCATGGACCCCCGGACTTACCGAGATACTGTAGGAACACGGGGATCAAGAGGTGAGTGAATCCGGTGACCGGCGTCCCAATGCTGGCCGGGTCTTTCGTAGCCACGCCATCTGGTGTCAACGGTATCGTATCTTCAGGTATATCAATATAAAGAGAGGATCGTGTTTGAGTGTGCATAGAGGAGTGTAAGTACATATGACATGGCCAGGAAAACGATATTGCAGGTATGTGAGTGGAGGGGTAAAGCTGAGCTGCGACTGTACACGACAAGGACAGAGAAACGAAAGCGAAGGCAAGGCATGATCCAGCGACACAAGTATACAGACAGACGTTGAGCGAGAGCGTGAATAGATATAGCAGAGGCGCAAAGCATACGACGAGCGAGCGAGCGAACCCAAAGACCGCGAAATGATAGACAAATATCTTCTTTTTTCTTCTTCCGCGTTGACGTCCTCACATATACGTGATTGCCTGGTGAATGTACTCGTCTGGCAAGGGCTGCTGCATTTGCATCTGCACGCCCGGCTGCGCGAATCCCATCCCCATGTCTCCCATTGGCATGTTCATGCCCATGCCCATCTGTTGCGGGCCCATCCCCTCCGACTGACCCTGAGCATACCCGTTCTCGCCGCCTCCCCCGTTCTGCGCACCGTTGTACCCAGCATGCGCCGGCCCAAAAGGAATATGTGCGCTGTCGGAGTACCAGTCCCCGATACCAAACTGCTGGTATCCAGGTCCGGCGGCCTGTTCGGCTCCACCAACGTATGCCCCGCCAAACTCGAACTGAGACGGGACGAACATGGGTGGCGCGGGCCCAAACATATTCGGAACACCCATCGGCTGGTTGGCGTACTGGGTCTGCGGAGCGTCCGAGTTCGATATCTGCGTCCACGGAGAACTGAGGTCCGTCGAGGACGAAGAGGGACCATTGGCGGGACCATGCGAGGGGACGAAGAGCGGCGCGAGGTCGGCTCCGTCACGGTTCGTATGGCCATTGGTATGACCGTTCGCCTGGTGGCCCTGTTGGTAAGACGGACCGGCCTCTGGTGTAGTCGAAGACGCAGACGGCGCATGCTCGCCGTTCGTGGTGATCCTCGCAGTCTCCGCGCCACGTCTCATAAGCCGAGCCTGAACCTGGTGGTCGAGCAATCCCTTCAGAATCTGCGCCATGCCGGCCGCGCTCGCAAACGTCTCGCCGACCTCGGACATATACCCGATCGCCTTCTTGGTCTTGTCCGTCGCGTCCTTCAAGCGCTGAGTTGCAAGACGTGGACCAGCTGTTGCTTGGAGAGCATCGAGAACGAATACGGTGCCGGCCGCTGAGACGACTTGAATGAAGGTGATGGGTACATAACGAACGGTGAAGCGTGCGCGCCAGGAGTCGGCGAACTCCATGATGTCGGTGGCGGCCCTATTGCAGCGCTGAAGAACGACGTCAGCCACAGAACCCACAAGAAGAACAGTGAGTATGAGTACCTTAACATGGTCCACTTCATTAGCGTGCTGGTCGTCGCGCGCCTTCTTGCGGTAAAACGGCCGGTGGAGGACAACTATGAGCCAGTGATAGGTCATCATGAGCATGAGCTGGTGCGGCTCCGCGGTGTTGATGTTGGCCTTCGTGACGTTGATGTCCAAAGGCAGCTCCTCCAGCCATTGCCCGAGCTTGAAGCTGCAGGCATGTTAAGCCCATCACCTTCAAGACCGGGACATGTATAATCTACGTACTCTATTTGAGCAATCTTAAGGGTATCATCCTGTCTGATACCGAGGCTATGGTAGTTGTTGCTGCGAGAATGCCAGTTAACATCGATAGGACTGGGCACACATGGCGAAGGAGGATACACTTACACAATCTGGATGATCTCTCGCGCGATCATCAAGAGGGTGCACGTGTAGTAGAACGTTCGGCCGAGATTCGAGTGGTCTTCGAAAGGCAGCGGCACATTCTTCACGCTCTGCAGCGAGGACACGCTGTGGTCACGGCCAACGTACAGACACCATGTAGTATCCTAGGCTCCGATGTCAACGGAGGCGCACGGTATGGGCGCACACATAGACACATACCTGGCAAAACGTCGCCCAGAACCCCCAATTGCGGTCCCTCACGCTCTCCGGTGATATCAGTCCCTGTGCTACCCATGGGGTGCAGTCGACACCGAATCCGACTAGAGCAGGTGAGATGCATGGAAGGGAAAACAAGGATGGCAATCGAACTCACGCGCTTGCGAGATTCGGGCACTGATACCTACACGCCACCTGTCAGCCGCGGTCCGAACTTAGAATTCTAGAACTGGCTTTCCACGTACCAAAATACATGTATCCCAGTGATGGGCTCTTGCGGGACGAATGGTAATTCGCGAGCACGGATAGAGCAATGACCGCACTCAGCGTCGGCCGGTCACACTCGGCCTCGAGTGATTCGCGAGCTTTGTCCGCAAAGGCCTGTCGTGCTGCAGCATTGTTCACGCGCTTATCGTCCGCGAATGCTGCGGCCACGGACATGATAGCGTTGTGCAGCATGGGCGAATAGTGCGAGAGTTTGGGAGGCGGATGCAACGGCGGCCGATGCAGGACGCGGTACATGTCGCGCAAGAACAGACGCTCGTTCACGCGATGATGCCAGGAAGAGAAGAACTTGAAGAAGCGCGTGAGGACGCTGCGGTTTCGTCGTCAGCGAACTTTGAACGGCGCAAATAGTAGCCGGAAGGACTTACAGGTCGTGCTCCTGTTGAGTGAGTTGCACTTCTGAAGGGAGATAACGCTGCCAGTCAACCGTCGCGTTATGTTGACCGAGGGCATACGCATATTGGTCGGCATTATCTTGTATGTGATGACTATGCGGGGTCGGCGCAGGCTCCTCGGAACCTAAACGCAGAACCGAGGTTGGGCCCAGGAGCTGAAGGTTACCGTCTTGAAGCTATAGCATCCGTGAGATGACACTTTCAGATGAAAAGAAGCGTTCGGAAGACGGACATGAAGATGATGTAACGGAGCCGCGATGGCTGCGATATCGTCGTCGTCGTCGACCTCCTCTTCCTTGTATGACTGGTTCGAGCTCGACCCCGGTGAAGGTCCGTCCAAAACTTGCTCTGCAGCCTCCACGAGCCCGCCGTCATCTTGGCGTTCGTCCACGGGAGAAGGTAGGCCAAGTGCGGCCCGAAGGCGGCGGTTCTCGTTTTCCAAGTCTCGGTTTCTCTGCTCGAGCGCTTGCTTCACCGTACGCAGTCCATCGACGTACTGCTTGTTGTGCGGCTTCTTGGCGTTTTCGGTTCCCCAAAGGCACTGTGACGAGTAGAGTCAGCAGGCGCAGGCATGGCTTTTGGTGGAGCTCACACTAACCTCGTGCCCTTGCTGGCGGCAGGTGCCGCAAGTAGGCTGCTCGCCGTCGCATTTGGTTTTTCTGCCGTTGTCGCCGTCAATCTACTGCGATCCGGACATAGAGTACAACGGTGGACCAACCTTTGACGGCAGTGATTGCAGGCGCGCGCGACATACTTGCCGCGAACGCGACCAGTGGAGCTGGGCTCAGCGCGAGGCATAGCCACTGGTTGGTCTTGTAGATGGTGGCGAGTGGGGAGGTGAGTTACCGAGAGGCGCCCGGGGATCGAGTCTTATAAGAGATATGCCGGAACGAGGATCGCGGTGTGGGCGCGATTCCAATCAAGTCTTCGGTGTAAGCTGCCTGAGAGTCGGCCGCTGTTTGACAGAACAAGCAAAGCAGACACGTGTGGGCGTCTATGTGAGGAGCGATTCGCAAGGCCAGAAGGTGTTGCCGGAGCAAATCCAATCAGCGCGCATGTCACGAATGCGATAACGATCGTGGACCTACAGCGCGTATTCGACCCAGACGGCAAAGAAGACCGTCAGAGGTTCGTCACCGTCGTGCGATGGGTAAGTCGGGTTTTGTAGGAGAGAGCCAAAGGAAGAGAGCCAAAGGCACGGTCAGTCTGCGAGTCCGGGGCTCTAACAGCCGGTCAAGTGATATAGTGAAGTAATCAGGGCCGTATCAACTATATCAGAGCCGCCGGCCGGTGCAGCAGATCGGCTCTATTGTGTTGTAATCTTCGCGCGCGCGGGGAAGTCCAGCCAAAGAGGCAGTGCCGAAGAGACTCGTCGAGACACAGGGAGCTACAACCTTGCAGTGCAGCCGAGGAAGAGAGGCCGTCTGACACGGATCTCTGGGGGATCGGGGAGATGAGCGTAGGAGCGGAGTGCTCTTATGGCTGTAGTAGGCGCCCGCCATGGATGATGGCCTTTGAGTTGAACGTTGACCGCGCACGGCGTTCCCCGATCGTGAATTCTGAGAATCTGATGCCGCGCGCGCCATAACGCCGGCGCGTATCTCCTCCCCAACTGTCATCGCCACCTCGGGCATGTCTTCGCCCGACTCTTCCACGAAAGCCCCTCCAGGATAAGCAGTACAGCTCCTGGCTGACTCGCTATCCTTTGCACAGACCTATCTACTCGCTATGCTCAGTCTGATTGTCGAAACGCCGTTAGAACTTCTATGAGGAAAAGGATGCGTGCACGGCCCCAGGACGCAGAATCGCTGTAGAGCGTCCATATCAGACTGTGAAGTGCGGCCTGTGTACGTGTGGCCTAGGCACTGCAGCCCTGCAAGGCAGTTGGCTTCGAGATGGGCGATACCTCGCAAGCGCATCGATGGTCGCGCGTGCAGCAGCCGCGAAAGTGCAAAAATGTGAAACTGCTCGTGTCTCTCCAGCGCCTGTGGCGTTGGGTTCTGTCCTTCGATGCCACTTGATCGACTCTCGCCGTGTATCTATCATGGATACACAGAGCACCTCAAACGGCGTACGGCGCTCGATTGAGTATAGCGGCGCTCGCGAGGCTGGCGTTCCGTCGTGCTAAATCCGCCCGCTGGCCGCCATTTCGGCGCGGGCAACTGCTTCTGAATGAAGGCACATGAAGCAGCGTGTACGTATGTGGACGCGCCGCAGGTCATCCACTGTGTTTGGTACGCTGCAGTTAGGTTGAGCGTGCAACTACACCACGGAGCTAAGTTGTAAATGATCTATATGCTATCATGTTGCTGCTTTGGGACAGCATATTGACTACGCCTCATGTCACTAGGAAATCGAGCACTGCCGGAGAGAACATGTTGGTTTCTACAGCCCTCACTCTGCCGTAGCGACAGGCGGAGGTGCTATCAGTACAGTATTGGTGTCATGATCATCGTATGCAGACGCACTGATATCCACCAGTAGCCATCTGTCAACAACGGCTCACGTATGCAGACGGATAGCGCCTTCCGGACAATGCCTTCCCGTACGTCCCTCCCATCGTGTTCGGATGTCACCGGCTGACTATCATTGATAGTAGTGATACGCCCTTTTCCGCTCTGAGGACGTATCCGCGCCACAGCTCGCGACGCGCGTCCGACCACCTCGGCCTTATCGGTCTTCCACATGCTCACCTTCACCCTACATCTTTACTTCCGTACCACTCTCCTTTCCCGTATTCGTCACTCTACCCTACGATTGGCTAACTACGAGACATTCCTCACTCTGGGCCCTTCTGGCCCTTGCTTCTCCTATTTTCATGACTCACTTCTTACATTTCGTACATATACTACGAGTCTCGCGATGTACGTAGAGGGATTCGGACGTTACCTGGCCTCCGGGCCCCCCGAATAGCATCCCGCTGCTTCCCGTCCCTTTCCTGAGGTTCGCGTGCAGGTCGCTCGGACCCTCGCACACACCGATACTCTCCACGTCGTATACGCGACATCGAGCCTGTCAGTAGTGACAGTAGATGACTGGCGAACGAGTATTCGCGTCTCCGGTGGCGGTCCGCGGGACCTTCACCCATCTTTGGTCATTCATGCTCCATACAAGCGAGTTAATGTGCGCCAACGTGATCATGCAATCTCTATCGTTCTCGTCTGCCGATACGGGGAAGAGATGACAGGCTTCGCCATATCCTCATTCAGCCCTCGCTCGCGGGACCTTGTGTCTGCTCAAAGCAGGCTCGAAGACTTTCAGGTAGTCGCGGCGATCTGTGTGAACCCGCTGTCGACATACGCAACAGCGAACGTTTTCCTTTGTTCGATGTAAGGAAACGGTTGTTTTCAATCAAGTTGCTCAGTAAGCAGGAGCAGGCTCGAGGTAAAGCCGAGGCATCGTACAGCGCGTGATCCCAGCTTATTCAGGTCATATTGCGACATGTTCCGTGACGCCTCGGGAGTTCGGAGACAGGCAAATGTAGGGAAGCCTTCAGACACGCATACGCTGCTTCTTCGATAGAATGGCATACTTACTGCGTTTACCCCGTCCGTCGATAGTGGCGCGTACTTCGATGGCTGAAGCCGCTTGACGGAGGCGTCTAACCTCTGAATTCAACAAGACCGTGATCAATGACTCTATGCCTTGTATGTGCAGGGTCAGGCGAAGTTCCAATCGAGACATAGTATCCAAAGTTTAGATGCAGAAGGTTCACTATCTCCGGTACGTAGCGGGCGGGGAGCCAGTGAGCGTTCTGGTCCGATACGGAGGCCCCACGTCGCGCGCGCGTGTTTCTCAGACGGCTCGTTCTTGCCGTGCTTCTTGAGCTTCAGGCGGGTCACTGAGCGCGCAAGGCCAAGGACAGAGATGTGTGGCAAGCTTGATACGTTCTCGACCGGCGAACACACTCTTTGTGAACTAGGTAATTGTGCACGCCCACTGGGCATGTATCATCGAGCTTCCTTCGAGCGTTGACGCTCCTCGTAGGTTGTATGCGACTTCTCCAAGGCGCCCAAAGACAACCTGGATCAGTCGCGTTATACTGCGCGTGTTGCATGGAGGAGTGGTGTCTCTCGTTAACGATGGTGCCTTCAAACAAGCTGCGCTCCTATGTCGATGCTGCGTTGACCCCCTGGGTGTATTCCCTCTCCGGCAAGGAGACCTACGGCATGAGAATAGTGCGCTTCAGGATGTTCGTGGTACGAGATAGGTGGCTTCGTAAGGTGTAGTAAGCCGCTTTCTTGACGAACAGGATCAACAGTCTGAAAGTGGAAGTTAGTAGGCCCTAACAAATATCCCCATTGGCAAGGCTTGGGTCTGTCTCGGGCTCCTCCGCAGCAGTGTTACGCTTCTGGTCTTTCTCAAATTCAGGAGCAGAACGTAAGATCCATATGGAACAAACCATACGAGCAACATGGGGCCACTTCTTCAACGACCAGAAGAGTGAAAGATTGCATTCGACGGCCTTACCACATGCGTCGTCGTTGGATTCGGTAGCAAGTAAGGCCGGAGGACAACTGCCAGCAAGTTGTAGAGACAATGTAGCTGCTATCATTAGCGTGCAATACGTGTGGGGAACCAGCACTGTCCCACTGTGTCTTACGCATTGCTGACAGTGGGTCTCTATGGCAGATCCTCCGGTGCATGCCTTGCGTGGTCGAGTAAATACCCATGACAAGCCAGAGGATTCGAAAACTATTGAGTGGATAAATCGAGTGTCCGTGGCGCTTGAACGACGGGAAGTTCCCGAAAGCATATGGTCTGTCTTAAATGTATGATGGATATAGATCCTGTCGAGAGCATGATGCCAGTACTCAGGTTTTTGCCCGACCAGCGAGACTGGATTCGAGTCCATGCGAATTTCCGGGCGAGTAGTACTAAGTATTGGGTCTAAGTATGTGGTGACGTGAGGCCCGACATTGAACATGTATGTGAAAGGACACAAGATATTATACAAGTAGATCCGGTACTGGTACCCGAAAGTTCAACACGCTCGTGTCTAAAGGCATACGTGTCTTGTTCATGGGAGTCGCACCAAGACAAGCGGACTCGCGGCACGCGCCGAGGTTCGCCGATCGGCCTTTCGGCCCGTATCACGCGCATTTCTCACAACTTGGCTCTGACCGTGATGACGATTTGAGCGAAGTCGCTCTCTCACAAAGACGCAAACTACCATTCCAGCGAAATATACACATGTATTCTGACGGAAGGATCAAAAACGCCTAGCTCGACACAAATTTAACTGGCGTATCTCTCTCCGAAGACGCAGTGGAATATGGCTTTCAACGACGCGCGCGCGGCGGCCGTCTCCCTTGTCGGAGCAGACCTTCCCTCGGACTCGGCCACTTGCTACGATGCTGCATGCCAAACTGCCTGTACTTCACGCGGGCACAGGCCTCCTCCAGCACTCGCTCTCTGGGTACCCTCGAGTCGCGATTTGAGTCATATCCGCGCCGTTCGCACTGCTTCAGGTGTCCGGGCGCTTGTACTGAGCCTCTGGTCCAGTAGCTGTGGCCACTGCATGGATGACGTTCCCGAAGCCACGCATTTGCACACCAACCACGATGAAAAACGCGTGGGCTCTAGTGAGTTCACTCTAAGAGAAGCTCGAAGACGGCCGCTATCCAAACTTGAAGTTTGACGTCCCAGGCGTATCTTCCTCCACGCCTTCGCCATGTTCAGTGCCTCAAACTTCGAGAGTTTGTACGGCCGCCGGCTTGGACTTCTCTGCGCCAAGTCAGAAGAGAACACGATGCTACTCATAGGCGCCCATTAACGAAGACCTTAACGGAGCGCCGTATTCCGCTGTTTTCAATTATTGGCTCTTCGCGCACCTCATCCCGAGCGCCCTTCCTCGGAACGCCGGTGGTGAGAGCGAAGCGCATCCTCGGACTGACTTCAGGCTAGGCATTGACAATTTGATTGCTCGAAACTGTACCCATGCCCCCGATATAGTACCGCATGCGGACCCACACTTCAGGTACGACGGAGCGAACGCCGTCGATTGGTCTGCTACCATAGCACAAGTATGTCCGGCTGGCTTGTTCACTGCAGCCGCATTACTGATGGAAACACTAGATCTAAGGCGAGGCGATTCTGATCTACAACAGGAGTGTATCTTGTGCGTAAGCGTACGGCACGAAGAGGTCGAACCCCTTCCATCATGTCCCGCGCGCTTTCCGTCTACATATCGCTGGCGATCATCCTTCTTCCCTCCACCACGCCTCTCTTCAATGCTTCCACATGCTGCTTCACTATGAGAGCGTCTTCGAAAGTCGGATACTCGCCGTCTTCGCCGCGCGCATACTCGGCCCACGCCCTCCCAGCAGTCCCACCAAACTCAGCATTCGCTTCCTCTAATGATACTCTCTCTTCATTCAGGAATATCGCTTCCGGAGGATACACGTGAGGAGCTTCGCCGCAGAAGGCGTCGGAACCGATTCGTACATGGATCTGACCTTTCGTGCCGCTGATAGTCCAAAGCAGCACAGGGCTTGTGGTTTTCGACTCGAGCGGCCTCGTACACCAGGTCCCGCTGAAGAGTGCGCCAGACTTTGCAAACACACCATTCACGCCATACTGATCCGGTTGCGTAGCAGATACGATCTTGGCTGCTTCATCGTCCGGAGAAACGCCAACTTTTACGGTCGGGATGGTCGTTACACCGGTCGCAGAGAGCGAAGCCAGAGGACCCACGGCCCGAATGATCATCGAAAGGCCATGACCGATCCAGATATCAGCAAGCGTCGCGCCATTGGTGGGATCCAGTGCAAACTCGTACGAAGGGGTGACGAAGGGTGTACAGAATGTGGACAGCCCGGCCGGCCTCTTGACTGCAGACTGTTTGTCAATCCAGTTAGCACGGCGTTATGCAGAATCATCGTATCGCAAGTCTTACCCATGTCACGTTGTTCACCGCCCCGATACTGCCAGCTGCAATGATCTCGCGGATCTTCCTCACAGCCGGTGTCTGCCATGCTTGCAAGCCCACTATCGTCCGCACGCCCTTCTCCCTCGCCTTCGCCGTCAACTCTCGTGTCTCTGCTATGTTCTTGCCGAGGGGCCACTCCACAAATACGCTGCGGCTCTTCTTCAACAGCGGTAGAACGGCGTCGCGACGGGCGGGTGCTTTGATCGATACGACGACTAGGTCTAGGGAATCGTCTGCGGCGATGGCGTACGTGGGACCGTGGTAGGGTCGTACATCATGCCCGATGAGCTCGCTGAAGTGAGCGGCATTCTTTGCAGCAGACTGAGGAGAAGAGCTGCAAAGAGCAGATAGTTGATACTGAGACTTCGCCGGTTCTGACAAGAGAGGCGGCAACAATGCGAAAGCCGCCCAACCCAACCATTCGACTGGTCGGAGAGTCCAAGGACCCCAAGACGGATGGTCATTGAGGGACAGGGGGCAAGGGAAGGGAAGGGTGCGCAGGTGCTCAGGATCTATCTTAGTACCATACCGTATACGCTTTCGCCTCGCACAAGAGCACGTCAATTCACGCGAATAGGCAGTCGGCTGCTCAAAGTAGAGTCAAGGCGCTCAAGTTAACATGTTGACACATGCTACTTATCGGCTCCGGCCCGAGCTATTGACGGGATGGAACGATCTCTTCCCGAGATGGTCGTTGAGATGAAGAAACGAGGATCGGCGTTCATGCATAGCGAGAACAGAGAGAGCAGGCTGCTGACCATCCATGGTTTGGATAGGGTTAGGGTTAGCTTGAGCGTCGAGAGCCGCGGCCAGGTCGCGACACGCGTCATGGCACAAACCATGATCATATATGTGAATACCAGTTCCTCGAATGTCCCTGTCTCTCATCATGTCGCTGGAATATATCACGTTGAGCATGCGCGAGTCTGTTTATCAACATAAGACTGTATCGGGACGAGAAGGACCATGTACGAGGAATGCTTGGAAGGCACCACTAGAACCGATGTCTTGAGTGATTGAGCTCGAGGCTTTGTGTTGGCGGCCTGGGTCCGGGAATGCGCTGTACGTCGGTGCTGGTTATACGAGGAGTAGACATAACGCTTACAAGGCTCTTCAGCATCCAGGACGGCGCGGAACGGAAGCACAGTACGGGATACCGACTTCTCTTGGCAAACGGCCAATCCCGCCCGACTTTTGCCCTGCTCAAGAGCTTTGCGTCGGGAATCTGACAACATAACGCGCACGATGATTCCCCTTCGCGCTCTGACATTCCGGCCATGGCGTTTTGAAAGGGCAGACAGCTGGAGAGAGCCATCACGTGCCAAACGACCTAGGTCCGCGCTTTTGGCTCAGCTCGCATTCGCCCTCGTACTAGTCGTCAGCATCTTGACGGTCTTGAGCTTTGCTTCTTCACGTTATGGCTACCATGGGACGACTCCGCTACACCCATATCCCCCATACGACCAGGACGCGCCCTGGAGGCCGACAGACGCGATCTGGGACTTGCTTGGACGAACCGGCCCCTCTCGCGATGTGGCGACATCAACAAGGTGGGCGCCTACGGCCATTACCACCTGTGGCCACAACACACAGCCATACTACGCACCATGTGTCGCCGAACGTACTTATGGAGCTATGTATGGAGAGGAGCTGGTGTATCCCGACTTCCGGTTGCGCACGCCTATCTTCGCGCCCTCGAGGCAGCGCGATGACGAGCAAGCTTGGAATGCGCTCTTGAACGACATTCGCGAGCGGGCCTCAAGATGTGCCGAAGACGGTTGGGTCTGCTACCGCGGTCAACACGGGCAGAACATCATCATTGCCAACGCGACCTATACTGGAGATCCGCCTGCCGACATCTGGTCTGACAGGGCGTGTATGTCCGACGGCGTCTCCGCCCAAGGCATTCATGTGCAGGAACCCGGCACAATTCTCACGGACGAGGAGTACGAAGCCAAATACCCCGTTGACAACTTGTTGATCGCCACCTCGCCCGACTCTTGGTCCTTCCAACACTTCCTCGATCGCGTCGTCCATATCATCGCTCAGGGTACACATCTCACCCGGACCGCGCCCGTGCATGTCGTCACGGGCCGCGCTTCGGGCAAGGCTGTCTCCGAGAGGTGGGACATGCTCGGTATCCCGGCCAATAGCGTACACCATCGCGGGTCCGTCGGCGCCAAGGCTATGGTCTTCAGTTGCCGCGCGCCTCTCATCCATCCATGGCTCTCGTATCGCGCGCTCGAGAAGTTCGGACTCAACAGCACCAATGTGCCGCTAGAGAAACGGAAGAAGGTCGTGTACATGAGCCGCTCGCGCGGCCACACGTCCAATGGCGGTCGACGCGTACTCAACGAAGACGATCTCCTCTCGCAGATACGGGATCTCCTCTCCTCGCGCGGACAGAACGAAGAGCTCGTGCTTTTCAACCAGGACAGCTTCCGCTCACAATCCGAGCTCATGCGCTGGTTCCACGACAACGCCCGCGCCATCATTGGTCCACACGGCGGGGCCCTTTTTAATCATCGCTGGGCGGGTATCGACACACTTGTCCTGGAGATGATGCCGACTACGTTCACGTCGCTCATGTTCTGGGAGGAGGCTTCCATACTCGGGCAGGTATACGTCAACATGATCTTAGAACCCGTAGGTGGAAACGACATGAACGCCGATATCCCTGCCGTGCTCGAGATTCTACGTGGACATCTCGGCAAATCGGATCAGAGAGGCCCTGCGATCTCTGAGATGTATCGCTGGCGTGGGCCGGAAGTGCAAGTGCCATTCTCCAATTGATGTATGGGCAGTGGATTCGTTTCGAGGTATCAGAAGTTGAAGCTACCATAGTCTTTCTCCCGTAATATGATGTATTCCTATGATTCAGATTAAGTCAGGTCCTCTCAACATAACTTGGCGTGAACAATCTGAGAAGCATCGATTTCTTCTAGCAACATGATACATAGAGGCCCCCAAAACATGACATAGCCAAAATGAAGACATAGCTCAGAAGCACCGGTATCCGTCACTGCAAGTACTTGTCAGAAGTCCCCATAGTACATATGCAGCTGAAGTCTCGCAGCTTACCGCGACAGTCAACGGTACATCTCCTTGAGGTTGATAAATTGTGCATTCAGCGGCGCTGGAATGGTATTGTCAGCATAGAGCTCATTCGTTCATGGTAGAGAGCTCATACATCGCCATCGCGGTCGCGGTCACCGTCGCGGTCACCTCCACGGTCGCCACCGCGGCCTCCGTCGTCGTCGCCACCGTGGCGGGGCGCACCGAGTGCGGGCGAGGCAAGGAGGACAAGAGCGAGGAAGACAGCAGACACGAGGGAGGTGGAGAACTTCATGATTCACGGTTCGGTTTCGGACTCGGAGAGAGCTGACGGTAGTACAACGACGCTGGCAAGCCTTTTATACGATCTTGAACTTGGGTAACCAACCTGCGAGCGTCTGAGCACCGTACGGTCCCTCAAGCACGCAATCCAGAGCGCAGTTGCCGATGCGAAGGCCAAGCCTTCCGAACAGCTCTTCGAGTAGGCTCGATGCATGGCCAGCCACAATTGTAGCATTTCGAAGGACCTTTGGGTGGTACCTTGGCGCGCGACCGGGAAGGTGCATGTCAACTCCTAGCGCGGGGTTCCACTGCGCTGGGAAGAACAAGACAGCGGCACATCGACGTGGGGAGTGACCGAGCGAGTAGATGGCACCAAAAAGGTAGAGTGTGGCCCGCCATCGTACAGCCGTATCCCACGGAGGCTTGTGGCGAGTCCATTCTGACTGCGGAGACGAGCTCGTGAGGGCCGAGGGCGTCTTGAAGAGCACTTGACGAAGAAGTGGCGCTACACCTGAGATAGGTGCAGTCCTGGACATGTCGCTCGAGCGATATGGCTATGCGAGGTCGAGGGGGCAAGAATGGGGCAAGAAATCATTGGTCAGGACCGGGGTTCTGAGCTCAGACGCGGGTGCTGTCGCATGACAGGTCGACTTCTCGGGTGACTTGCAGTCCCATAGACCAAAGACAGCTTCGGCCGCATGAGTCGCGAAGATAGCGAAAGGTCTGATATAGCCATTGCCATGAGCATCGGGGTGGTAGATGCGAGCCAGCAACCCTTCGAGTCGGACCCTCCTTGGGCGCGGGAAAAATGCGGTCCGCGACGCCGGCCAGTATACGACGACGTGGTCACGGTGACGCTTTGACCTCGACGTATCAGCACTGCAGCACGAAGCATATAAGACTTACTTATTCTTCCTTGGATACATGGACGTTCGAACTCACTTTGCTGATGGCTTTGCCTACATTCACCACTACTAGAGACTGGTGTCGTAGTTCTGAGCGCGTAACCTGGCCATTGACCGAATCCCGGTTCTGTACGGAGATTCAGAAGATACTCGCTCTTGACGCTTGCGTGCTTGTCCTCCACACCGAGCGGCTCCATACGAATGCATATACGGCTTACATGCATCAATACTACCCGATGGGTAAGCAAGGACGACCGTCTCAAGTCTTGACGGATGCCTGACACGCGTTAGTTACCAGTCGACCACTCCAAGTCCCGCATCGCGATGATCGTCGTCGTACCCTAGGTCTGAGGCATGGAGCGCGTGCCTTCCGGTCTATACCTCGCCCGAGTGTCATCGTATCTGTGGCTTTCGCTTCGTCACACCTCATCCTCTATCTCAGTGTCCTACCTCACCGACGCCCATGCATCTCTCACCTGAAGCTCGTCCTATGGACGCTCTCCATCGGACAGAAAGCCCGATTGTAGACCGATAGCGCCAGGTCGAGAAGCATCCCGCAGTTGATACCGGATCCGTCGCTCCTTGTCGTCCAGCGTGCGAGACACCAATCCGTATATGACCTTTAGACAACGTACCAAAGCCCGTCGCAAGCTCGTGCGTGTCTACATACGTCTTGATCATCCGCCCGTCGGCAAGGCATTCGCGCGACCGTCGAAGCTAACTATGGAGTATATACAGGAGCTCGTCCGTGGCCGCGTATCGGTCACTACTTCGCCAATCACGATATGACCTCTGCAGTCTACCCAGCATATCCTCTCTACCCCATTGCTTGCATCCTAGCTTCAGCGATGCTACTACTGGTCTTCTTGACCAGCTTCATCCGACAAAGCTGGAATCTTGGCGTAGCATTCCTTTGCTTCTGGCTGTTCTTCGAGAATCTGACCCTCGGCATCGATGCTGTCATCTGGTCCGATAATGGGGACATCAAGCTATACACTTACTGTGATATAGGTATGTACGTCTTCTCGGTATGCGTTATACACCGTCTTCGGCTCATGAGCAACAGTCACGCACGTACAGGAGATTGCCGCTGTCGTCAAACCAATGGCGACCTTGATTATCACTCGCCGCTTGTGCTTGATCGTCAGTGCGAAATCGGTACAACCTCTCTCCAAAGCCGCGGTGGGAACAATCCAGTCCATTATCGTTGCGTCGATGCTGACTCAATCCCTCGCCAGAAACGCAGAGAGCTGTTGATTGATTGGATACTGGGTTTAGTCATTCCTATGATAGTTGCGGGGCCATTCTGTGAGCGCCGCTAGTCCACTGCAAAACTCAGTGTATACTCAAAGGGTTTCCAGATTACGTTGTCCAAATACTTCGATTCCAAGTATTCGAGGGCATCGGTTGCGGCAATGCTAATGACACTTCGGTGCTCAGTATCTTGCTTCTCAATTCATGGAATGTTATCCCGCCTCTGGTGTCCATCACAGTCTATTACCGTATGTGGGAGCTAGTCCTTATGGTTTTCCTGATTCTGACGGATACATCTCGTTCAGCTGCAGTGATTCGAACGTTCTATCGCCATAACCAAGATGTCCAGGACTTTCTGCAAAGCAACGACTCGGTCTCGCGCGTCAATTACCTTCGCATCCTCGCTCTAGCAAGCATAGATATTCTTCTCACCCTGCCTATCGGCATCGCAACCATTGCTTTGAACGTGACGGCGGAGTTTTCTCGGGACGGCGTACCATTCTACTTCGGCTGGGACTACGATCACGATCCCGCGGAATGGAAGCCCGAGAGTGCTTCCTACGCCGAGACCGTAGCGAATGGAGCATCCACAATGGCACAGATATACTTCTCTCAGTGGACTTCACCCGTATTGGCGTTCATTATCTTTGGTTTCTTCGGGGTCACGTCGGAGGCTCGCGCGTCATACTGGCGCATCATCTGCACCATCTGCGGCTGGCTTGGTTGTCAACCAAGATCTCGCACAGACAGTGCGCGCACGACGTCCCTCGGAGAGATTGAATTCGGCGAGCGACCTGTGCAGGATGTGTCGCTCAATCTTGACCCAGAGTGTGTTCTACGTTGTTGGCTTACGCATCGGGCTGACATCAAAAACGCAGGCCTGTACCAAGTCCCACCAACCCTGGGGCGCAAACACGACCCGGGCCAAACACGGAGAGAGGACACGGACTCGCAGCAACCGCTGCAGAGAGCGACGCAAGCAAAGACAGGACAGAAGAACCGCGCTTGGTCCCAGGAAACATTGCGTGAGTACTCCGTCACGTTCAGATACATCTGAGCTCACCATGGGTGTCACGTCGCATTGTACATAGCTGCGTGCGCCTCGCGCATGTCAATCCGAAACACAAGTCCTACTGTGCGGAGATTGTCGACGCCCAGTCGGTCGCAATAAGCCCACTAATAGCTTCCAGCGCGGGCCCATCTTTTCATCTCGGCAAGGAGGCTGGTCCACCGGGCACGAGATTTCTTACGCGTGGGCTGTAGGTTATCGTTCCTTGCGTGTCACTTCCCGTATTCTTCTTCAATACTACATAACTGGTGCCCGTAAGGGATCATCTTGAGGGCGCTCGGTCACATCCCGGCATAACAATAATACCAATGACAGTGGTCTTTCTGGGCGATTTCGATTATGTACACGAAGGCCCAGGTATACATGACAAGACCCAGATCGTAAAACAGACAGCATAGGCGCCGGCACTCGTACTGTAAGCGCTTAGTCAGAGACCTCATGTTATACAGCCAACATCATGCGGCTTACCAGGCGAGTCAACAGCACGTCTCGTACAGAGTCAGGGTGACTTATGCGTTCAGCGACGCTGCAGGGGATGGTTTACATAGGGCTCTTCTATTCATGAATGAAAGAGAGCACGCACGTCGCCATCGCGGTCGCCATCGCGGTCTCCGCCACGGCCTCCGTCATCATCGCCGCCATGGCGGGCGAGGGCGGGCGATGCAAGGAGAACGAGAGCGAGGAAGGCGGCAGATACGAGAGAGATTGAGAACTTCATAGTTGAGGACTTGATTGAGGACTCGGAGTGAGCTGAGGATAGCACAGCGATCCCGTTCGACCCTTTATACGAGTCGATTGTATCAGTCATCGCACGCGCGAATGAGTGAAGCACGCCTGTTCTGTGCGTACCCTGGAGCGCAGCCGGCGATGTGAAGGAAAAGTCAGCCTGACAGCCGTAAGAGTAGGGTCGGTACATGGCGAATCACGCCTATTACCCTGAAAGGGCCTATGGGTGGTACCTTGGCGCGCGACCGGGAAAGCGGTCGACAGCTCTTAGCATAGGGTTCCACTGCGCTGGGAAGGACAAGGCAGCGGCACGTCCGTGAAGCGAGTACCCGAGGGTGCGGGCGGTGCCAGAGTGGTGGAGTGTATTCTGACAGCGCACAGCAAAATCTCAGTAAATGTCGAACCGGACCCAATCTGACTGCGGATCGTGCAAAGGTGTGAGCGCCGAGCATGCAGGAAGCGGCACGCAACAGATATGAGACATTGTCTGTTGACATAGGTGTATGCCTGCTGCGTGCTGCGGACAGTGAAATGGATGCATAAGGCCCATGGGGAGGACAAAGGGCGCGAGGATCAGTGTACTAGGAAGTGGCACTCGGCAGGCGCTCCCGCGCGCCCATGATACTGCAGCCGAGTGGCGACAGGACAAGCACTACGGGCTGTCATCTTCGGCACTCGGCAGCCCTATGCAAGATCTGACAGTGGCAGCTGTGTGCATGGCAGAGATATCCGGGGCGTGCGTATCCGTGTCATTGATGAGGTTGACGAGAACTTCTACAAGGCATCGCCTCATTCATGGCTCGAGGGATATAATATGATCCTGTTGAGAGTCCATTCAATGACGTATCGTTCCCTAACGTGGTAGCCGCAAGCAGAGAGCTGCTTATTCGTCTAAATGCGCCTACATGCAGATACACGATGGTGACACAACGGATCATCTTCGACTCGGAGCCGTCCCCCGGTGAATCGGAGTATCTTCTCTGACGATTGTCGTTGCCGGTATGAGCTATCCGTAGGCTTAGACACGGAAGACGCGGAGGAAGTGAGCGAGTGACACATATGTGTTGATTTGAGGGGATGTAGATCATGGCCGTTGAAGGCAAGGCGCGCCTTCGCGCCGTCGACAGCGCCACATCACTTTCCTCAGTTCACCTCAACTTCATGTAGTGAAGACCATGGAGGTACGGTATGTGCAACGCATTTGCATAGAGACTCAAGATTACTACATGTGCTATGTTTAGGATAAGTCACGAAAGGTTATATCAATATGGCAGTGGATCGTACAGTACAGTGCACAAGGCGCGGCCGTCGTAGAGTCTGAAGAGCCCGAGGAGGCATATGCATATCTTAGGAAAGGTTCATATCAGAGGCGCCATTGAGGTACGAAGAAAAGGTCGTGCCAGTCAAGTAGTACAAGAAGTCGTCGTTTTGAGAGTCGTTAGAAGAGCCAGCAGCGTTAGGAGTGTTAACGCCGTATGCGGATTCGTTCTGTGTGAGCACGGTACCCTGTAAGCTGCTATGGGTCTTGCGCAGGTCCGGAAATACTACAATGACAGTCAGCACACGCGTCCAAGCGAGAGGAGATAGCGTTGGCCTCACCAAAGTCATGACGCAGGCTGAGGATAGGCATGACTGCCCCCTTCGATACCTCGAGAATGGCGAGGAGGTTAAGATCTTCGATAGCAATTCGCCCAGAACCGACAGTCCAGTATGGATTGGAGCTCTCGCGATTCTCGTTGTCCTAGGTGTAGATGAGCGCATGCCGTTGACCAGGTTAAACCTGAAACAGTACATTGATGAACTTGCGGACCTTTCCCTTGACAAGCTCCACCAGACGTTTGAAAGTGAACACGTCCGTCTTCTGATTGTTATCGAGACGGATTTGCGAATCCCAATCAGGGTACCCGGGCCACTGCGCAACGGTCGTAAGACAGTACGGGAAATTTGGTCGTGCACTCACTCTGATTCTCACGAACAACGACGTTCTTTTCGTCCCATCAGGATGCGTGAACGGCACGTTTCCATTCTGCAGCGCCCATACGCCCTGCTGACCCACAGGTGAGCCAAGACCAGTGTCGGTCACGATCCAAAGGGGGACAAGGCCAAGATCGCGGTTGAGGACGGACGCAGCACGGCCAGGCGCACGGTCAGCATACGGCTTGTAGACGTTGAGCGGTATGATGCGGGCCGGGTCGGTGGTCTTTACGTCCAATATATACGAACGTTGTCCGTTAGCCGTCAGGTATGTGTGCGTGTTCGCGTGCTGACTGTTCTGGTCTGCGGGAAATGTGATGGCGTTCTGAACGAGCGGGATTATTGGACGGTGCTGCCCTTCGTCGTATCGAGCACGGATGAAGTTGAGAAAGCTGGGAGAGGCGGGAACTCCACCCTGTGCAACCGCAACAATGGATGTGCGTCGACACATATCCTCGCATGGTAGGATATACAGGAGGACGCCGTACTTGTGCTTCTCTTCGACTAGCGAGCGGAGAGACCCCACAACAGGAGTAGTGCCGGACATGCCGGGCACAAGAGTGTAGCTGAGGCTCGGCGTGCAGAGCTTTCGCCCCAGCTAACCAGCACTATTGACCGATACTAGGCATCCAGCTTCCAGTTTGTGGATCCACCTCCGGTGCTGACATAGGCCTCGAGACGGAGAGACGAACTGAATTCGATAGTCGTTGACCGTTCAATCTTCCCCGATTGGGAGGGAGAGCGCCGAACATCCTGGGGTGGATTGGATGTTCGGTGAAGGCGGATTCGGTCGACGCATCTTTACATGGTACGTGAGGGACCACGATTCGAAGGTCATTGTCGTCACGAGGAGAACCAGGTCTACGGGGCCATCACAGAATGTTGGCGCGAGCAGCCAGTATTTGAAAGATGTCGTCTGTAGAGTATCCCGTAGGCGATAGGCAGTGGTCAGGTCTGTGCTGTCGATGAGTAACAGGACCTTGATACAGTGAAAGTGGACTGGACGAACCAGCTGGACATGGCCCACACAAGACAAGTTCCCAAGGCGTTGCACGCCGACCGCACTCCAGTCGACCCAGGTGACGGGCGCCACGAAAGATTGACAGCAGCCTGTGGTTGGAGAATCCACGGCCTGATTTGGTCCGAACCCTTACGCATGCTACATGCTGCAGCCCTCTTGGGTTGACGTGTACCGTCGTCGATGATCCCATCGCAGCGCTTCCGGTTGAACCAAGTGTGCGCGGCGCTTGCCCCAGACCCCAAAGACTCATCCAGCAGGATTCGGTGTGGCCGCCCAAAGAGCATGAACGGTATAGGTAGGCTCGCTCTCCCCCGCGCGTAGACGACGGGGTGGGCAACGGCGAGGACGCCTCAGAGAACGCTCCCGGTGCGGACACAATAGTGCGGGAGAACCCTCCAGTTCGGAGAGCTGCCCGAAGGTATGCACGACCAGTACACCGTGAACCTTATCCGGGCGCTGGATGTCCTGAAAGCTCACTGAGCGGAGCACGCATCGGCCGAGCTTGAGCGTATGATGCGTAGAGCTCGTCCAGCAGCTCAAGCCTCCTAGCGTCCGATTTCAGGCCACCGTGACCAGCAGTTCAAGGCAAGATTGGGACCAATTGAGCCGTTGTGATCCACCTGCGGCTGCAGGGCCAGTTCTCAACAAGGCACGATGGTGTTCCGGCGCGCGCCTATGTACCACTTGCGATCGTGTGGTTCGTAAGGCCTTCATCCGCAGATAGACGCCGCTACCACCAAGATCCTCGTCTTGCCCACAACTTGGGTCATCGTAGCCACCTAGCGCCGATTTCCCAACCCGTCTTCCTGCGCCTGCTCCAGCCATCTTGTGTGACTAGTCGGGAAGGTGCTTGATTGTGCCCAAGGGCATCGTCCGCATTCGTATGACCCCAATAGGCATACACTGATTGATGTCGATGAAAGACCATCGTCGCGGAGATGCCACCGTATATTCGTTACGCCCGCGTGCACAGAGCGGTGTGGTCTGTAGTAAGTTCGTGAATAGGTAGCGTCGTCTTCTGGTATTAGGCGTCATGGGCGAGGCCATCGGTCCATCTTCGTCGATTGACCATCTGAGCGCGACGTAGAAGCTCAACGCTCTCTAAGGGCTCTTCGTCATGCGGATCCAGCTTGACCGTGGTGCTCCTCAAGTTCGGATGAGGTCGTGAAGTCGCCCTAACTGGTAACTTCGGGGCGAAGTCAACGTCGTTCATCTAAATCGCGTTTGGCGCTCGAATATCAAGCAAGCGGACGATTAATTCATGACAGCGAGCGCAGAGGTCAGCGTGGTGGTCGAAACCAAAGGGCGTTTCATCTTCGCCGCTGTTGTTGCAGGACTACTCTGGACATATTGCGATTCACACAATAGAGATCACACAGGTTGAGAGATGCATGAAACAGACTTTATAATCTATAATTGCGTGTGCGAGAACAAGAACAAGACCAGTCATTACTGCAAAATTAACGGGGATATATAAGCGTAGCCTCCCCTCGCGGGCTCGGGGGGCCCGACGTTCGTTTCGCGGCAGAAATGGGGATGGAAGTGTAGTGGATGCGGGATGGATGGGACGTGGACGAGAAGCTCGAGGCAAACTAAAACAGACATCATAGGACACATAAAGGCGAACAAGGAAACCGAATCATGAAGGGGAGCGAGCGTCGTAGCGGTGGCGGGCGATGCGTACGGGAGGGGAAAGGGGCGAATGTGTGCGGGTATAGGACTTTAAATAAGATGGATGAATGTGAACGAGGGAACGCCTCGTTCTCGTCCGCGCCGCCCGCGCCGGTCGTAACGTCGTTGTTCATGAGTAGGTGTCCGCCTATGCAGCCGGGCGCGAGGGGTGACGCTGGAGCGTCGCGCCGGTCTGTGCGGCCTGGATGCTGCTGAAGCGCTGGAGCTCCTCGGGCTTGACGCGGACACGGCCGCCGAACCCGACCTTGCGGACTGCGCGACGGATGAAGTTCGTGCGGTTGGAGTACAAGCTCTGGTTGATGGATGCGGCGCGGGACTGGGTGCGCGTGAGCGGGACACCCTCAGCCTGAGCAGCGATCTCCTTGGCGGCCTGACGCTCGTGGCGGGCGTGGAGCCATTTGATAAGGGTAGCCTTCATGGCGAACTTGATCAAGTCGAGCGGGAGGAACCAGATGATGTCCTACAGAGTAGATTAAGTGCCATGCACAATTGCACCAACGAAGATTAACGTACCCAGATCCAGACAATACCAACCCAGCCACCGGAGATACCCTCAATGTCGGTGAAGCCCCAGTCGGCGTAGACGGCGATGATCGTTGAGACGAGCTGAGCCAAGCAGAACGCGCACATGAGAGCGTACGACGGGCGCTCCATGAAGAAGAAGCCGTGCGAACGGGTGACGAAGATGAGCGCCTGCGAGATGATGGCAACCTGGAGGTAGATGATCGAGTGCAACTGCTTGTCGTTCGAGTCGATGGGGAAGGGCGTGGTGAGCGCAACACCAAACTTGTCCTGGAAGAAGGTCGTCTCCTTGATGATGATGACAAGGGCGATCCTGATCGGAACGTCAGCGTAGTGATCAAGACAGACGAACGGAAATTGCTTACGTCGACAGGGTAAGGTAGAGACCGTACGCGATGGCGTAGGCGAAAATCTCTGCCAAGTCCCAGGAGTCAGGGGTGTTGGAGGGCAAGACGCGGTCGACCGAGAGCGTGAGGATGGTACCGTCGTTAAGGAGGGCGATGATCAGAACCATGAACGACGGGAACTCGAACTTGTAGCAGAAGGCAAGGATGGCGAAGCAGACGACGATACGGATCGTGACGGCGCAGGCGTAGATGGCGTAGTTGCGCATGCGCTGGAAGATGATACGCGAGCCGCGGATGGCGTGCACAATCGTCGAAAGACCGGGCTCCGTGAGGACAATGTCGGCGGCACCACGAGCGGCGTCAGTGGCACCCTCAACGGCGATACCGACGTTGGCGCGGGAAAGAGCGGGGGCGTCGTTGGCACCGTCACCAGTCATGGCGCAAAGATGGCCGAGACCCTGGAGGCGCTTGACAATCTCGAACTTGTGCTCCGGGAAGACACCAGCGAAACCGTCGGCGTCCATGATGATCTCGTCGAGCGAGCGGTACTTCGTGCCGGGCGGGGGACCCTCCTTGAGAACCTTCGACGGGTACATGTGGTCGCCGAGACCGAGACGACGGCCAGTCTCCTTCGCGATAGCGAGCTGGTCACCGGTAACCATCTTGACCTTAACACCGAGAGCCATGGCGTCGTCGATAGTCTGCTTGGTGTCGTCGCGGGGCGGGTCGAAGATCGAGAGCAGGCCGATAAGCTCGAAGCCGTTGCCCTCACCCTCAGGGTCCTCGCCCTCAACCTCCTCGTATGCGACCGCAAGAGCACGGAGACCACGGGCAGCGAATTCCTCGACGTCGGCCTCGAGACGGTTCTCGACATCCTCGGTCTTGTTGCGGGAGCAGAGTTCGATGATGATACCGGTCATACCCTTGGTGACACGCTTGAGCTTGCCAGACGACTCCTCGCGGTAGGTGATCTCCGTGCGCTTGTCGACGGGGTTGAAGGGCTTGAAGTCGAGAAGCTTGATACCAGCGCGGGCCTTGGCGTTGTCACCGAGAGCACCAACGACAGAGGCGTCGATAGCGTCCTGGTTCTCGGTACGCGAAGCGTAGGCAGCGAGAAGGATAACATCGTCGGCGGAGAAGGGGCCGTAGGTCTTGATCGTCGAGCGGTCGATGGTGAGCTTGTTGGTGGTGAGCGTGCCGGTCTTGTCGGAGCACAGGATGGTGACACCAGCGAGTTCCTCAATAGCCGTGATACGGGTGACGATAGCCTTGTGCTTGGCGAGCTGCTGAGCGCCGACGGCGAGCGTGACGGACAAGACAGTGGGCATGGCAATCGGGATACCACCGATCAAGAGGACCAGGATGTTGTTAAGACCACGGCGGTACGACCAGCGGAAGCCGGCGTAGAGTACGAGGATCTCAACCACAACGAAGATGCCGATGACAACCAAGCAGAAAGAGCCGATCTATAGTGTTCAAGTCAGAATTGCCGCTTGGGCGCAGAAAGAATGCAAGACACATACCTGAGCGAGAATCTTCTGCAAGTGGCCGGTAGAGTCGTCATCCTGACCGACGAGCGACGCAGCGCGACCGAAGAACGTGTTGGGACCGGTAGAGATGACGACACCCTCAGCCTCACCCTGTTTGCAGGTAGAGCCGCTAAAAAATTGATGGAGCACGTGAGCAAACAGATCGGCGTTAAACCCGAAATGAACATGACGCACGAGAAGCACTGGTCGCCGTCCTTCTTGCCAACGGGGAGCGACTCGCCAGTAAGAGCGGCCTGGTCGATGGAGACGTTGATGGCCTCGGTGAGACGGCAGTCGGCGGGAACGATGTCACCAATCTTGAACGAGATCATGTCACCGGGGACGAGAATAGACGACTCGATTTCCGACCAGGTGCCATCGCGGCGAACCTTAGCCTTGGGCGCAAGCGAGTCCATAAGAGCCTTGACAGCGTTACCGGCGCCACGCTCCTCGTAGAAACCGATACCCGAGTTGATGAAGAGCAGGAGGACGATACCGACGAAGTCCTCCCAATCGGGCGGGGTGCCGCCACCGTTCGAGAAGGCAATGGCGACGAGAGCCGCCGCCTCCATAACCCAGGACAGCGGGTTCCACATGAACGAGAGGAACTGTCGCACGGCACGTCAGAAATGCATTCCAAGTTTAGAAACGCGCGAAAATAACCAACCTGGAGGAAGGGGTTCTGCTCCTCGCTCTCGAGCTTGTTGGGACCGAAAATCTCGAGGCGGCGGGTAGCCTCCTCGCCGGAAAGACCCTGGTCGTCGCACTGGAGGAGCTTGAAGACGTCCTCGACAGCGACGGTCTCGATGTCGACCTTCTCCTTGTCGTACAAGTCCTCAGCCTTGAGCTCAATCTAAAAGGAAGACGTCAGTCTGATTACGGCGTTAGACGGCTCGGGTTTGATGGCGAACCTGGGACATGTCAACAAGCGCATCTGGCAAAGAAATGATGTGAGCTGGCTGTTCGCAAGCGGCGTAAGTCGGGACAAATGGCTTACGGGAGGGACCCTTGTCTTCGTCGTGACCGAAGTCCTTGTACTCGCGCTTCTTCTTCTCTTCCTCAGGCGGAGGCGTGGCGACCTCGGCGGGCGGGCCGGCCTCCTTCTCTACTTTTGGTTCTGCGGAGGACATGATTGGCGTCGAAGAGCGCTTGTCGGTTAGGGTGTGGTCGGGGGAGGATGGGGGTTCGCACGAGGCGAAGTGAGCTGGCGCTCGAGTAGGCGGGTGGGAAGGGCGGGAGGAGGAGGGAGGAGGATGTGTTCGGGAGGAAGGACGAAAGCCGGCCAACCGCACGACTTCGTTTTTAATAGGCGACCCCGAATCAGAACGGCCCGCAAACAACCGCAAACACCAGATCCCGTTCCCCCGGATCCGGCCCATTTCTCCTCCCCCTTTTTCTCACACACTGCGCCTTGCCTAATCTCCCCGAACACTCCGCAGACCGCGAAGGAGTACACAGCCGCCGCCGCGCGCTACGCCCAACGAGCTACTCAGAACAGATGTGATCTCCCAACAGTCCAACGAAAGCGCCATCAAATCTTGACATGACGCCCGCTTTCCTTCGCGCCCGTCGCACACTTCTCTTTCCCTCTGCCCAGAGTTACTCCCGCACTCCGAATGCCACGCGCTTCCTCATGACTGGCCCGCGGATGCAAGATCTCCCCCCGCTCCCCGACGCCCCGACGAACGCACCCAACGCGCTCGTCGTGGGCGATAGCGTGTCCGTATGTAACCCGGACATCTCGCAGCCCGAAACAGAAAAATGTACATACATACCTGCGAATAAGATGACTGTACACTTCCGTCAACCGTCCGCGATGGCTCGTGTGAGAGTGCCGCTCGCCGCCGCGCTGCGCCGTCGGGGCTCGGACGTCGGTGCGCGCACGCTGCGCAGGTCGCTGCCGAACCTCGCCGAGGTCACTGACGCTGCTAGGCGCCCAACTTGCGCCTGAACAGATCGGTGCTAGACGTTTCATGCCTGCCCCAACGGTCGTATCGGTTCCACTGCGGCACCCGCTCGGCATTCGCGCCCATCGCGGAAGCAACATCGCGCGCCGCGCCGCGCGATCGCGACGACGACCAACCACGTTGTCCGCGAACGCGGATTTGCGCGCCGCTTCGAAATGCTACCTGCTATGCAACTGTGATCTTATGCCTGTTCTTCTTGCGTATCGAGATCATGTAACGTAGTTCAGGCCAAGAGCATGCATATGTTTGAATATTTCTGGTGCAGCTTGACGTCGGTCGACCTGGACCGACTGCGAAGCATCCATACATCCTGCCGAACCGAGCGCATCTTGATTAGCGGCGATGTTGTAGACATGCTATACGCTCTCCAGGTTCCGTGGTCTGTATGCGCGCGCAAGAGCCTCTTCGACCGCCGCTTCCCACCGCACTTGCACTGTTCGTGCGGCCATCGCGTACGCCGACCTTTCATACAAAGATCGCAACCACCTGCTCGAGATCTAGCTTGGCTGTCTCACTCTGCTAAGCTGTAATAGTTGCCCATGGTACTGAGAACCCCTAACGAGGAGCCACACCGAACCCGTGAACATTCTCGTCGCACCTATTCTGTATGCCCGAGTACCCCACACCGCTCCAGCCCCTTCTCATCAGAACAAAGGCAGCAAGTAACCTCAAGCTCGCAGGAGCTCTACCCCGCACAGTGTTACCCCCAAGGACCTACGCGCCACAAACGTCTGCGCCCTCAAACCTCGACCTGGCCTATCCCAACGCAGTTATATCTACAGCGCATCACGTATGTCAACAAGCACTTGGCGTTCATACGCACTGTGCAGATCCTTCATAATGAATCGGCTACAGCGCAGCGTATCAGGATCAACGCGAGCCTGTGCGAGTACGCGAGGCCAAGCCTATCATACCGAGCCTGCACAGACGAACGGTAGTCACCGCAACCCTGGGCGTCTCCGTGCCGCAGAAGCCAAGGAGGCAGTACAAGGAAGGACGTATCACATTCACACAGCGATTAGATAGAGCGGTATGTGAACGGTATCGAAGTTACAAATGTAATACAAGATACCGGTTAGACACAGTAACCGCCTGTACCCGCTCCTCGTCAACATCCCCACCACACACTCCGACATACGCCGCTGCGCGCGCCTCGCGTCTTCCTATACCTCCGTCCGCTCCCGCCCGTCCGTCCACTCCGAACTCAGACCTTCCATCCCCTCCCGCTCCGAGACCGACGCGACACAGCGTTGAGACAGCTTCGTCCAGTGATCGTCCCGGAAGAGCATCGAAGAACCGCTGCCGAGCACGGCGAACAGCGGGACAGATTCTGTGCGTCTGTATGCGCCTCTGCCGCGCGGAACGGCTTGAGCCGCGTTCCGGCCTTGCCGCGGCGGCACGAACTTCGAGAATAGACCAGCAGAGGATACCCTCGGACGTCGCACTGGTAACGGCGCGTGTAGTCCGCATGTCTTCGCACAGAATACAGCAGCATCGTGAAGTCCGAAGAGGCGAGGAAGACTGAGAACGCCGGCTCCGGGTTGGCTGACGGTCCGTGAGTGCCACAGCCCGACGTGCCCTCGGGTACGACGCTCGCTTTTCTGATACAAGCTCTGTTCGCCGTCCATTGATATGGGAAGCATATATAGCTTCGCGCTCACGGTGCGCGCACATACCGCGGCGGAGCACGACGCGCAGCGCGATGCCCGACGGTGTACCCCGCATATACCGAGCGGCGAGTTGGTGTGCGTGGGACCGAGCGCGAGGGGGTGGCCATGACGTCGGTCAAGTCGGATGTAAAGCGGATATGATCATGAGGGATGTCCGGTTGACGAGGAACGGCTAGGACGAGGAAGTGAACATCTTGGCGGTTGCGGGGTCCAGCGCCGTTTCTTCCCACGCGTCACAGTTACAGGCCCTCCTGCATATGCGTATGGTCGCGCGAGCTCAGGGTGAAGCACAAGCTTCAGAGCTACGGGAAGGCGTACAGCGTATGCTGTTGGTGCGGGGCGTATACGGGAGAGAGTAGGACCTTGCGGCGTCGAACCCGGCATTGACAGGCTCGTGTGCGACCCCGACATTAGTGCGCATACCCAGTACCCCAAGCCTTCCAGTACATTCCAAGCTCCGAGATACCGAGCAGCATGAGTAACGCCATACCAGACGGGGAAGATAGGGAGGATGTAGTGCTCGGAGTGTCGGACGGAAAGTCGGGAAGATAAGTGGGCTCAATGGCATGACAGGCGCTTGGTAACAACTGGTAGCCTCTGAGCGTTTTGCGCCGTTGGACGCGCGCGTCTGTCGGAAAGATCGCGTCCGCCTGCGACCGTGCTTGTTCCGTCAACAGAGCCTCCAGCCGGAACACGCCCTGCCGCGGACAGGGCGTAGGCCGTACAAGTTACGCATCGCGCGGTAAGATGGCAGATGTACAGATGTGCTCTCAGGCTGCGAACAGAAGTGCGCCGGCAGAGAGGGGCAGGATGTCGGGATGGACAGGATCACTTCAGGCCGCACGGCGCACGCGAGGCGGGTGGTCGACTGGAATGCACTGCGCAGCGAGCGGTCGTCAGAAGGACGGAGAAGAAGCACTCGCAAGCGAGAGTGGGGGGCGACGCCGTAATAAAGTGGCCGGCGCGAGTCAACGGACAAGGATCTTCAGGCGGTTGAATTCGATGCGCCTCTTTGTGCCGGCATGCCAATGTAGATATGTAGCGCTGCGCAGAGGGAGTGGAGGAGGATGAGTGGTCGGACGTTGTTTTTGAGGGGGGTTTCGGTTGGCTACTGCGTTGCGCTAGCGACACGAAGGACTGGGTCCTGGCAAAACGCTTCAAGCATCGACGAAGATTTGATTGTATTGCTTGCGAAAGGAGTTTACGGTGTACATAGACCAGCTGGCCCAATCACCACCATGCCTGTTGTAGGCGGATCGACGCCCGACTTGTTGCCATCACATCCGAGGATTATAGTTGCCGTGTGGACCGTTTCTTCCCCCAGAAAACAGCGCGAAGGTCGCAGAAGGTGCTCGCCGCAGCTGGAGTATTATGCCCAGTAGGAAGATCAAGAGTCTAATCATGCAGGAGGAGGGGGTCGAAGCGCCCAGAGCTGCTATAGAAGGACTTGGGTGTAGAAACGGTCATCATGTGGTCCGTGGCGATGCGCGACGCTGAGGCTCACACAAGATGGGAAGGCTTCCTCGGTCGTGTGAGGCCTTCCGACCAATCATAGGCGCACTAAGAATTGATTTGCTGCAGTCGTGATGGTCTTGAAGCGCTTGAGAGCTCCAGCTACAGATGGCGATGTTGAGGAGTTGTTGCTGCGAGAAGATACGACGATAACATGAGAATGAAGGCGTCGTAGTGGAGGTAGCGTGTGCCAGATAGCGCACAAACGGGACAGACAAATGTAGTCGGATCTCCCAACATTGAATGAGTTTACAGCGCATCAGATCGTTCAACAACACGAGCTACGAGTCCGTCAAGTGCATCGAGATCTTGATAGTTGCAATGATTAGGTTGTGGACTCGGTCTGGTATCCTGAACGTATACAGGTACGTATGCGTGTACCTCGGAGTATAGGCCGACGTGTCCTTGAACTTCTGTTGAATCAAGCGTGGACGCGCCCTACATCAATGAAATAAGCAGAGGCCCAGTTCCACTAAGCATGGACCGCAGGGGAGACTTACGCCAAGTAAGGGTATACCCTGCACTGCAAGACGACCATCTACGCAGTCATGTCCGCGTGCGGTGTCCGACTCCGTTCAAGGGGAGTACGTCGGTGTCCCATCCGCTCATGCCGGAAACGCTAGAGCGCCGTCCCTCGTCCACGGAACGATGGTTGATCGTTCGACCATCGGGTCAGAACGCGTAAGAATACGCATCCCATTCCCGACGGGATGTGATGCGACGCACAAGCCACAGGGACGGGGGTATCTTGCGTCCGTCTGTATCGTGTGTCGAGGAACCGCAGAGAAAACCGTTCGGGTATATCAGGTTACCGGACCGGCTGGTCCGAAGTGCCGAAGTACGGCGAGGGCGGGATTGGCTGGCGGCTCGTCGGCTTGAGGCCTTTTGGCGCGGCAGCATGCAACGAGCTCGGAGTGCGGAGGATCGTTCTAAGCATCGTGGGTCATAGTAGACATGACGGAGTCGTAGGCCGACTATCTTCGGATCGGGGTGGGTAGTGGGCCTTGACCGGAATGTAACTATAGCCATTTCGAGAGGCTGACTGAACGCAAGAGACAGCCAAGCGTGTCGATACGAGGCAATGGCAGAGATGGACGATCCTGCCGTACGCTCGATGTTCCAGATAGATAGTAATGGGAAGCGGCCGTCGTGACTCCAAGAATAGACGGCGTCGGGCCCTAAGGCCTCAGATGTCAGACCTGGAGAGCTTGAGAGGATTATGCGAAGCAGAAAGAGCTCCGTATACAGAAAGTCGTCGAGTATGTAGCGTACAGTCAGTCACGAAAGGAAGTTCATGATAGCAGGAGACAACGGTCAAGAATTGCGCTGCCACCGCGCGCCGAATTGACGCCAAATTGACGCGTCGTTGTGGCACCGTGCCGAAGCCCGAGCGTAGAGTCGACGCGATCATCATCATGGACCAGGACTCAAATCGGCTTCTTGCTCTGTAGAGCGATATCGGAACTGCATGAGCCCACTCTAGATATTGTACGCTTCTGCTTGCACGAGTTTGTGTGATCATCGTCTGTATTTCATACTGTGCATACTGTCCACAGTGGTTAAGGTCGACGCATTCGTCGAATCAAAGCTGGAGTCCGCTGCGCAATACGCAGATATATCTAGCACTTCTGCCTCATAGCGTCGTACTAGTACAGATCTGCTACCTGTTTGAAGCCAGGAGTTCTTTTCTCAGAAGAGTCCTGGACTTTCATATACTCAGAAGACTACAACATAGCAGGCGTATCAGGCGTATCTTCTAACCAAGATGTGTGATGAAGGCCGCTCATGAATTGCTACGCCTCCATCTGAAGCGGCTCCCGACAGTTCGGGCAAGTGCCGCGCTGAGTAAGCCATCGGCGTAGGCACTTCTCATGAAACCTAGTAGCAGACGCTCAGCTGGATTCGTCGACAACAAGACGGTGAAAGGAGACATACGCATGCCTGCACTCTTCAGCTCGGGTTCCCGCCTCGCCATCTCGCATTTGCGCGAGGCAAATGCCGCACTTGTCGACGCTTGTACCAAGTAACTCGAGCTTGAGCTTGGTGCGGCCGTCCTAGAGAACGACGTGAGTCATTGCGCTGGTGGCAGGATGATGGTAAAAAATCACCTTGGTAACCCGGCGACGCGTGCACTTCACCTCTCCGCGCCGGGCGTTCATGACAGCAGAGCCAGGATGTCTAGCCGGGCGTGCAGGTCCAAGGATGTCTGCCACACGCAATAGGTCCTGCAAGTATCAATTAGCCATGACGCTCGGTGAAGATAGGTCATGATGGCGCGAAGGGTATTAGATGGAGGGCAAGAAGTGGAACGTACCTCGTAGTTCTCTCCAGCACGCCCATCGGCAGTGTCGAGCCGTGAGAGGAGAATATCCAGTTCACTCAACTCAGCAGTACTCGCGGCAGAAGCGGGAGTGGGCGCCCTTGATACAGTCGCAGAGGTATTCGAACCGGGCGGAGGCAAGGGCGTCACCGTGTGGGCATGCTCGGCCACACGAGCGACGGGAGCGGCACGCTCGCGCAGTGAAGGCGTAGATGGACGTGACTGGGGCTGATGCGGGCGCGCGAGCCGCACGGAAGACGGAGATGACAGACCCTGCGGATCAGAGGCGGAAGTTCCCAGCGCCGGGCGGGTTGAGGGAGCGATACGGGCGGAGGATGGTACCAGATGAGTACGTGGTGTTACACCCGGCGTCGATGCAGCTGAAACCGCCAGTTCTGATGTTTCCCGAGGTGTGGTGGGCCGCGAGAATGGTATGGGCGGGATCATAGGCTGGCGCGATCCACCGCCCGGCGGGAGCGGTAAGGGGCGACGGCCAGCGGGGTGATGGTCTTCGCGCGCGGGGGGTAGAGCAGGAGGGGTGATTGCCGCCGATGGAATAGACGTCTGTGAAGGTAATAAAGAAGTCCATGCAGCAGCGCGAGCCGTCGGTGCGGGTAGAGGCAGATCAGGCGGCGGTAGATCCTCAGGTAATCGAGGAAGATTCATCTCCATGTGCACATCGCCGTCGTTCACGTCCGCACTGGAGGGCTCCGGTGAGTGATCGTAGAGGTCGATGAGACTCTCTGTGCGCTCCATGTCCACACCTCTCGATTCTCTAACATCCGTTTCCCCATCACCTGCCGTCGCGTAGTCCGTATCGCCAGCAGTAGAAGACATAGGCGACTGTAGAGGGGTCCACACAGGCGAAGGGGAAGCCGCAGGCGCGCGAACTGTCGCACTCGATGAGTCGCTGCGAGGCGGGACGGGTACGCGTAAGATAAGCGTTGATGAATCAACGTTCGCATTCGGCGGCGACTCAGCAGGTACGGGTGGCTGAGCTAGCGGGCTCGGGCGCACTGGCGCGTAGGGACGCGAGGGCGGCATTGCACGCGATGGGGAAGGCGGCGCATGCAAGGACAGAGGCGACGATGGGGGCTCAGCCTCCATCTGTGCTTGTTGAGTGGGCTCAGAATGCGTCCCGGCGAATGGTGTTGGCGCACTGTGCGTGCGCACATGGCCTTTCACCGTAGAATCGAAGCTCCCGGAGCCGATTCGTGGGGGAACAGGGGGTGGTTCGCGTCGAGGGTGCACAGGGCGCGGTGGTGGAGGCGGCGGGGGAGCGCGTTTGGCGGCCAGCGCCTGCACGGCGGGTGATGCAGAAGGAGGCGCCGGACGACGAGTGGTCCCGCTGACCGTCTTAGCTGCGAATAGCTCATAAGCCGATGTTGGAGTGTCTGGAGTAGATGGCGAGCTCGGCTCAGTTGATGCACCGGATCCAGCCGGTGATGAGATCAAAGGCTTGACGGATTGTATGGAAGAGGTCTGGGCGGCTGGCCCATCTGAAGTTGATGTCGGAGAGCTCGATAACATAGCGGGCGTTACAGATGCATGCGAACTTGGCGACGATGCAGGAGCAGGAGAAGTGGCAGTGGCAGTGACGAGGAGAACATGAGGCGGAGGAGTCGGTGGTGACAACGGTGTAGGCGCAGGAAGCATTGTAATCTTTGAGGGGCGCGAAGCGCCACGCGTGATGAATGGCTTCGTCTCTATCGCCGGCCGGACATACGAACCGCTCGATGCCGAGGCAGACGCGGACGATTCAAACGCGACGGGGGTGGTGGACCTGCTCGTGTTCTTTGCTGGCGTAGCGGCGGTGCCGGCCGATACGTCTCCCGAAGCTGTTCCATCAACGGCAACAGGTTTGGGCAACCCGGGCGCTGGCACTGTGTGCCTGCGTCCCCATATCGTCGACGGGCTCATACCGAGCCGCTCGCGCAGAGCAGAGCTCCCACCTTGGGCGGGATTTGAGGCTCCATGTATAACCTCGCGCTCTTTCCCCTTCGTAGTGACCGCTGGGCTGGACTTCGCCGGAAGCGAAGGCGGTGGCGGTGACGGCGTGCGCTCAGCCGCTAATGCATATAGCGCAGGCTCCGCGGCAGGAGATTCTGGGCGGCTCAGTGGCGCATGGATGGCCCTCTTGATGAATGGTGGTCGCGCCGGCGTGGGAGTAGACGCGGTGGATAATGTGGGCGATGATGGTGTCGATACGGAAGACGTGTTTTCGGGTGATGTGGGCGAAGAGGGTGAACCAGAGGCGAGAGATTGGGATGATGATACAGTGGAGGATACAGGTATAAGTCCAGATGATGCAGAGGAAGACGACGAAGCGGAAGCAGAGGCCGATGCTAGACGTGGAGGCAATGAGGACATAGAAGTGTTCGTGGGTGTGGTGGGCGTTAGTGGGGATTCGGAAGTTGGTGCAACCGATGTAGATTGGCATTGAACGTCTAGCATGGCAGAAGCAGGTGTCGTGAGTGAAAAGATGTCTCCAGTTGTCGGTGTAGTGGCGCTGACAGGGCTTTCAGCGCCTTGGCCGTCGTCTATGTCGAAACTGGCGGTACTAGGAGAAGCAGGTCCCGGCACCGTGCGCCTACGACCCCATATACTCGAAGCGTTGCCCAGTTTCCCCTTCAGCCCAGACGTCGTTGCAGGTGTTGAGGCGTCAGCCACCGTCGGTGTCCGCTCCTTGCCCTTCAAGCTCAGGCGCGGCTTCAAAGTTGAGATGGGCGGGGGACGGGGCTTTGACTTGACAGGTGGAGGTGGAGGCGGCTTGCGCCTGCGGAAGGGGTTCGCACTCGATGTGCTCGCAACAGGCGATGATGGATTGCTGACATTGACGGATTGGAATGCCTCGGCATCGGAGACTGATGCATCCAGTAGCTCCCAACTCTCAAGCGAATCTTTGGCTTTGTCATCGGTGGGGGGTAGATAAGTGGCCAAGCTGAGTGGGGAAGGAGACGATGCAGTGGGCGAGTCCACTGAACCGCGGCGCCACGACTTGCGCGGCGGGCTACCGGGGCGACTACGTGATCGTCAGATACAGCTGTTCGCATATACACAACAATGTATCATACCTGAGAATGTGTAAAGGAAGAGAGAGCTGACTGGTCGAGAACGAGGATCGCGGCGGGCTCGGCGTTTGCGCGACGGCAGGTATGTTGGAGGAAACTTGGCCGATAGCAGTCTGTGCCGTCTGCAGATGAGACTCGGGTGAAGGAAACGGAGAGACTAGCGAAGCTGACGAGCCAGTGAAGCCTGGAAGAAGATGCATAAGACCGCGGCGGGGGAACGCGGTGCGTACTGGTGACCCGCTGCCGACGATATCCCCATCGACGTCTGTATCGAAGCGCTCTTCCTCCGGAGACCAGTCGTCTCTATTGGGTGATTGGGATGTCGCGCGGCTCACCCGCGTCGGGGAGCGAGAAGGCGCGCGTGATGGCCTGCCCGACGCGTAAGAGCTACCAGGAGTCGATATGGGCCTACTCGGTCTGGTCGAACTTGGACCAGAAGTAGACGGGGTCGTTGCCTCAGGATCATTAGATCTAGAGGAAAGGAAATGCAACGGTAACGACAGCTGACTCGAAGAGAATAGCGAGCGAAGCGGACTCGTGCTTTGAGCTTCCGCTACGACGTCAGATGAAACGGCGCTTTTGGCAGCAGGCGCTGTTTCGACCTCTGGTGAAGGTAAGGGCGATACAAGCGAGGCAGACGACGCTCCGAATGCGCCAAAGACTTGCGCTCGTCCGCGACGGGGGAACGCGGTGCGCACTGGCGACCCACCCCCCACGACATCCCCATCGGCATCCGTATCAAAGCGGACCTCTCTCGGCGAACGGTCGCTCCTCGTAGGTGAACGTGAAGTGGCACGTTCGCCCCTTGTGGGAGATCTAGAGGCCACGCGAGCGGACCTGGGCGGCGGGGAGGAAGTTCTGGGTACCGGGGAAGGCCTCTGGGCGCCTAAACTGGACGCAATTGAGGTGGTCGGCGAAAGACCCTCGGGTCTCGAAGAAGACGACGGCATGGAGAGGTTGAGCTGAGATGAAGAGGGAGACAGCAGATTAAGCTTCGATGGAGATGCGGCAAGCAAGAGGTTCAGCCGCGATCTGCTTCGGCGAGGCGTAGAGTTAGCGTTGGCTGCCGGGGGCGGTTCGGCGAGCAGCTGGCGCGCCCGTTCGCGCTCCATGCGCTGCTTGAGCGAGTATCCAGCCAGACGATCCTGCTCCCACGGATTCGTTGTCGCCCCAGTAGCCTCGGCAGCCTCAATCATCTCGCCCGAGTCCTCCGATCCTGCACCGTCGGCTTCGGGTTCCGGTTCGAGCTCTGAGTCGTGGTCCGACTCGGCGTCTGAAGTGTTGACCTGCATGCTACAGCGAGGATGGTTCTCTCGGACCGGAGAGTGTAATTGAAGACGAGGCTGTGCATGGGAGCGCGCAGGGGGTATCGGAGGCGGCGGCGATGGGGCGCGCGAGGACGGGGCCGTCGTCAAGGACAGCACAGATGTAGCTGCCGAAGCAGAGTAAGGCGAGCGTGCGCCAGACTGGATGGCTTCCTCGAACGAGGGTGGAGGATAGTCTGGGATTGACATGCTGACTTGAAATTCAAAGTCAGGATCCGAGTACGACTTTATATGTCTTCTCAGCCACGCGTACCTCGATCTTCCGGTCTCACAGAAAGCTGGCTTGCAGGGCGCGGGGCACGATCCCTGCGCGAGTTGGATCCAGAAGCGGAAGGCTGGATGCGGATTGCAGACGTGCTTGCATCTGCACGCGGTACGCGGCGTTTTCGCTCGCGCTCCTCCTTGCGCACGCGACCGGCATTGTCAGGCGGAATAAGCGTCAACTGGCCGTGGTGCCGCACGACATGCGTGAGATACGGCGCGACGCGCGTAGCATCCTGGACGCGCTCTGGCATTGCGCTACGCTCTGGCATCGCAGGCGATGATATAATGGGACCCGTATCTATCGTGGGCGTCGACGTCAAGAGCAAGTTGCAAGTCGAGGCCACGATGAACGCGCGAGGTGTGGTGACGCGCGATAGGGGCTTAAGCCTTAAGCTTGGCGCTGAACGCGGTCAGCTGACATCGACAAAAGCAACGAGGCGTGATTCCTATCTGCTCACCTTGAGTGTAGGTGAGTTGTGCAAGAAGAGGAGCTCAAGCTAGCTTCGAGCGGAGTGAAAGGACAGTACATGATAGCCCCGCTGATACTTATAGACTTCTTCGTCGATCAGGCGCGATAGCCTCCTTCCTCGCGCCTGCAGATTCCGAACCAATCAGGGGAAGAGAAGGCGGGAAGCGCCAGAATCCAGACAGTGCGTGCTTGGAGACGCACCTTTCATGCATGTTTGATGCCCGCACACTCAATCAGGTCGTTCTGCCAACAGTCGACGTGAGAATAGTCTGGGCTCGTTCGTGGGGCCGACTACTGCGCAGAGTACGATGTGTTAGTGTGGGTGTTGCGAGGACGCACAGACTAAGCAACATACGTTTTCAATGCGGTTATCGGTCTAGAGTATCTCAATACATGAAGCCCCCTCGCAATCGCTACTAGGGTCGGCGTTCAAACGCCGACAGAACCGGTGGGAGTAACCTGAGCCGCGCCGAAGGCTAAACACCGGGGTGACATGGAACGAGGAAGCTCGAGACCACTTCAGTTGGAAGTTCATCCTGCATGGTCGAAGCTGCAACTGGAGGATTCTTATCCTGTGTTCCTGTATGAAGGGTCTTATTACACGTGTGAACCCCGATATCGTTGGTATCCACCTGTGGCACCTGTTGGGGATTCTTCTCATTGAATCTAGACTCGGGTCCGTATCGCAAGGCGACATCAGCACCTCCAGCGCGCTGAGCATTGCGGAGGTTGATGGCGGGCATCGGAGGTCGGAATGCTTATAGACCTTCCAGCTTCATTCCCGAATGGCTTGCGGCCACCCGACAATAAGTATCATGCGCGATCGTTCTTTTGCGGAAGAGCTCTCAGGCGTCGGTTGAGCTGACCTACACGAGAAGAGCGCCAATGTCGGTCTAACTTTTAAAAACGCGCGGCCCATCAGCGACTCAGCGTCTTGCTCGTCACGGCATGCCGTCGGCGACTGGGGTCACGCCGGGTAGTACCATTTCGAGGGTTAGCTAGTCGTTTCATCGTTGAGCGGGTGTCGGGGTTCAGGAAACACTCGGTCTGGATATTGTCACATTGAGCCCTGCTGTTGATGCTGACTTCGGAAGATGGAGCTCTTGACGAGTAGCGCACATCCCACTGATTAGGCCGAGTCGAAAAAAGGAACAGCCACTCCATTGGCAAGTCTACGCCTTCCAGTTCTCTGAGCAAGGAAGGGCACTCCTCGGTGTCTGATGCAATGTATAAGGTATATTGGGGCCGAGATGAGCGTTAGAGATTCCGGGGCTCAGGATGAGTTCCGGTTTGTCGCCTAGGAGCCCAAAAACGTCCCCGGCCCGAGAGCGGTCCGGTCACGAAAACCGTCACACTTTCATCACGCCCAGCGCGCGTCACCGCGCGCCCGCGTTCTTCTCCTTCGGTAGCGATGTCTCACTTTCAACAATACAGAGCGCAGCGGTCCAGATCCAGCAAGGTGCTGGGCCGATGACTTGGGGCTCTAGGCCATTCTACGGTCTTGCTATATGACGGCGGCACTCGACGCGGACAACAGGGCCCACTCACCGGGCCCCAGTTTTGCACTTGCTATTGCGGCCCTTGAGATTGATTGTCGGTGGGATTTATTCACCGCCGAAGGTCGGCTGGCAATACGCCAACTGCTGATTGACGATGGTACCATGTTCATCATGGCCGGAAACTTGAAAATATGTGCTCCTGTAGAGCGTACAACTACGCGACCTGTGGATATTTCCCATCCACTAGGACTCGCGCGTGAGCTGAGGCCTGAGGGCGAGATGAGCGCGGGACAGAACAGAGATCAGCTAGCAGCACCTATGAATATCTTCAACAACGATGATAGACTTGTCGAGGATGAAGAATCGCTCGATTAAGTGCGCCTGGCGTCGCAGACCCATGTGGAAGTAAAGGAAACTGGTCAGACAGTGTTGCATCGGGCATGCTCCAGTGAATAACGATATCCGAGAACTAAGCATACATCGTAACATGTGCATTGTTCACAACTTGAAGGGAGTTGAGCCCCGGAAATGCCCCGGAGGGGCTGTGGCAGTAAGCTGGGCCGGGCGGACGATGAGCGTACGCCGCGTCTTCTGCAATCAACGCGCCGTGACTGCGTGACTGATGGCGCTTCTCCCAAGCCTGCGCCGATCTCTCCAGGTTCGGGACTTCATCGATTCATCTTTCGCCGACTCCCATCGTCTCCGAGTATTCTCGTGCCACCACTCCATCTCTCGACGTAAAATCAAATCGTGATGCTAGCCGTATGTAGCACATAGTGGGAACAGCAAGCCGTGTCAAGGGGCCATACCGTCCATCTCCTCCACGACTGCGGCTAATGTCACTGTTCCTTTGCTCAGTCCTCTAGGCTCCTCGACTAGAATATATCGCACGCCACCGCCTATGTACAGAGGCTGAGACCTTGGTCTTGGCCGCGTCTTTCCCGCCATGGTGCCAGACCTTCGCCCTTCCGCAGTCCTACTGGTCCCGCCACAACGTTCTGTGGGATGATGTTGTACGGAGGCCGTTTCCCTTCGCCCACTTCGTGCCACCCCTTCTCTCGGTTATGCACTACTCAGACGTGCCGATGACACGACCTTCCCAACGCAGTGGAACCTCACGCTTTGGGGTGGCAACCGCTTTCTCGGTCGCGCGCCAAGGGACCACCCGGAGGTCCTTTAGAGGAAATAATCGTGGCTCACCGCAGATCGACCTTACTTTGACGGCTGTCCCGTCGACTTGGCCTTCACATCCTCAGCTGCGCTCTGGGGTACGCGCAAGAGCGAGCGTAGTTTGCTCAATCGCTTGCGCGACAATCGTCAGTACCGAGTCCGTATATAAGGACCGCCCGCTACGCTGTACCATCCTCAGCTCACTTCGAGTCCCAACCAAGTCCTCAAACATGAAGTTCTCCACCTCGCTCATCTCCGCCGTCTTCCTCGCTCTCGTTCTTATGGCCTCGCCCGCCTTCGGTGCGCCCCGCCACGGCGGTGACGACGATGGAGGCCGTGGTGGAGACCGTGGCGGTGACAACGACGGCGACCGTGACCGCGATGGCGATGTATGTTCCTGCAATTGGCAACTGCTCCATATGCTGACTACTCTGCAGCGCCGCTGAATGCGCAATACTATCAACACGAACGGGCGCGCCGTTGACTCGCCTGGTAAGTCGCTCGGTGTCGACTGTATACCCTGAGTGTTCTGACCGAGCGCTTGCAGTACGAGTGCCGGTGCTTATGATGTCATGTCTTGACCTTGGTCCTGTCATGTTTCCTGGGCCTCTGTTGTATCTTCAGTTTCTAGGAAAGACCATCGTTGTTGTTCGCACCAGGGTGTGATGAGTTGCGTGTGCTCATCACGCGCTGAAAGAGTCTCGTTGGTTTCAGTATCAGCGTTGAATTGTCCTGCGTCAACAATGCGAAGTGTACCGAATGGAAACCCTCAAGACTACCGTGCCGGTGCCTATACCTAAGGAACTCCGCCCAGTGTTCAATAAGGACCTCATGCCACTTGGGCGTAGAACTCCATGCGCATAAGCAACTGCCGCCTATCGTACAACAACAACCAAGTGATAATATTTCCTCCACAACGAGACCGTTCACTCTGACGGTAGTAAGCGAGAGCTCATGCGCGCTATGGAACAGCGTTCGCGATGAGTTTATGTGCGCACTTGAAACTACGAGTTCCTCACCGAGTGTTCCGTAGGACTCGATGTACTTCCTTGATCTTCTTTGTCCTTCCCGAACTCTATCTCATTCGTCGCACTGTTGCTGTTGGTTTTCTCCTTCTCATGCTCGTTATCTCGAGTATGAGGCCCGTCGAGTACACTTGGTTGCGATCTGAGGGTCAAAGGTCAGACAGATCCCTGGGGACGTCAATAGAATGATACATACTCCAGATCGAACGTGAGAGATATGTCTTGACGCCGAGGTCGCTCGCCAAACCGCATCTCCCCTAGCTGTGCACTGGCTGTACGTGTCTTTGGCGTCGGCTCCCAGCCGAACCAACCACAGACGACGCAGATGAGGCGCCAGTAGGACGCGCGAGCTTCCGGGGTTATGCCGAAGAGACCGAAAATGGCGAAGGCAAGTATAGGTGACGTCCAGTGAATGAAGTATAGTTGCCCGACGTTGAAGGCACCTAGATGGACTATCTCCGCGAAGCTGACTCTGTGGGGTCCCCAAGCGGTATGGTCGAAGGTAAACCCGTTGTAGAAGCGAAGGAAGCCTGTATTTTTTTGTCCTACTAGAAACAAAGTGATGGTCGCGATGCCTATGGGCAGAGTGAGGAGGATATCGATGCTGGCGAGCACAAGGATGCGAAAGTAGTTGGTGCGCGACACGGAGTCGTTGCTGTGCAAGAAGTGATTGACGTCCCGACTTTGTCGATAGAAAATTCGAGCCACTCTGGCTGAAGCGCACGCCCGTATCAGTACGCTGAGCAACACTATTATCTACTAGATTGGACGTACGAAAGTAGAAGACGGTGGAGATCAGGGGAGGTATGATATCCCACGAGTTGATGAGTAGGACGGCGAGTATTGAGCCGTCGGGAGCATTCTGGCAGCCAAAACCCTCCAGCACCTGGAAGCGATATCCCTGGACTACGTAGTCTAGTCAAGGCATGAGCGGCTACTGACATCAGCAGTGAATACCTAAGACTTACAGAGAGGTCCCGCAACTAGTAAGGGTATCACTAGGCCCAATGTCCACTCAATCGCCCTATCCCATGCTCTCTGAAGAGGCATAAGGTCAGCAATGAAAGCTCAATCGTGTTGCTCAGGGACTCACCGCCGCCTTGTCTGGAGGTGTTACTGATTGTAGGTTGACAATCGTGTACAGTCGGCGTGTTATGATCAACGTTGCCATGGGTTTGACGACAGAAGTGATCATTCCCAGATGTGACACTATAGCGTGATACTCAGCACACCGCGGAGTGAGTCGGGCAGGAGATCTAGCTACCTATGTCACAGTACACATAGAGCTTGATATCGGCATTGTCGGCCCAGATGAGTGCGTTTATAGCTCCAGCGAGGTTCTCAAAGAACAGCCAAAAACACAAGAAGACGACGCCGAGGTTCCAGCTCTGCCGGATGAAACTGGTGAGAAGGACACATAGCAGCATCACCGCGGCTATGATGCAGACAACGGGATAGAGAGGGTACGTTGGATCGACTGTAGCGGTCATGTTGTTGTGTGCGAAGGACCGGTCAACCATTGCGAAGCGAGAGTCAGCCTTATGAACCGTCCCCGAGTGGCGACAGCAGCGCTTTGGCTCTTCGATGGAAAGGCGAGCAAGGTGGAAGAATGCGAGGCCGGTCTGCTCGGGAGTTTGAGCGTTTGTTCAGCATGCTATCATTGATCGGACGTCTGAAGGGCCGTTGTAAGCGATTCGCTTGGCTTGTGGAAGTTCGCACGACGGAAGGCGCTCGGAAAGCGCTGGAGGAGCTTCGATCTCTCCGTGCCGTATGCCTACGGGCGTGAATTGATGCTCTTGCTGATCCTGCAATTGTCTCATACTATCGACGGAGACCTTCATCAGCGATACGGCTTCAGTAGGGAAGGAAACTTGCGTGCATCGTTCTGATGATTAGCGTCGCATCAGACAGAAGGACTTGATATGCAGCGCGCCTTTCCCACCTATTAGTGCCCGGCTGGAGGAATACAAGGCATCCCATATCCATCGAATACGGGCAGTACTGACTTTCGGGACGCCAAGCTGTCGACGAAAGTAATGGACTCTTGCCAGTGTGTCTATAGCTTTTGCGTAACGAAGCTGAATTGGGTTCTCTACCGTTCTGAGTATGAAGCGTGGCGCTTCAGTTCAGTTGCACTACGCATTGTAAGGAGACCGCCCCCTGCACTATATCTTGCGGTTGTCCTTGATCGGGCTATGACCAGCGTACTTTACTCATCGGTCGCGCAAGACCTGATTGCGCTCTCTGTGCCCCGCTTCGTCGCAGCGCGCATATCACGGCGGGCAAAGCGCGATTCTGATCTAACTTACATAGTTCAGCGAAGTTCCCATATGCGGAACAAGCGACGTACCCAAGATCGGCATCAAGGCGGGTATCCTGCGAGGACCATCTTGTTGATCTGGACATCTCCCGTAGTTGCAGACCGGGCGCCTGGTGGTCTGGATGAACCAGCCCTCGACGGTGCGGATGCCAGCACGAAGCGCGTGCTTCCGAGGTAATACCGGGGGGGGGGCTTGTCGTGTGCGAGTAGCAGAGGAGAGGTCGGCTAACTCCAGCTCAAGTAGACCTGGACAACGCCAGACGTCCAGTCGGCTACGGTCGCCTGCTGTGATCCCCAATTCATGTGATAGAGTGCCCAGCCAGGACGATTATTCAATCTTGCACGGCAGATGACGCGGATATTTTCAGGGCGATTGAGGTTGAAAGCTTGCTACGAGCACAAGAATCACCTATGTCTGGGGGGCCGTGACGGCGCGCCGACACGCTGACTAACTGAACGGTGACCGCAATTCCTGGGTTGAGAAAGGTTGAGGAGGGCGAGACTTGACATATTTGCGCAGGCCGAGCTATCTTGGGTCCAATGACCAGAACGATATTGTGAAAGATAGGACGTTTTCTTCTAATTGTATTGCGTAGAGAGCGATATCGGGAGAAGAAGATACGACCATGGTGGTGGGAAGAGAGAGCTCCTCCGACCAGTCTTCGGCGGCGTGCAGTAGTCTCCAGATGCAGACCATGCACGGAAGACAGTCGTTCCGATGCATGGTCTGCCTCAAATTTGGAGCCCTTGGCTTGTAAGCTCGGGCCATCCCAGAATGGAAAAGCGATGACGCAAATCTGCCAGCGAGCGTCACGCTCATCACGCAGGGAAGCCTGTGGCGAACCGAACGTGACCAGAATTCACCCGAACCTCGTCGGGCGCGTTTTTTTCCCTCCCCCATCGTCGACCTCCATAGCACAAGCTGTCTCACATACTGAGGTAACATTGGACTAGAGAGCATGTAATCAGCCAGAAGAGTTCAAACTTAGTGGGAATTGTAACGGGATGCCGGATTGCGCTACCACACCAACTTGAGTGTTCCCGCCTGTGACCTCTTTCGATTTCGCTGACGCACTCAGCGCTGACGCTGGCTTATGACGCACACGAGATGTGTCAGCTAACCGCTCCTTTTTGGGAAAGCCGGATCTTACAAGCCAAGCTCTCCAAATTTGATGCAGACTAGCGTGCAGGGCGAAATGACAGAAAACGCCGTGACTGCGTGACTGATGGCGTCTCTTTGCTGCGCCTTGTTCACGCGACGCCGTTTGGTTCGAATCCACCACAACGACGCGCACCCTCCTTCCTCCCACCACCCTTCCACACCCTACGTCAGATGCCTCCGCGAAAGCGCGCCGCAGAGCGCGTACAGGCCGATACTTTTCTACCTGAACTCCCCGCTAAAATTGCGGATATTTTCGAAACTGTGCAATCCAACCGATCTTCGTGGACAAGGAACAACGTCATTCTATACAAGCTACACGTTCAGGCATCGGAGATAACGGAGGATGTTGGACAAGGACGAGTGAAAGTTATTGGACTTCGAGCGTTCGAGGATGCAGTCTTGGCCTGTGTCTGTGAGATCATGGGGTTGAAGAAGGGCGTCGCGGTGGGCGATCGGGCGAATGCTTTTTTGGCAGGCTATGCCGGCTACGTCGCAGAACAATGTGAGATCATACCTGTATAACTCCTTTGGGTGATCGATACTCATCGTCATCTGCAGCGAAGGACGCGACGCTTGCTGAGCACTTCGTCAACAAGCTCTTTAGAGAGCTAAAACCCGGCCTCAGAGCGAAGTCCGCCCCCGCGCGCTTCCGGTCAGCACAACTCATAGCCGGAATGCTCCGTTCCCTTGAGAACTGGGACGAGAAGGTGGTCTATGGATTTCGGGAGGAGATGGTGGACAGGCTGAACGACAAGGAGGCCGCCATCAGGGTGCAGGCCGTCCTGGCTCTGGCCAGCATCTGCGCAGACGAGGCGGAGTGGGAAGGCGACGAACTCTCCCTTGCGGATATGTTGTCCGATGTGCTCACACACGATAACGCTCCGTACGTCTCTTCCTGTATCACTCTACAAAGCTGTCGACTGACATGACACAAATACAGCGACGTCCGCCGTGCCGCACTTGCCAACATTCCTGTGACGCCGGAAACTTTGCCACACGTCTTATCCCGAACACGCGACTCGGATACCGTCACTCGGCGTTTCGTCTATCAAGGCGTACTCGAGAAGCAAATCCACCAGCCAGACTCCGAAGACCCAAAGAAGATGACGTTTGGTCCAACCCATCCTCGCGTATTGAGTATCGCACAACGCGAAGAGATCCTCCGCGCTGGGCTGGCGGACCGTGCCGATAACGTACGCGAGGCTGCAGCTGCGCTCGTCAGGGCATGGGTTAGCGTTGCACATGAACGACCAGCCAAGTCCGAAGACGACGAAGACGACAATACGATACTCAAAGCAGAGGATAAGGACGAGCAGATGCCACAAGCTGCGAACGCTCAAGGCGACGGAGAGCAAGAGGACCAGAAGCTCGTGTTAACATCTGACGAGGTGAAAGCACGCAAGACGGAGAAGGTTCAGAGCGATCTTTGCATGTTCCTCAGGTCGTTCGATCTTGCCGCTGGCAGTACGGATGTAGCTCAAAGCGCGCTCTTGAGCGTCTTCGCCACGGACAAGGAGCGCTTCTCACAGCTTAATCTGACAGGCAAGTCTTGTCTCGGAGACCGTTGCTCGAAATGCTTACTGATATATATATGCACGCAGAGGACTGGTGGAACACTCTCACGCCCGAACGCGTTTTCCTTGGACGCGTGTATGTCGAGTATTGCACGGACAAGAAGTTACACGAACGGGTCGACGACGCGCTTCCGCCTGTCACGGCATTGGCCTTTCATCTACAAGGCGTAAGCCCATACCTTTCCTACGATCTGACATGATTAGCTAAGTTGTACGTGCGATAGGCTTACAACAAACTCATTGAGCTTCCCGAGCCGGAAGGTGACGAAGACGAGGTTGCCGCCTTCGCGCGGGAAGACGCGTTGTTCACCGTCAAAGAGATGTTGGCAGTCGCAAAGGCGAGCTTGACTCCTACACGCCCTTTTCTTTTCGTCCTGACGTTAAATATGCAGATCCATGACTATACAGACGAAGCAGGCCGCCGGCGTATGTTCAAGCTCGTGCGGGATATGGTGGCCCAGGAAGCCCTGCCAGACGAACTGGTCACGCCCTCCCTCGACGTTCTCCGTCTACTCTGTGGTGGAGAGAAAGAGCTTATCATGCTCATCGTCGAGATCATCATCGACCTCCGTGACCTGGTCAAGATCCCCGTGGACGGCGCCCAACCCGAGCTGGACGCTTCTCAGGTACATTCGGTGTTTACTTGCGTTGTAGAGTGATGGGCTGATGGGTGTTTCAGGATGAGAGCGGGAGCACTGCGAATGCTATGCCGATGTATAAGCGCCGTGACGAGATGACTGAAGAGGAGTGCCAGCGGTCGGACGCAATGGACGTACGGTGCTTGGACCTGTGCATCGGGATGCTCGAGCGTGTGAACGGCGTATGTCTTCCTCCCCTCCCTCCGGCGTTGGATCATTACATCCATACTCACTCGTGTTCCTACTACGTAGACGGTCGACGACCACCCCTCGCTCAATGGCCTCGTTACAGACTTCATCGTACCGTCCGTCCGCAGGCGTGAGCTCACATTCCGCGAGAAGGGGTTACACTGCCTTGGTCTTGTGGCGCTCATCAACCCTGGCATGGCGCCCACCGCCAATACTCTCTTCAGGTACGCGCCGTGACCGCTACACGAAGGATCTCTGGCTGATGAGTACTGTGTTCACAGGCAACACCTCGCGCCTCAAGGACCGGGGCAGCTCCCGCCGCCCGCCCTCATCAAGCGTCGATTGCTGGAGATCGTCGTCGACGTCGCTATGGTACACTCGCAGAAGCTCAAAACTAGTGACGTACGGTCCCTCCTTTACCTACTTGGCAGTGCATCCAAACATCGTACTGACTGGACGCGCGGGTGTAGGATGGCGGCAAGCCGATCGCCGACTTTATACTCTCCTTCGCGGATGAAGACGAGCAATGGGATGTCCAGGCCAAAGCTGTCATCGGCGTTGTCAAGCTGCTGTTTGCTGGTATGATCACTGAGCCGCAGGTGCGTCTTCACTTCTTTTCCCTAGTTCCCATCTACACGACATGAGCCAAGCGCTAACGGGGGTGCACCTGGCAGGTTCTTGGAGATCTCTGGCTCCAATACATCTCGCCGCATACGCGTGAGAACCACTCGCTTCGACAATGCCTCGCTTACTTCTTCGAGAAGTATTGTCTAGCGAGCCCGGTGTTCCAGAGGCGGATGATGACGCAATTCGTACCGGTACGTCTCTCTCGTACGAGTACTCAGAGTCAAAATTGACGTGGACCGCTTGCTACAGGTATACAAGCAGCTCGTCCATGCACACCGGACGAGCGAGGAGGACGTGGCGCAGTACCTCGTTCAACTGCCCGTCTTCGTCGATATGTTCTTGAACTACGTCAACCCCGCCAGCTCTCACGAAGTACCCGGCCGCAAGGAGGACGAGGATATCCACATCGACCTGGCTATCAACGTATTGAGGGAGCTGCTCAAGCCGGAGAAGTTCGGACATGGGTTCGAGCCTGATCCGCATGCTGATCCGCCGGAGCCTATCGACCAGACGCTCGACAGTACGTCTACCCCTACTTTCCGCTTCTGAATGATGATCTGACCTGTTTGCGCGCACGCAGAGACGGACCGCAAGATCCTCTGCAACATCTTCAAATCCGAGAAACTCTATCTACCCATTGACGCCGACGACCACGCAGTCCGCACCCTCAAACTCCTGGTATCCCAGACTCTCGCACGTCGCCCGATCAAGGACAGCGCCGCCATGAATGCCATAGCCAAGTTTGACACTAAACTGGACGATCGGTATGGCGAGGCGCAACTTGACGGGTTCTCGGAGGAGGACGCGCGGAAGCTCGAAAAGCTCGAGAAGTTGTTCGAGTTCCTTGATGATCTCATCCCGCTGGACGACGAGGAAGAGGACTTTCCTATCGAGCCGAGGAAGAGGGGAAAGCCGAAGAGGAATGCGAGGTCGGCGAGCGTGGCTAGTACGACTACGGATGAGGAGAGCGACGCGACTGTCACTGGTAAAGGCAAGGGGAAAAAGAGCGCGAAGGGGCGCGGCAAGAGGAGGAGGCTGAGTGAAGAGGACGAGGAGGAGAGCGATGAGGAGGAGGACGACGATGACGGCGCGTCGAGGGCGAGTGCGCCGCCCAGTTCTGCGCCCACGCGCTCGATGCCGAGACGCGCAGCGACGAAGAAGGTCGACATGACGCCCATGAAGCTCGAGGGCGTGGACGAAGAAGACGAGGATGAGGATGAGGACGAGGATGATGAAGAGGCGACGCCGGTGCCGAAGCGCGGGGCGGGAAGGAAGCAGGCGTATGTTCTGTTCGCTTGATCACTTCGTTATTCGAGCCTTGTGCTGACTTGTTCTGTGACAGGATACGCTCAAGAAGGAAGCCATCGCTGGATCCTAGCGAGAGTGGAGGGGAGAGCAATCCTGTCGTCGTACCTGATACGTCTGACGTGGAGGACCAGGAGGTGGACGACTTGTTGTTGGACGAGGACGAGTAGAAATATGATTTCGTGGTTTTTTTACGCTCAGACTACTCTCGCGTTTCGGATGTACCTGTATTTCTCGTCGTTATGCTTGTATATATACGTTTGGTTTGTACCCTCTACCATCGTGACCGCGTGAGGGAGCTGAGCGTCTCGTGCAGTCTCATTGGAAACAAGAACGATGCAGGGAAGGAAGTAGGGCTTGGCACCCGCCCGTCGAATGATCAACAAGGAAAACGTGACCACATGCATATAAGCCGCGCGCGGCACAAGTTGTCTCTCCACCGCCAACTACCTTGCTAGTGCTCCTACGTACAAGTCAATGAGGTAGCGCTGGTGTCTGGCAGACGGGTCGTGGACGGCGCTCACAGTGACCTCGTCGTTCTCGGACGCCATCAGTCACTCAGTCACGGCGTGTCGCCTTCTGATGGCACGGTCATCGGCGGTTCCTCTGTTCTCCTCCCATCGTGGGTCGAGTCCTTTCTTTCTCGGTCAGTACCACAGACGAGTTATGCGGATCTCCATCCTGAATGTCTCCTCAAGTCATGCCCTAATAGGATCGCTACACTTATCGACACGTATCTCGAATCTAGTACCGCCCGAAGTTGATATGATTGGATTTTCCGGGTTCTTGACACCCAATACGGGCATGATTCGATCCGACGTGTGAGCGTAGCCTTCGCTTGGATCCTTTGAGAAGGTCAAATGTACAGCATTATCTGCTGTGCAACTAAATCCTCTTAACCTGGCGCCGACGCTTGCTTTCTGGCCCGACCGACCCAACTGTTGGCACTTTATAGGTCCCCTCCTAAGGATGATTACAGATGGGGAGGACATGCCCGTTGACAATGCTTTCGGCGGTTGCGATGGTTACGCTGAGCTCCCTGACACTCTGCTATTCCTGTCGTCCGCACGTCGTTGCAAATGGCAAATAGCGCTTGCCATGACAGGTTCGAGAAGATACTGGCATCGCGAGAAGGCAGTCCATACAAGGCAACGCGCCTGGAGTCACACATTCATTCCTGGGCGCTCAGCGACTTGATCAACAATGCAGACAACACCTGATCAACCCGTCGGCAAGGACACATCGTGGTCATTTATGGCGCAGAGGCGTATAAAGCAGCAGCCCGTCTTACTGAGCCTGACACCGGCTTATCACGTACCGGAACCATGGTTGGTACGGTCGATCCGACCTTCCCTCTCTATCCCATCATCAGCATCCTGTCTGCAACCACGCTCTTCCTTGTGCTTCTGACCAGTTTTGTTCGGCAAAGCTGGAATCTTGGCGTCGCGTTTCTGTGTTTTTGGCTGTTTTGGGAGAATCTTACCAATGGCATCGATGCCGTCATATGGTCTGACAACGCGGACCTTAGGCTTTACGTCTACTGTGATCTTGGTCAGTATGTGTTGGCCAAGTATATCCATACGGCGCGCTCACCTGTTCTCGGTAGTCTCCCATATACAGGTTATTACCAGTGTCGTGAGACCCATGGCCACGTTGATCATCATCCGTCGGCTCTACTCCATCGTAAATCTTCGCATTGGGGAAGGCCCCCGTCAAGCAACGGTGAGAAGCGCTACAGGGCGCGATAAGCCATTCCCCTTGCTTACCAGGCGGGCCCGCAGAGGCGCAAGGATCTTGTAATTGAGTGGACATTAGGGCTTGCGATCCCTGCGGTAGTCGCGGGACCTCTCTGTGAGAATCACGATAGTAACTATTCAGAACGCCCTGCTCATCGACTCCTCAGACTACATAGTTCAGCCCATCCGATTTGCAGTGCACGAAGGCTTTGGATGCGCGGATATCACGGATATATCGATACTCAGCCTCTTACTTGTGAACACGTGGAACGTGATACCCCCTTTAGTGTCTTTGGGATTCTATTATCGTACGTCAGATCTCATCACAGTACATCTGATCCTCACAGTATTGATGCGCACGACTGAGTTAGCGGCGGTCTTTCGAGCCTTCTACCTCCAGAACCGAGACGTTAATCACCACTTGCAGACCAACGGCTCAGTGTCACGCGTCAACTACTTCCGCGTACTCGCTCTTGCAAGTATTGATCTCCTTCTCACCTTACCCATCGGTATCATCAACGTTGTCTTCATCATATCGGGCCCGCTGACCGAACTCCACTTTCCTTTCTATTCCGGCTGGACCCAGGATCATGTCAATTGGGGACCCCAGAGTGCCTCCTACGCAGAGCTGGCGGGCGGTGCAACATCTCATCGCGCGCAACTGTACTTCGACCACTGGACTTCTCCTATACTCGCGCTAGCGATCTTCGGGCTCTTCGGCGTTACATCGGAGGCTCGCGCATCGTACTGGCGCATCGTCTATACCATCGGCGGCTGGGTTGGCTGGAAGCTAAAACCTCGCACGCACGATGCGCGCGCATCTCTCGGAGACATTGAGTTCGGCGCGCGGTCTCCACAGAGCGTGTCCATCAACTTCGATGTCGAGTGCGTAGCATCGCCTTCAACGGACGAGGGAACCAGACTGACGCGTGATTGCCAGAACACAGCCGACTTTCATCGACGGCGACGACCATATACAGCAACGAGTTGAGGCTACACGGCGAACTTCATTCAGCGAAAAAGCGGGCGCGAAGCAGGATGAGCGACTATGACAGCGGCACGGATCGTAGAGGAAGGGCGACGCCGCTCGACGGTATGCTGTGCGTGCCCTACCCCCCGCAATACCAGGTGCCACTTATCGCAAAGGACGAAACCCATAGTATCACATAGCATCCGGCGCCACAGCGCGAGCCGTACGACCAGGAAGTGGCTGATCGTCTCATTGAGGTATGAACGACATGTATGGCGCAGTGAAACCTCTACCATGCGCATCCAAGGATCTTCAGAATCACTTTGCAAAGTAATGTACATGTCCTACCACTAGGCTTTCCTCGTACGCATGGCTTCCGTCAACATATGCATTGCGTTCAGTATTATCTTGCTTCACTCCGCGCGCGTGAGGTGTTCGATCGAGGAAAATACAAGGGAGTGCCGCTAGAGTCGCATATGAGCTACAGGGTAACATGGTGATAGCATTGGAAGTGAGAGACGTACCAGGCTGATACACCAAAGGAAGCGCGTAACAAGGCTTGCTTCGATAGGGTCCAGACCGACGTCCATGCCCCAGCCTCCCCAAGAAAAACGACCAACCTCGCCGCAGATACGAGACGCACAAGGTACGTGGTGGATCTCGTACGAAGACTGGTATCGGTTCCTTGAAGTTTGACGATGCAATGCGCGGAAGGAGACCGCCAGCTAGGACGCAGACGGCTCCCTACGTCTTGGCCTCATGAAGGCTATCATACGTTGGCGGCCGGCTAGCGTTGACTATCAATTAGATGCGCGTGGCAATAGAAGCGAGGAGGGACGTACTATCATGTACCCCGCGTAGACTCTGTTCTCTCCTTCTTGCCATTCTCCGGCGTGAGCGCAGTACCTGGTCAACCTGTCTCCACCAGAGACCAATCCTCTATGTATGTACGCGCAAGAAGGAAAAACTAGAGTCTTTCCGCCATGGCATCCTGTGAGCGATACGATATCAGCGCTTCAGCGACAATTAGGTTGTGAACAACTGGACGATAGACACGCACAAATGCTTGTTGCGAACGATGAGAGATCGGCGTATGTGCTCGTGAGCGCGCGAGAGCTGTAGTTAGGGTGCCCTGTAGATCGCTGAAGGGCCGTATTGGTATCAGCTACATAGAATTTTTGGTAAGGAGAGCTAGACATACGTGCGCCCCGTACTAAGACCACCCATAAACGCTTGCCCGTCTTCTGAATCTTCATACGCCGAGTCCGCCTTATGTTACCAGCCTCCAGGTACATAATCGCTCGCGCCAAAAACGTAGGGTATTAGCCAGGGGATGGCATGTTTGTTTTATCGATGCAGGATAGAGGGTGGAGGTGTCTTCCAAGAAGTGGGGCGCGCCACCGCGGATTCGAACCCGAGGCTGGTAGCTACCACGCGCATCGGCATGGCGGCCAAGCCAATTTCAGCCCTTAGCGAGCATCACCACTCCCACCACCCTCCATCATCACGGTCTGTCCGTTACCAACCCACACAGATACGCAGGATGGTACAGGTATGCTACTCTGTTTTAGGACTCGGTCCATCACTCAGATAATATGCGTTCTAGCTTCCGCCAGAACTCTGGGAGGAAATCACGAAATACAACGCCATCAATGTCCCTCCACCTCGCATGTTCTTGACGTCTGTCTATCCACCCACTGCGTTGCATGAATATCCCAGCGCATACGAAAGCGTAAGCGGGCAAGACCTGCTATGGCTCAAAACTGTGTCCACTCTCTCCCAAGTCGACAGACGTCTTCGCTACATGTACCGGGGCGAATGTCCGGTCAATTGTCTGGTGGTAACGGAGGTGGACATCCGCGACAAACGAGCTCAGCTTGAAGCCTTGAACCCATCGGCTATCTGCGTGCGACATCTTATGATCGTTCTCTCTTCGCCGCCATGCGGTCATGGAGAAGACGCCTATGCTGGAACTGCAAGGGAACTGTATCTCGACCTTCTCGCGATCGTGCGCTGCCTTCGTCGTCTCACCGTCGTCACGCTCTCCGTACTGAATGGGCAGTGCAAACATAATGACTGCATCGATGGGCAACCACTCTATTTCGTCGACGCATTCCAAGAGCGCGTGCTTCTGCGCCAGGCCCTAGTGGACGCCCAGCTGCAGCGATTGCAATTCTTAGAGGGAGCGCAGGCGCTCCTTCCGCCAGTGGAACTTACTCGTCTGATTAATGGCTCCAGTAGCCTGCGTGTCGCCTCGTTCTCTCAACGATACGACTACATCACCTGGAAAGGGTCAGATCACTACACGGGCTTGACACGAACCACTCGCCTTCGAGTTCATCTCGATACCATTCCAAACCCCCTTTACATTGCTCTGCCTACGCAACGCAACGCCCTTCTGGAGTTGTCAGATCCCTACATCACCCCACGCAAAGTCAACTGTCTGGTCGTCGATGCCACGGTGGGCCAAGACTTGCGTCATCTCATACACAGCAATTATGAGATACGCAGTTTAGCGCTTCACAACCTCAGTTACGGGCATGACTTGCTACGCGAAGCGCTGCGTGATCTCCCGTCTAGTGCCTTGGAAGAGCTATGCATCGTCGCACCTCTTCCCGTTCTTATGCGTCTAGGCGATAGATTGCAATGGGTACTCGCCCCGAAGCTCTCATTGGCAATCCCAGCGCGCGTAGCGGGTCTAAATCCGCCGTCGGTCGAAACGCTGCCGTGGGCGCGTCTTTTACGCTTGATGGAGATGTTGCTCGCGTTAGAGGACCACCCACGATGTGGCATAAAGTCCGTACGATTTCCTCAGCAGAGGTTGGCCAAACGTCTCCGCGAGGAGATCGCAACACGTGCAGTTCTACGAGCAACAGTCAGGGCGTCGCCGGTTCGTTTCGTCGATGAAGAAGGATCGGCTTTAGACGTTTAATCCATAACTAGACTTGTATGACACCATCTCTACCCCTTCCTAGCATCTATGTCGCTATTCATGTAGAGCACTCGTCACAACGCAACCTTTCGTTACAAGATCGCGCCCATCAGCGATTCCATTCACGCTGTCTCGATTCCTTGGAAATAAACGGAATCTCGCTACTTTACGCTCGCAGTTCTGATTGGCGTGTACTATAGACTTGAATCTGTCCTTACCAGAGCGGCTGCGAGTCTGTGACTGTATGCCCTCATATCGTCGGTATTCACTAAGTATTCACTTGTGCGAGAACGCAGAAGATTAGATCGACTGATCGGATCACAGGATAAAGATCGCCACGCCTAAGTAGGTTCAATTGAACTTGACCCAGATCCTCATCTAGTTGGTCTAATCCATACATTCTGCATCTGAGTAGCGACAGTCTGACTTGACCGATACCTTCACCGCGCAAGATGATCTCACGACATCCCTTCATACCAGCTGCAGTCGTGGCTAGTAGCTTATACCTCGCTCGCTCTCGGCCCAGACAAAATGGCGCCAACTCTCCACAACTCAACTCCCTCACAGAGGCCTTCTCCAGCACGCGATGGGCGATGCACATCAACGAACTACCCGTAGAGCTGCTGATGTCCATCTTCGAGACCGCTCACGAGGATGCACCACCATCCCTGCGGGTGCCCGCGTTACTGGTGGTGTCGCACGTATGTCGACGATGGCGGCAAGCGGCGCTCCAATCCGAGAGATTATGGTCTTGTTTACCGCTTACATCCGCAATCTGGACCGACGAATGCTTGTCACGATGCAGAACTGCGCCGCTGGACATACACGCACGCTATAGCGCGTGGCAAGCGAATCGTTCCGCGGACGTCCTCGAGCTGCTTGCAAGCGAGCTTCGCCGTACAGGAACATTGTGCATATGCGTACCAGAAGATTCCGCGACATCGTCGAGAGTGCTTCCGAAGGTGATGGACATACTCAACACCCACGACGCGCCTCTGTTAGGAACGCTCCTCCTTAGCTTCCGCCGCTACACCGCCAGGGAGATCATCCTACGCGCGTATACGCCATCAAAGCCGCTCTTCCTTGGTCACTCACTTGAGATGCTACGCAATGTTGCCTTCGTTGACGCAATCGTGTCACTCGAGTGTCTCGCGCTATTCCCCAATCTACGCAGCCTAGAGCTTATCAACTCGATGGTCTGGCACAACACCGCAGAGTTTTTGGCGTTCTGTCGGACCTTCCCTCGGTTGGAGGAACTCGTCTTCATCTATGATCGAGGCGCAGCGTCAGCGCGACAGTACCCGGTCACAATCACTATCGACGACGAGAAAGCGCCTGCGCGATGCATGCCAATGCGTGGTTTGAAGAAGTTCGTGCACCACGCACCTCCAGTACATATGGCGAGGACTTTTGCACTTCTTGATATCCCTACCACTGCAACGGTCATGCTCTCTTACGACGATGACCGGTGGACACACGGACCGGTTGAAGCCGCTTTGGACGCACCCGTTGATGGCTGGCCGGGTGTGCTCGCAAACCTGCTCGACGCTGCACCCGTGAATGGTTTAGCAGGGGCTATGATAGACCCTCTCGACGCCTTCCCCATCCTTCAGACGGCTTTGCACGCGCACTTCGCGGACGCGAGCGGGCAACGCTTCCCCACACTCTTGTTTGATGGGCGTGAGCTTTGCGCAGCAATCACAGAGAACGACGGGGAAGCCTCCTTGCCATCTTACTTCCATATGACCATACCATATATTGGAGCTCAGTCTGTCGAGACGATGCTTGGAAACTCGCCTGTCTTCCTCAAAACGCCCTCCTTGATCGTCAAGCCACCGCATCCGTCCAATCGGAACAGCATCCCGGGCCTTCTCGCGGATGAGGTGTACCACGTCTTCCGACTCTTTTCGGGAGTCGCCCGGCTCACGCTGCATAGCTATGCACTCTATCGTTTCATCGAGCACTACAAGCGTGTCGGGCCGAAGCCTGCCTTCCCAAACCTCGAGAGTTTGCGCATCGTTGACATGAACCTCGCTCAAGACATCAACGACCCAGACAGGCCGAGGCTGGTCATGAACGATCTCCTTTGCGCTCTCTTCAAGCCGGGAAGGGTCTCGGACTGGCTGGAGTACATCGTCTTCGAGCGCTGTACGATCAACGAGGCGGATGCGGCGCTCCTGCGCAAGGGTGTGGATACGGAGTTGAACGTCGAGGGAGCCGAACTTGAGTTCTTGACATGTACCATGGTAACGGATGAAATGTTCGCCAGGGAGTACAAAGAAGATGAATGAATTCGGAGATAGGTACTGTACTAGTGAAGGCCGGAAGCATGCTACTTCGCTCGCGAATTTGACTGGATAAAGTCCAAATATTGATATATACCACTCCATGAGACATAGTTCTATTATTGCGGCGCAGATCGCCCTTTGCATCGTCCGTCCGTATGCCTTGCAAGTGGTGGGGCCATATGGGTGACCCATGTGGCGGATGAGAGCAAAGACACACCAGCTGCGTCGGTGACCAATTGCGTGTGACGCGAAAATGTCGCGCAAGGCACTTGACCTCGGCCACCACCATGGTCAGCTAGGCGATATTCTCTAGCTCAACCCTCACTTCTGACGGGACACGACGTAGATCATTCCGGTGCGATGCTTCTCGTGTGGAAAAGTCATTGGTGACAAGTGGAACGCCTACCTGGAGCTGCTGGCGAAGGATATGCCGGAAGGGTGCGTCGCCCGCCCACAATGCCGTTCAATACACCTAATCTCTACTATAGTGAGGCCATGGATGAGCTCCAGCTCAAACGCTACTGCTGCCGTCGCATGGTGCTGACGCACGTCGACCTCATCGAGAAGTTACTCCATTATAACCGTACGTCTATCCTGCGCTTCCCACTTCATGGGCTCACGCTACTCATGCAGCCAACGAGAGGAAGAGAACTCGCCAGGATATAACCAACCATCATTGATGTCGTCTGTCCGGATCTTACTTCGTGTATACTATCGCGTGCTCTTGTCATACGACGTCTCAATCCAATGCTACGAACCTGTGGCCTTTACCTCGGTTGGTTGGCAATAAGTGGTATCTGTGGTATACCTTCCGTAATAATGGAGCGGCTCTCTGTGATGGGTGACATTACGGACTTCAGCTTGCGAGGCCGGTCGACCGCCTGTCCTGAGGTACAGGAATGGATCTCAAGCACGGTGCCATGCACTTCATGATCACGTCGTGCGTAGTGCAAGAGCCCGCATTTTCGACCTAGGAAGGCCTCCTTGGTCCCCAAAATCTCTTTCGTCCTTGAGGGCGCCGCGCACTGCCTTAAGCTTCCCGGCGGTGAAGCATGCGCCCAGACTTCATTGCCGTGGTGGTGAACGCACGATGATGGACCTGCATGGATGGCGAACCACTTATCTGAGGGGAACCGGCTTTTACATAAAGATACGTGATATAAGTCCGCAGAAGAACGATAAGTTGATGATTATGGCATGTGTACGCTAATCCCACCTGGCTTGGCTTGGACGCGCGAAGGAGCCGGGACTGACACCCACCTCCAAGAGTCAAAATACGTGTATGAGCGTATCATAAGAATACACAGGAAGACCAGGGCATTAGGACAATACGTCAAAGGGGGTCAGGCGTTAGCCATCGTATTCCGGAGGGGCAGATATGGCATCGTCCCTGCGTAGAGCGAAGATCTCCCTCCACAGGTTGCTGATTTCGTGAAGTACTCCAGATTCATCCTGACTCGGTGTCATCCCGAGTGCTGGAGATGGTTGGGTGTCGTCTCGTCCCAGACTCTCTCTGCTTGGCATACGGCGAAGTCTATAAGCTCTCTTCGCTCCGGTTTCGGACTCGCGATCTGTTCGCTGGGGGGCGCCGATGCCTTCGGAGCGAAACACCGTGAATGGTGTGACATTCAACTCTGCACGCGCGCCCGACGATCCACTCCGAAGGACTGCATCCGACAATGAAAGATCATGCGGATGAGCGGGTATTCCTCGTGAGACAGACGACCGGCGCCGACGCCACCAAAAGAGAATGGTGCCCACAATCAGAGAAGCCCCGACTACTGCACCAACGGTTGCACCACCGATGGTACTAGCCCCACTTTTGCGTTGGTTCCCAGATGCTGGCCGTCCGCCAAAAGAGGACGACGGGCTATATCGATCAAGTTTTAGAGTCAATCTTGAGGCGGACCAGTTCATCGCGCACCTCATGAACAGCAGTGCATATGCAGCACCTTGCCGAGGGCTCAATCGTCCTGTGACTATGGTACCGTTCTGTGCCATATAGATGAGCGGAAATTGCTCTTGATAGGGGTCCGCAGCCTGATAAGCCAATTTGTTTGTCACACTAATGATCTGTTGTCGAGTAGCGTCATCGCGAGTGGCCATAGCCGCAGCTAGCATATTCCAATCTACAGCCGAGTCTGTCAGATTATACGTGCAAGACTGTCGTAAGCACTCACTCGCTGAAATCATAGATGTGCTGTCACTATCCGTAGGAACACCATAAGGCAGGATCCGGTTCGCAATGTAATCTACTTGACCGTCGATCACGCTGGTATTCAGCAGCCCAGAACCGAGCGCCAAGTCCCAGAACATATTATAACCCAAGGAGAAGCTCTCCGGACTATCGTAAGTCAGGCGCATGTGACCGGAGTCAGGCGAAAAGGCCCTTGGTAGCCATTGCGCGTATAGAGCCTTCGCCTGAGACTAGCATGATTGTAGGTCACCGTGCTGTTCACTGCTGTCGAGGATATCAAACAACTTACTGCGTACGAATGTTCCACCGCAGTGTCATTCAATAGGACACCAATGCCTGACATGGCTTGGACAGCAATGATCCCCTTGAGAGCAAGATTGGCCTGACCGTCACGAGTCACATTATCCGCAGATGTTTGGCCTGTAGCATCGAGCGTGTTTGCTGCTAAGTAATCCGCCCATCTTTGAAGAAGCGTGTACTACGCAGATGCTCAGTCCTGGGGCAGGTCGTACGTGAGGAGACGCATACGTAGGCTTCGATCGTGCTGAACTCGTGGGTGTGTTTGGCGTGCCAGTAAGCCATGATGATCATGCCAGATGATGCTACCGGCACTATCAGCCGCTAAGTTCGCAGTTTGGTCACGTCGGACGACGTACTCTCGATACCCTCAGTGTGCTCCTGAGTGTTCGCAACCGCCACAGGATATTTTCGCCCTGCAGAGATGCAATCGTCGTCAGTAGAAGGCCATATTGAAGATGGAGTCAATCCTCACCCATGTTCTGAGCGGCGTAACTTTTGGTGTACAACGAGCTGTTCTGGAAGCGGAGTAGCGGCTCCAAGAGTGCTTGACAGAGCGGAGCATCCAAGTATAGAAAGGTTGGAAATACGCTTAAAAGCCCATCTACAGGATTGACTTGGGCGCTGATACGGACTAGGGTTAACGAAGCCCCCACTGGCATGCATATACTGAACATACTTCCCGTCCCCAGTATCCTGTATCCCAGTATCCTGATGATACAGTGAGTGCATAGACCTCGATCAATACTCGACGTAGAACGTACCTTATAGAACACCATCACATCACTAGCATTTGGATTACCACTCGCGTCCTGACCAATCGTGATCTCGATGCCGCTGTATGCCTGGCGAGTGGACAGACTGAGTATTTCAGCATAGTCGGAGCCCCCCGTTTCGTTGGCGGCTTTGGTGATATTGGTGTCCAGTTCTTGAGAGCGCGCGAAGGCCGCTGAATAGTCGGCTAGGAAGTCTCTGAGCTAGTACGGGGAATCGTCACTGACTAGACTGCGACAGCATAGCGAACCCCGGACTCACCAACTCGCTATCGTCACTGTATTTCTGGCGGTAGAACAGACTGCGATTCTGTGTCTGACCCGAAAGGTCGGAATAGGTAACAGCACCGTGGGCACCTGAATCGCGAATGTTCGCGACAGCCCACACGATCGGTGCACTTGTGCTTGTTATACTCCCAAGGTCTTGAGCGAAGGCAAACACGGGCCATGCGCTACTACCATTAGTGCGACAGCATGACGTGCTGAGGTTGTAAACGTACTCAGTGATTGTGCGAAACTGCGTGTCCCCCGAGTTATCGAGAGTGCCATTCCGTACGAACTGGCCCCGAGTGTCTTGATCACTTCCTGTTCTGAGAGATGTACCGGAGCTTTGCGTGCAATAATATATAGTCCCCCAGGCCGATTGCGCGTTAATCTCCTGATACGGCGCCTGTTCGTCCGGGAGGATAGAGATTCCATGATAGTATATTTCGCCGGAGCTGTCAAGTTTCGTGAACCAAGTGACATTCTGCTCACGGTCCCCCGAGACCCATTCTGATGACATGTCTAAGTAAATATTGGGAAACGAACACGATGAAATTTCAACGAACCAGCACTGATATCAGAGTAGACTTGAATTGCGTGAGAGGCCCCGTCCGTTGCCTGTACTTCTATTGCGACGTACGATGCCGGAATTGATTGTCTGGTCCAGTCACGCGGCTGTAGAGCATAGGGGGTCAGATACGGTCACAGAACTCGTGCACACTCACTTCAATTGGACTAAGAAACGTGACCGTCACTTTCACAGGTCCGGCGTTGTACAGGAGTGTACTACTTGTCGGGGTGAGGGAATATCCTGAGCCTACTGGTGCAGGGGCATGAACTGCTGATAACCCTGACATGTGATACGGACCAGCCCAGGCATACGTCTCTCCATCCACCCTGATTAGTCCAGCCCAAGACTGGATCTAAGGTATAGATCAACAATATATTGGGATAATCACGAGCGGTGGTAGCACCTGTGAGCTATACCCCGTCTCCCATGACCAGCCATTCGGCAGTGAGGCATTGGTCGGTAGGAATGTGAGAAGATACGGGGAGCGAGCAGCGATCGGGATAGCCGCCTTCTTGAAGGATGACGGCGCTTGCGCCGCAGATAACAAAGCAAGTGCCACGCTCAGCAACGAGAAGATAGAAAAGGTATACATTCGTTCAAGGCGAGGGCTTTTGAAGGAAAGCTTTTGAAGATGTGACACAAATTGGCGAGACTGGTGGGGATAAGACGACGAAGGGGGAGAGTCCTTGGACGGGCGATGGCTGGCACATATACTATGTACTGACCCGGTAACCCTCTCACGAGGGATCTCCTAGCCCCACTCCGTCGGTGCGCCGCACCACGCCTTGAAACGGGATTCGATTCTAGAGTTTCTTGTATGAGGAAGTGGTAATACTCCAAAGGACTACGAGGGTAACATAACTTACCATGTTGGCACCCATCTTGTTGGCACTCTCCCGTGGGCTCTCCTCGTGTGATCCGGTACTGTAGGATCTCGACCATTCAAGATGGCATTTCACTGGCGGCGCAACATAGCCGCAACATCCTGATCTGAACAGCAGTGCATTGCTCCCTCTCGCGATGACGTTGCGTGACGAACCAGTCGATATCCTCTATGACGGACCGGTGGCGCCCGTCACAGGCAACTGAAGGTCCCAGGTCACTTTGGTTCTGCAGCACCGGATATTCGACAGCATCTCAGGAGACGCCGGTCTAGTGGTCTTATATGTCATGGAAATTGTGTGGAGGAACGAGCGCCGAGTTTGCCATGCAGTGCAGCGGCAGTGTCATGTGCATCGTACGAACCCGCGAATCATGTTGATACGACGCCAGTGGTGCATCTGAGCCATGAGATCTCGGGTTTTCCGGCAAGTATCGGTAACACGGCTAAGAACCGAGTAGTAGTAGTGGTAGGTAGAGGACCACCATTTATGTCCCATTAAGAGACCGGCTGGATCGGGGATGAGCATCGGAATTCTCAGCGCCTATATCAGATGCGACATGCAGAGTACGCATTGGGTTGGAGGAAGATAGCTCATCCAGTAGGGTATGCGTGAATTGCCGGGATTCATGTCCGCACGGAAGTGGAAGTCAAGAATAAGTTCGGTAAGACTGAAGGGCGCGCTCGGCGCGTTTGTACACGTGTCTGATCCGATTCTGCCGCAGCAAATAGCGTCACGGATCGGTCTTTCCAGACTGTCCAGCCATGTCCGGCAAACTACTATATATACCCTGCCTAAGACATCCATGTGATACGGCGCCCTGTTTTGCGCTTGCTGGCACTGGTCTTGTAAGACAGCGGTCGAAATCTGCGATCAAGAGTCCGATACACACCGCCTTGATACGGTCAATTCGAATGGGAGTCACACTTAATCGATGCCTATAACTCGTTCAACTTCAACAGCCTAGCCTGCGATGCACTATGTCATCCATTCTACAATTCGCAAGATCTCCAAAGTTAATGTCACAGCCATCAGCTACGGCGCCACTGATACCTCCATAGCATACTCCCCTACCCTTCCGGACGAACTCGGAACAACGTCTCAAGGTGAAACTATCTTCAGCCTTGGTCCTGCCGCATACACGTTTCTGACCGTGTCTTCTACGTTGTACAAATCCTCGACGAGCTCTGTGCGACCCGGTACACGTCATGGGACTCAGCGGATCTATATGGCGACTGCGAGATCTTAGTATGCACGGGTCACCGTGGGCGCTATGGCGGAACTCGTGAAGGAGGGCAAGGTCAAGTACTTGGGCTTATCCGAAGTGACGGCAAACTCGCTACGTCGCGCGCATGCCGTGCACCCCATCGCCACGTACCAGGTGGAACTCTCTCCGTCCTACCTTGAAATTGAGAGGGACGAGACCGGCTTGCTGAAGACATGTTGCGAGCTCAAGATCACTATCGTCGCGTACTCTCCTCTGGGGCGCGGCCTTTTTGACTGGCAAGATTGACATCCTCCTCGGTGATCGCATCGACTGATCTCCCCTAGAAGGGTTTTGAAGATTTCTCTGAGAACGACTTTCGTGCTATGATCCCGAAGTTCTCATGCGTTTTCTTCATGGCGTACTGTGCCACTGGGCTTGGCTAACGGACGTTTAGCAAGGAGAAGTTCTCGAAGATCTTGAAGATCGTGGACTTAATGAAGAAAACAGGATGTAAGCACGGTGGCGCAGCGCCCAGTACTGTCTGCCTCGCTTGGCTCCTCACCCAAGGAGACGATATCATACCGATTGCGGGAACGACCAAGCTCCTTGTCTGCACACGTCCTCTTTCCTCCGACACTGTTCTCTTAATTGATATATCTGCGCAGTATCTCAAGGGCATCAAGTTGACTAACGAAGAGGTACAGCAGATCCACGCGGCGGTGAAGGAGGCGGACTTTTCGGGGGACCGATATGGTAAAGATCAACAGGAGCTTCTCCTTGTTGAAACTCCACCTTCGTAGATTTTCTTGTGCCTAATAGCATGCTAGCATCAGTGCAGTTGACTCCCGTCTGTACCGGTTCTGACTCGTCACTCTCTTGGAGTGTATACAGCAATGGCCACGCTAGTGAGGGTGGGTGGAGACTTGCTGTCGCCGGTGTCACCGCTACGGTGGCGAGGCCTTGAGCTGCACATCAAACGTCAAGTCCGTGAGCTGTACTCGGAATGTTCGAAGACCTTCAACCATTCGCGCGCTGCTCTTGCTTGCACCGACATATCACACCTCAAGACATAGCTGAAGAAAATATTGGCCAAATGATAGCAATATAGAGCATTGTGTTAAGAGAGGGAGGAAGTCAGAAGATACTGGTGTCCGATGGGATAAAGGTAGAGACTGCAAACAATGAAAAGTCCTTGTACTCGACCGAGAGCCCCATTCCGATGACCTAAAACCCAATAAAGCAACGAGACGACAAAGAGATAACCTGCG